AGTTGTTTACGAAGAATATTAGGGACACCGGCTTGGACTATGATGAGGATACCAGTGCAAACTTTTTTGAAAACTGGTTTAAAAATTATCTATTAAAAAATATTCCGGATAACACTGTCGTTGTAATCGATCACGATCACAAAAAGCACCAAATTATGAGAAAGGGCAACTTTTGGAAGTCTTAAATTCATACGTTATTAATAAAAAAGATATGTATGAGAGAATTTGGCTAAACAGTGGCGCACAAACTGTTTTACGTCTTCCTCCATATCGTGGTATATTCAATATGAATTGAACATTTAAGGCTCCAAGAAAAAATCTAATGTGAGAGCTGAAAAATAAATTACCGTCAAAAGTCAAGACGATATACTTTGAGACATACCATACGCCGACTCGAATTGTTTAAATAAAGGACAAATTTTGTTTATGAAAAGCACTAAATAAATTCACATCGCCGACCTTGGGGACTTAATTGGCCGTTAAGATGGTTGGCAACGACATCAGCAAAGCAAGTACTGGGAAACAAACGCAATATGGTTTCCAAGAACGATAGCGATCTTCAGCAACCATCGGACTATGATACCAGACCGCGAATTATGCCAATTGCAAATCCTTCCTCTCTTTGAAATAAAAGAAACACAAGAAAGATCACGCACTGTTAATAACTAAAATAACGTTTCGAATTCCAAAAAAGACGTTTTAACACGGTTTACTTCAAACGCAAGGCAAGTTGTTTAATAAAACATTAAAAAATAAATTTGGGCATCGACATTGATATAGGAGAACAAGGTCAACGACTGCATTATGGCAGTCCATGGGAAAAACACTGCAATTTACGTAATTTCATTCAATTATGTACTCGCGTTAACCCATCATTTAGCCACGCTTTCGACAGATTTTATTCTGTTTCCTGCTAAAAATAAATATTTTGCTGTACAAATTTAATTTAGTTAATATTACGTTGGAAATATCACCTCAACTAGTACATTTAATGGAAGAAGTTTCGATGTCTATTTAAAAACTGGATTATATTCAATTATTTGAAAGTCAGCTTCAGACGATACCACGGCATAATCGGAAAAGAGTTTTGAGAGTTTACCACAACAGGAAAAAATGGTTCCCTCAGAATATCAATCGAATTCGACGGATCTGAATAGCTGCAGACTTGACGTAAGGTCACTTTTAATGTTCATAAAAAAATAATAAAAGGGACGCTCCTATTTTTAAGGCATTTTTATTTTGGAAATTATCTTCTTTCCAAAATACATGATGGGGATAACTCAAGTTGATTGCCGTTATTTTTTCTACTCGAATTCGAAATAGTTTTCTGTGTCAAAACAGTGATAATCATTAATTAAATTATTTAAGTGAACATGTCCGATTGTTCTTTTGGTAAGTAAAAATGCTTTATAAGTGTTAGTAATATCAAGGACTTTGCTATTATAAATTTTAATAAAAATTCTATTCTGTAGTTGCTTATATATTGTTTGAAGGGGGTGGAGTTGAAAGAGGGGCATGAACACTGTGTAAATATCGTGTGAAAAGTTAAGACCTGCTCGCAGTTACGGTTATTTGGTTGCTTGGATTCTAGTGTTTTTCTTTTTTAGAAGAGTTGATTACATGCAAGAATTTTAGGTTTATCGAATCAGATTTGGTATCCGGCTTCATGATCGGCAATTGCTGATGAGTTTATTGGTCGTATTCTTAGGGCTCTTTCATGTTCTTTGAGTCTAGTTGATATTACTTTTTACAAAACTTCTGGATTCCTGTGTTTTTGCTGAGTCCACCTTGCTGACGTTTCGCCAATCATCATTTTGGCTTCTTCAGAGCTTGACTGAAAATGTGTCACAGCATGTGATCAGTAATGCTTTGAATGTAAGGAAGGACAATAGTGGCAAGTGTGGGATTGCTTTCTTTGGAAGGCTGTGGTGAAGTGTATCTTGTGATGGAACACTTAATATCAATAATGCGGAAATTATTAGATATAAGAACAGATGAAAGGTGTTTTAATTCTGTGTTCAGTGACTCGGGTTTAGTTTTGCGACTCTAAACAAGAGAGTTCATAACCGGTTATTTTTGGGCCGGACGGTGACGTGCATGTGTACGTAGATTTTCTATTGATAAAAATATCTCGGAAGGATAAAACCTATGTCAGGCAGTGTAGAGTTTAAATGGTTAAGAAAATCTCAAAGAGGCTATGAGGCCAAATAAAAGTAACACGAGGATTCTATAAGATTAGTAAATAGTAAACAGTAGGCTGAGGAAGTTTGTTTGAAAAAAAATGAACAAAAATACCTATTTCAAATATTCCAGAATCTTGAAGAGAGTATGATGGTTATTTTAAAACAGAAGCTCTTCATATTTACCTATTTAATTCAAATTTATCACAACCGCGCAAGTCAAACAATATTTTTTCAGACAGACATCAGAATGGAATTTTACGAATTTTTGTTAAGTCAGAAACTTATTTCTCGAACGACGACAGTTGAGACAAGAAAAACATGGGTTTCCTATGTTGTTAGCATAGTCCATAATGTGCTTGAAGGTGATATAAAAAAATACATCTCTTTACTTTCGGTAAAATTTTCACGCTGTTGGAAAAGAAGTGCAAGGAAGTCAGAAACTGTTCAAAGCAATACCAAACACAGTCTAGTCACACAGTGCTATGAAAAAAAGTTATAGCTTCTAGCCTAGTACCATTATTTTCTATCACACTCTCTTATTCGTAAATTTGAACAATAAAAGTTAAGTGCCAATATAAAGTGTAAACATTATTTTAGGGCAAGATTCTTTTCTATTCTTCCGAATACATTAAGTCGTGTTTCTATTTCGCTCCAATAAATGAATTTGTTTATTTGGAAAAGGGAACACGTCGAATTTTGATTTATTTCAAAATTAAGCATCTAACGAAAATTTGAAAGGTCAAGTAACTCACGCGAGAAGGAAACGAATCGAATTTCTTTCTTTAAAACTTCATCGTAAAAACCACAATTTTCCCAAATAACCAATTCATTCACATATTATGAAAGAATCTGTCCTCTGTCAATTGACGTGACAACTCTTTAATGAATAAGTAGTAACAGTAGTAAAACAATTTTTAATAAAAAATAAGGTAAATGTCTAACATTTATATATTTGCATCGAAAATTTTTTTGTGAAGTTACAAAAATGACCAATTACTATTCACAAAACTTCTCGATTCCGGCTGCGTTGATTGTTGTTGGAACTTAACTGAAACAGAAACAGTTTCAGTTAAGTCAGATTGGCGAAACATTAGTAAGTTCGACTCAACAACAACCGGCACAGGAGGAATCCAAAAGTTTTGTAAATAGTATTACACTAGCCTGTGGAAGTTTCTTTGAAAAATTCACCAATTACTAGTTTTTTCTACTCCCGTCTGTAAAATGCTTAATTGCACACCGATCTTGCGTGCGGGAAGCGTCACTTTGCCACGCAAGTTTGGTTTCCCACGGCTCCGAGCCACTTCGGACATTTCCGATATTTTACCGCACGGGTTTGTGGACAATCGGATATTTTCGGAGATTTTACCGCACGCTTTGAATTTTGACGTTTGTCAATTCTGACGGTCATGTCAGTGAATGCATTCGTGTTGTTTTACTAATACACAGAAAAATATTATGCAACATATCAGACAATTTAAATACTCCGTACTATAAGCTACAATTAAACTCTAGTGGACTATACGTAATTTAATAAAAACAAACACTTGCTTTAATAGCTTTTTATTCAATTACGTATGTAATGGATTATCATCAAGTAACAGTCAACTCAATCAAATCTAGTGGACTAGTCGGTAAAGTAAAATGACATTTATAATTTAAGTTTGCTACATAAATTTTACATACCCTTGGCATGAACTTTAGTGACTTTTACAGTTTTTATATTAATATCATGCCAAGACCAATTGTACGACTTGCTTTTTTTTGTTTATACGATCATAAAAATTTAATCCTAAAAGCTCTATCCTTGGATGGTCTTTTTTCCAATTACAGTCTTTTTCTTTAAATAAACTGCTTAATGATCAATTGTAAAAGTTAAATAAACGATATAACGTTTTAAAATTGTGTTTATTAAAAAGAGACAACAATAGCAGAACCGATCGGAACTATAAACAAATAAGTTTAATGGCAACTAGTAAATATTTTGTTTGAATAATACGAATACGAAAAGTGTAATTTAAATTTGCCACAAGGTTAATCCTTCTCCAAATTAACTGCAATGTTACGTTAAAAAATCACCCAGTATCTTTATAACCTTTTAATTTTAAGTTTATATTTTAATATTACTTTGTCTTTAAATCCTATATGATATCCTACTAAACAGTACTCACCAGTACGAAATTTCGCACGCAGAAAATGAAATTTTAGTTTGCCCAAGAGTATTTGAGTCACGAATTTCGAGCGGAGCGGAGCACAGCGGAGCGAGTGCTTAATAAACGAGTAATATCCCAGGAATTTACTAAGTGGCTCTTATGAAACTCAAGAAACTGGTAAAGTGATGCTTCCCGCACGCTAGATCGGTGTATAATTTGGTACAGAGGGGAGTAGAAAATCAGTAGTGTACGCAAGTGTGGTAAACGGCATTTGAGTCACGAGTTTATTTGGCATGAGTGGAGCGCAGCGGATCTAGTGTTTAATAAACGAGTGACTTAAAAAGTTTACCAATCGTGTTGCATACTATACTTTTTCTACGACCGTTAGTTTTTGGGTACATTTTCGCAAAACTACACGAATACGTTCACTGACATGGCCGTCAGAATTGACAAACGTCAAAATTGAAGCCGTGCTCACATGGTAAAGTGACGTGACTTTTTTTTGGATTTGTATTCTCTGTTACAAAAAAATGTTATATTTTAGGCTTATATTAAATAAAAAAATATGTGCTATTCGAAATGCATTTTATTTTTAATAAGTTTTTGCTGATATGAAAAATATCATGAAAAGACGTAGTTTTGATAGTTGGATAACTTCACAATTACGAGCCCTGCAGTTCGAACAATTCAATTCGAATTACGATTCTTGGTTAGATTAATCTTTCCTGATGTTTCCCTTGTCACTCAATTAATTTCAAAGTCATTGTCAAAATTAACGGTTGTGGAAAGTCCTCAATTTTTCGGCGAGTTATCTAAAAACCCATAGTGCAGAATGTCTCTCGAGAATCAGAACCCGATCGAATCGAAATCCCTCAAACGTACCAGGGCACCCAAAGACGTAGATTTTTGCAAAATCGGCGGACTTCAAAGACACATCAAAACTTTGCGCGAAGTCGTGATATTCCCGCTACTCCACGGCAACGTATTCTCCCATTTTAACATTAAACCGCCCAGGGGAGTACTGTTTCACGGTCCGCCCGGTACGTCTCACGGCAACAATGTGCTTGGATATTGAAATTTTTCCTTTTTAAAGGTACCGGCAAGACTTTGGCGGCTGCAGCTCTCGCGACAGAGCTTAACAAAGAAGGAGTCGGAAAAGTATCGTTCTTTCAGAGAAAAGGGGCTGATATTTTAGATAAATGGGTCGGGGGATCTGAGAAAAACTTGCGCGATCTCTTTGAAAAGGTTATACCTTACTTCAATTGTTATCCAAACCGCCTGGACTGTAAAATTAGCGTCGCTACACTTCATCAATATCAATTTGATCGTTACTTCTAGGCTGCAAAATCAAGGCCTGCGATTATCTTTTTCGACGAATTAGATGGTTTAGCTCCAGTTAGGCAGAAGCAAAATGATCAAGTTCACGCGAGCATCGTGGCTACCCTCTTAGCTCTAATGGACGGGCTAGATAACAAACCGGGCCTTATAGTCATCGGAGCCACAAATAGAATAGAAGCTATCGATCCGGCATTAAGGAGGCCTGGCAGGTTTGATAAGGAACTGTATTTTCCACTGCCGGGTGCCGCGGCACGAACAGAGATCCTTCAGGTGGTGGACACGACTTTGTGGACGGAATTCACTTGATGATTTCGCAAACTCTTAGGTCCATACGGCCTCCTGGAAACACAAACCCAGTCCCGCTCTCTTGGCTTGCTTGGTAGAGTCAACTTCGGGATTCAGCGGAGCTGATCTCCAAGCATTGTGCTACGATGCCATCTTAAGATGCATGAAGAGAATCTACCCGTGTTTAAAGGGTATCAAAATCGATCCTGACTTGCTAAAAGTACGTTTGTTGGTGAAAATCTTTGCTGCATTTAAATGGTATAAATTCGCATTTATATTAATCTTAAAAATATAGGCAAACAGTAGAGAGAGGGGCTACGAAAGGGGCGCGTTCTGAAAAGGACAATAACTATTTTATAGAGACTAGATGCAACACTCCAGTAAACTTATTAACTCTAACAACCGTCCATCTGAAGCAAACGACATCACATTATCATTCGCAATAACGTTGATAAATATGTTTTTCTACTCCCGTCTGTAAAATGCCTAATTATACATCGATCTAGCATGCGGGAAGCGTTACTTTACTACGTCAATTTCGTTTCCCACGGATCCGAGCGACTTCGGACATTTCCGGGATTTTACCGCACGGGTTTGGGAGCAATCGGATATTTTCGGAGGTATTTCCTACGCCTTTAATTTTGACGTTTGTCAATTCTTACGGCCATGTCAGTGAATGTATTCGTGTTGTTTTGCGAAAATGTACCCAAAAACTAACGATCGTAGAAAAAGTATAGTATACAACTCACTCACTCGTTTATAAAACACTCGCTCCGCTAGTGTCAAATAAACTCGTGAGTCAAATGCCGTTTACCGCACTTGTTGTATAATATACTATTTTCTACTCCCGTCTGTAAAATGCCTAATTACACATCGATCTAGCGTGCGGGAAGCGTCACTTTGCCACGTCAGTTTCGATTCCCACGGATCCGAGCCACTTGGGACATTTCGGGAATTTTACCGCACGGGTTTGGGAGCAATCGGATGTTTTCGGAGATATTTCCCACGGTTTGAATTTTGACGTTTGTCAATTCTGACGGTCATGTCAGTGAATGTATTCCTTTTGTTTTGCGAAAAGATACCCAAAAACTAACGGTCGTAGGAAAAATATAGTATGCAACACTTTCGGTAAACTTTTTAAGTCACTCGTTTATTAAACACTCGCTCTGCTCGTGTCAAATGCCGTTTACCGCACTTGTTGCATAATATACTATTGTTTATTAGGGGGCATAAAAGTAAAATTATTGGGTTTACTTGTAGTTTCTTAAAAAATACTAATTTACATTCTGTACGCAGTGTTTATCTGTGTTAAATTTGTCATCCATTTTGTTGCAACAAAGAGGAATCAACGGTAAGAAAAGTTTAACTTTTTTCAATTTTAAGGATAGATTTATGAAAACATGTGTTTTGAAAGGGACACAGAATTATGAAAAGGACGTCTTTTTCATGCTTCTCCCTTTCATGACATGCTTTTCTTTGGGAAGTTTGTACGCATCAAGTAGGTAGGAATACTTAAACCAGAAATATAGTGCTTTTACAACAAACCCCGTGATTGACTTTGCTTCCTGTTTATTGCTCCAAAACCGCAGCCCCTTATAGATCGCCCTTACCCGTAACCATTCCAGGACCGTCCAAGCAATTTATCTACATATACTAACAAGCGGGAAATAAATATGTTTTCAATCTTTTTCGCCGAACAATTCTTGAAATACGTACGTCAAAAATTAGTACAAAGTAACAATTTATTACTTCTATTTCATTACATTTCTACATAGTAGCATTATTAATATACAAAATATAATATATTTTTCGTGTAGCTCTCTTCAAAATATAAATCATTTTGGCACAGAAATTCTTTAATTTCTTCATGACTTGAAGAAGCATGTAATTTTTCTAATTTGGACTGAATCATAAAAGGCATTATCCAACATAATTGACGATAGTTTTGGTAACAGTTTATTTTCAAACCAGTCCGCAAATATTTGAATCTTTGACATTTTTGGCAGTCAAAAATAAGTGTCGAACCATGGTTTCGTCTAAATACATAAATTCTTCAATCCAAATTCTTTGAGATTCCATTAGCACTTATCGTTTATTAATTGTTTGGAATTGAAAATGCATTTTCTTCAAAAAAGTGCGTAACAACTCTTTGGCACAACTAATGTTTAAGTCTGTCAATAATTTTTTATGCAGTTCTTCTAGGGTTAAAACACTACACAAAGGTCGTCTAATTAGATCTACGTGTTGCTCTTTAAAAACTCGCGAAATACCAGCATCTCTCACTTTCCTCTTGACTATCACATTTGCAACAATTTTTCTTACAGTTGACTTTAGAAACTTGGTCATGTGCCCTTACCCTTTGAACTATTCCGTGAAAACAGGCTCGCAGCGTCAAAGCGTCAGGTACTTACTGGAAGAATCACAGTCAAAAACCTCCTTGATATTTACAAACAAATTGCAATTTAGATTAAACTCTTAAGAAAGATACATATCACCTGATGTTAAAATAAACGCTTCTACTCATTCCAAAAAAAAACCCCGCAGCATCAATGCTTAATCAAATTTAAAAGAGTCCGTTTACGTTTCAAATAAAACAATTTCAAGTTTCCAAAATTATTCGTTACGGTCCATATCAGGGAAGACCTACTGTTGGGATGGGTTTTACCACGGCCCTGCTAAAGTCTGCGGTTAAAGTACTGTAAATTACTTAAAAAGTCAAAGTAATAAATGCTCTATATTTTTAGTAGCGGTGTCGTAAGTTACTTAGGAAACACCCAGTATATTAAGATCTGCGTAACGTTGTTTTTTTAAAGGACAAAATATGCAACCTAAAATAAAAGTTCGTGTGAACGCTGAAAAATTCAACAAGCAATTAATGAAAAGCAATGTCTTACGAAATACGTAAATCATATCTGGCTAGACTTGTTAAGGAAGAAAAATAGTTACCACAAGGTCAGTGTTTACATGGTCCTCAAATTGGAAATCGCAAAATTGTTGTTATCCGAATATGTTAAAATATCTGGAAAAATGTGCTTTGAGTTGATCACGATGCAAGTAAAAATTTAGAAATTACCAGATTGTCAGTGTCGATTGGTTAAATTTTTTCCAAAAAAGAAATAAAAGTTTAGCAGTTAGAAAACCTGAGAGCACCTAATTAGCTAAGAGCACTTTTTTGATAACCTGGAAAAATGTTACCAAAAATATGTATGTTCGGAAAATATAATCTGGAATCTGGACGAAACTAGTTGCAGCACCGTTGCCAATACGACGAAAATTATAGCTTGCTCAGGTATCATAAGGGGGGGTCAATCAATCAATAAATACAAATCCCTTAATTGAACAAATGACGCAAACAGCCGAGCATCTTGTTTTAGGAGATCAAAACAAACAAAACCTAAATGTAACTTCATCAAGCGGAATTCGAACCAGTCCAGAGATGATTCGTCCTCTCCCCAAAAGCTTTGCCACGACAGAACTGCAATTATAGAAAAAGATAGATTGCTTGCTGAACTGCTATGCGAACAAAACTACAGTCGATGTGGCTTATGTAAATCATATTTTTAAAAGACCAGAGAAAGACGCCAAAGACCAAAACAAAGCAAATGTTATAAAACCAAAAAAAAAGAAAGATTTTATATACACGAGTGGCTGTGAGGAACCAGAAACCTAGAAGAATCTACACAATCGTTTGACAATCGGTGTTGTATTTGTAACCAGTAAAGGAGGCTGATTTCTGTATAAACTTTATGAAAAATGGGCATGCGAATCGTGTGGAATTATAGAATAAAGGGAGTGTTTGATATTTATTGCACAATATGTCACTGGTTAAATTATTAAATATTTTTTTTATGTTTCTTAGAAGGCATTGGCACTTATTTATTAAGTATTATGTAGTTTTATAGACTTTTGTTTGTGTGCTTGTGTGTTTATATTTTTTTTAGAATTTATTTTCTGAGAAGTTAATTGCAAAGAGTTATTTGTGATTTTACTTATCCCGTCCATCCATTAGAAATACTAAAAGGATGTCGAACTTCCATTGTCTTTATTTTTAACATACACAACTTTTCGGACAGTTGTATGACTACCCGCTATCAAGTGTAAACTAAACTTAATTCTAAGGCTACACCGTTTATATACTAGGCGACGGCGCTCATCCATGACGGAGTCGGGTATAGTCAAGCGTGAAGTTGTTCAACGAGAACGCCAGCATTGGTGCGCCTTATTAGAGGTTGCCAGATTGTTGGTATATCCACGCTTGGATAAAACTGCTTTTTTAAATTTGCTGGGAACAACCCGCGCTCTTGGTTAGTCCACACATATTCTGCGATACCTGATTTTTGCGTTTCATCCTTCATTGTACGTTTCTTATGTTCTTCAACTCTTATTTTTAGAGGTCGTTTGGTTTGGTTTTCGCCAATATATCACAGGGTATCTGGTAGAGACACTCTTTCTCTTGAGTCGACGTTTTAGGCTTTGTTTTTGTGAGTACACTTCTTAATGTTGATCCAGATTTAAATACAGTTTTAACTTGATATTGTTTAGCTATTCGCCTAATCTTTTCTGATATTCCTTTCACGTATGGGATCGTCAAGAGAGAAAGAGTATTTACCTCACATGGTTCCGGTGTTGTTTCCCGCTTACAGTTTGTTATTATTTTGTTTATAGATTTTTTCGGAGTAACCGTTCTGAAGCAAATCCTTTTTAATATTATTCAATTCGGCATCGAGAGATGCTTGGTCGCTACATATTGTGATTGCTCTTTTGCTCTTTGTTAAGAGATGTGATTGAATTAAATTTAGGAGGTTTATACACACAGCCGATAGAGATAATTTCCTTATTGACTATAGTTTTTCCTGCAATTCTTGTAAACTAAAATATATTACCCAAATATCCTTCGTAGCTATTTAAGTGTACTTAAAAATGTAGGGAATTCTGTTTAATAAATTTACATGTAAATATTTATGCAAATCTATTTTCCAGTTTGGTCAATGTCAAATATATATGCATCACTTTTTCTCTAAGATCCTATTAGGTCCTCAAATTTGCCACATTTGCTGTAATTTCGGGAAAGAACAAAGTATTGAAAGCACAATTATACAAATTTGTGAGTACGGTACGGAGATACTGACACAAAAAATGAAAACAGCAATGGCACAGGGCACAGACTGTTCTGTGACATTAGTAATTACTTAGCTCGGCGTTGCCAATTATGTTCGAATTTCAGAGATTGATATTGCCTTCTCATAAAAATTATTCAATTTTTCGGAAAAATTACGGCAATTGCTACATGACCGTATTTTTTTCAGTCAATTGGGGGTGACGCATGCGCAAAAGATCCATACCTTCTCTACGAAAATATCATAGCCACCTGCGGCGCATCAATTTTTACCGTAATAGGACCACTATATATTATCTTATAGCTATATGCGTTCATCACTTGTGTCCCATTCAAAACCTTCGTGGTATAAAAGGGACAAAAGGAACTTAATTAAAAAAAATTTTTTTTTTGCTTAAACTTTACCTAATATGTCTTTTATTAGAAAGCCATTTATATAGTGAATTTATTTCCTATTATTTACCAGCGACCAAAAAAAAAAGTCCCATTCGTGACGCCTCTCCTATATATACAGGTATCATTCCTTTAACTCTTTTTCTAGATCGGGGATTGCGACTTCGTAGATGCCAGACTCTGCATAATGCCCTCTGCGCTCAGAGATAACCGACACGCTAGGAATTTAAGTCCAATTGTCAGGCCGCTTCTAGAAGGCGAGTTGGAGAAAATTATGTACTGCATCCGCTCTATATGGCCGCATTTTCTCCAGGAAAATTTCGAGTACTGCTTTAAACTGACTTGGACGTCACTAGATTGGAATTTTGTTGGGTTTTAGATATGTGGTTAATGAAGGCAGGTACGCGGGAAGATTATTGCTAGTGGGTGCCAACCGTCAAGGTTTAAACGCCCATTTGGTTCCAGCCGTGCTGCAGAATTTGGAGTACTTACCCGTGTTTGCTTACGATGCAACGAAATTATTTAAAGTCGGTCGTGAATATCGATCGAATTGGTAGTTGTGATCGGTTTTAATTTCAGATTGACCTGAATTCGGGAGTACCACGAAACTGTCCGTCGATTATCTTGCTGTCCAGAGTGGACGAATGGTGGAATCTTATAACGGAATGTGAACAATTGAATATTTTGTCGGCGTTGGATAACATTCACGCTGGCCTACCGATCTTAGTTATTGCTACATGCAGACTTGATGTACCTACAGTGGTAATCAAGGCGAAATCAGAGATATATTAGGGCAGTCATATCCGCCATTAACGATCTGCTTTCAGCTCAACGATTTCTTTTACAACAACAGCAGCGTGTCCCTGAAAATCGACGACCCCACAGACGAGGACAGGCTAAGGTTCTTTAAGCCGCTCTTCTTCGACAGCGGCATCATCGCTAGTCTTCACGACGTCTTGGAAAATTCCAAGAAAAGCGACCCCCCAGCGGAAAAGCCCTCCGCAAGCAGAAAACGGAAAATTCAAACTGACGACGATAATCGGATAACCACCAGGGGTAGCAAACGCAAAAGGGAGTCGGCCAAATACGACGCGACTCAAAGGAAGGAGGACAAAGAGAATTTGATCAGGTCTAGCAGCGTCGGTAACGTGGACGACATGCGCAAACAACAGGAAGGTGAGTTTCGTTGGGATTTGCGACGTCGTCGCTTTAAGCTGGAGTGTCCTTCCCAAAAGATAAGAGCAAGGGCGTGAGGCCCATCAAGTCCGAGAGTCTTCATTTTCTAAGTTCGGGCCGAAATGGGAACTACTTCTGTCGCATTTTGTCGGAACTTCTGAGGCAGCGTGACGCGCGAAACAATGGCGTGACGTCAGTGAAGGACAAGCCCCTCGATAGAATAACCAAAGCGTCACGACAAGTTGCCACAAGTAACGTGGATGATCGCTGCTTGGAATGCCGCAAATCTGGTAAATATGTAACCAAACTTTAAGGCATGTCATTCAAGTCACTAGTAGAGTCATTGGAAAGGACATAACTTTTTTTCAAACTTCAAATCAGTACCCTACCAAGTGCTATAACTCAACTTATCGCACATCTTCTTTGGTTTACTGTTGTAGCTCTGCATACTTATCGGTTCTTTCAAAAGTATTCTGGTATTCTAGTTATGTTCATCCTGATTTTGTAATAACTTAGTTTGCTCAAAACATTTGATAGCGTTTATGTTTTGTAATGGATGTGTTCGACGATTTCACTAGGGAGCAGGTAGCGAAGAAAATTACATTTGGTGCTTTATTTCGCGTTCCGTGCCCTTTATTTATAAGAACAGCACCTGTACTTCGCTGATGTCGTGTCTCTATTATATAGTCAATACGAACACCTCCTAACAGCTCCTAAAATAGGGCAATAAATAATACTGTTAATGTGTGCTGGCCCAATTTAGATCAGTCAAGCTATTTGTATTCATCCACTTGTCTGAGTAATATACTGTTCAGCTTAATGTTCAATTTACAGTTGTTTCCTACATTTATAATTAGCTTGTCATAGTTTAGTCAGTCCTAGTACGTAATACAAGACCTATTTCATCCGAAAACATGGAAGTTAGCTTCACAAATTTCAAATTATTTTCATGTTATATGTCATAGGTAGGTACTGTAGCTGTCCAAGTACTTTAAAGTTAACCTTCAGTTTTCCAGTACTACGAAAACTTTTTGGAAAACACGAATTCAATAACACATCTATTTCCACAGTATCAAATGCATTTTCCAAGCAACAACATAGTCGCTTAGTGATTCTGAGATATAATCCTGTTGTTCATTTTAAAAAAACCATACTGATTCTCACCTATATTTGACAACAATATTTGACAGCAGGTCCTTAGTCCTTCTGGATGGATACCAGTTTCTAATATGTAATTAGTTATATCCACCATTTTGTTTTCAATGATTCAAAAATAAATATATTTTTTAACAAAAGTTGCCCTAACCAGGTGTACAGCTATTTTTCATTTCAGACAGAATTTCATTCAAATTTGTTGGTTTGAAGAAAATAGATTCTTTAATTTCTTGTTCCACATAATAATATCGAGGAATGTGCTTCATGGTAGAAGTTATAATATGTTATTCTATAGTCACCATCTTGGCGTAAAAATTGTCATACTTTTGTACCAATTTCTTTACTATTTAAGTTAAGGTGCCATCTTTTTATACCGATTAAGAGAAAATCAGAACATATTGTGGCGTTTAAACTTTTTTGTGCAAAATTACATTAATTATTAAGCATTTTGATGACACTCTAATTACAGGAGACGCACACATGCGGCAAATCTACGATTTGTGGAGACGCGTTTCCCTGGAAACCTCGAAAAATATGGCAGTCGCGCAGCTGGAGCTCCTTTATGACGTCATTGCCGCATGCATAGGCGTTGACTGGAGTTCTTTCGAAGTTCTTATTAAGGTAATATACTCTGTGATTCACGATTTTAACCTAACTACTTGAGTAATATTTTAAAATATGTAATGCAGATTTTTGTAAGTGGCCGGCTTGGGGGCTTAGCACATTGCACATTACAGTACTTTGATTCAAATTTCGTAGCTCAACTCGAAAAAAAAAGTTTTGCAGCTTTTAAAATGATGCAATCGGTTGTTGTTGTGAGCGATAAATCAATCATCAACATCAATTTCGAAAGGATCATTGTTGTGTTTTGATTGTGTTTACTATACAGTGTGTCCAAAATAAGGATCCTAAGCATGGAAATCTCCGGACTTGTTGCAAATAGATCTTACGTTAAATTGGAAAAAACTTATTTTCTTTCATGCTTATTCACATGCCGTTTGAAAACTTAATTAAATTAATTAATTAATTTTCATGTCCTTGATAAAATCGATTTTAATTTTTTCTATTTTTTTTAGTTGAAAAGAAAATTGCATTTTTTCACCTTTTTAAAGTCATTTTTAAGTAGACGAATAGTGATTTGTTTTAAATAACTAAAAACAAAGAAATTAAAGCATTTTTTTATTGAATTCAAAGCAGGCGTTCAATCAGGTTTCCGGTCTTTTCCAAACATAAATATAATCTTGTAACTGTAGAACTCCGGCAACATATCTAGTGCAATACTGTTAAATACGCTCATTACACATTCTCGTAAATGCTGTTCAGATTCAAAAGAATATTAGTAAACTCGGTTTTTAATAAAACCCAGCCCAAGACACTTCACTAGAGGTTCCAGGAAATCCCTGTTGAAACCTCTGCCGGAAGTAAATTATCTTCAATATATTTCGCAATAAATGAAGGTATGTGGCAGAACTACCTTATGGAAGTGTATTCAACACATGGGTTTTAGATTTAAAAAAATTGACAAAAGGCAAGTTTTAATGGAATCTTTTAAAATTCGAAAATGGCGACTGGAATATCTAGAAAAAATTATGATTTACAGAGAACAACAAATACCAATTATTTACTTGGATGAAACCTGGTTCGACACTTATGATATCCCGGAAAAGGGTTGGGTTGACTCAACTGATAAGTGTAAAACAAACGCGCCATCAAAAATAGGTAAAAAAATAACTATTTTGCATGCTTTCTCTAAAGATGGTTCGATTCCAAATGGACTTTCTCTGTCTGCGAAAAATATTAAAGATTCTTCTCTGTATTACCATGAAGACACCACCGCTGATTTATTTGAAAGGTGGTTTAAAAACAAACTAGTTCCAAATGTTCCTCTCAATAGCGTAATTGTAATGGACAATGCAAGTTCTCACAGCAGACAGTTGACTAAAACCCCTTCCTCATGTGACTCAAAAGCAACAATCCAAAAGATTATACCAAAAAGCAATTAATTGAGGTTTTACAAAGCTTGAACCTACAAAAGGAATACGTCTGTGATAATTATGCAAAAAATCTAGGGCATATAGTTTTAAGGCTTCCACCTTACCACTGTATATTTAATCCCATAATTCCCCGTGTTAACTCCAATGTCCTCAAACTTATAGAAACCGAAGTTTTTAACATCCCTCCACAAAGTTGGGCAAATTCTGTTAAACATATAGAAAAAGCAGAACAAATATAGAACAAATAAGAACAAATAATAATTAGAACACGCGATGATGGCGATAGTGATACTGATATATTATGTGAATAATTTTAAGTAATTTAAGTAGGTAATAAAAATAATTTGTAATTTTATTTTAGATTTAAACATAAATACATACAGAAATAAATAAATATTGTTTAGTATCGTTCCTAACAAAATCCCAAATAATAGAATTCTAAGCAAAGTACGGAACTGTTCGGCCATATTTCATTTTTATAGCTTGCCCGGGTCTTTCCTTAATTCGTATCACTTAGTCATTTTCTTATATCTATGAACAGACTTTACTGTTCTGCGGACCACTATGCAACTTTCGCAAAATCGATGTAATTTTATTGTGCATGCATCCTGTAAAAATGAATGTAAAAAATTGTACAAATAACAGCGATTTCCAATTAGATTTTTCCAAATATCTCTCGCACCCCATATGATAGACGAAACCTGAAAATTTCTCCCGAGAGGCTTTACAAGACTGTTTAAATCAAATTATCCCCTGTTTTATAGTTTTTCGTTTATGATTACTAATTTACCCACGAAAACGGCAATTTTCAGCATCTTTTAGTTTTTTTAGCCATAACCGACTACCCCTGTATACTCTCGCGTTTCCTCCTATATGAATTTTTCCAGTAGAGTAAATGGTAGTAAAAAGAGTTTATCATTTGATAAAGACACGGTGTCGAAACAATTGTCATGTAAAAAAATATATACTTTCGTGAAAATCTGAACTTTTAGTTATTTATTTTGATAAATGGATTTTCATCAAGTAAAAGCCACCTTAGTTCAATTAATAAATGACGTCATCGCGTCTAGGTTGAGTGCGAGATATAGCGATTGTCACATGAACTTTTTCAAATATCTTGAGAAACGCGTGGTCTAGACGAAAACCGTAAATACAAAAATCGTAAACCACGTAACCATATTTTTCACGAATTTTGGTTTACGGTTAATAATCTAATCCAGACAAGAAAATTCGACAAAATGCTTTAAATAAAAGCTATAGTGCTGGATCTCCTGCGCTTGATGGTTCCAGAATTTTAAAGATCGGCTAAATATTTTTCGATAAAAAAGAAATTCAACAATTTTTAAAAAATACTTCGCGATTTTTGATTGTGCCCAACTTCTAAAGCTTAAATGTGGGTATGGACTTCTACTTCCCTGCCAAATCTGAAGTAGACGGCTGCAAAGTTAAGACACCTACTATACTGTTTGGTGGTTTTTAATTTTTTAAAAATAGTTTCCGAACCCCCCAGCCCCCCAGTTTCAATAGGTTCCATGGCAAATTTGAAGTCGATACTTCAAATTTCGAACACTAATCGTGTTTCATAGAGATTTAAGAAGAACAGACGAAAATCGCGAAAAAAAATGGACACCGGGATTTGCTCGGGATTATTTTCGATTGGTTAATCGATATAAATATAAAGCCTCGTGGGCTTTATATAAGGATCCAAAATTCAATATTTTAGCTGAAACTGTTTGGAAGTTATTCACGTTTTTATTGAGCGTCAACAGAGAACGGACAAACAATAAAAAAATTTTTTTAGACGCTGTTCATTTCTATTGCAAGATAAGATAAAAGAAGAACAAACGCAAAAGTTTCTTATAATTAAGCGTACAGAGACACGTGAAGGCACCTAGAAAATTTTCTCAGCAATCCGAAAATCAAATACTTGGGTATTCAAAATGAGGTGTATTTACAATCTTTCGATATATAACTTCTTATGGAGAAATAAAAAAATCCATGTACATTTGACATGTTTAACCATTAAAAATACTAAAATAGTACGAAGATTGTTAACACTGTTAACACTTAAGATAACTACCTTTTTGGTTTCAGAACTTGGAGAGTATTCTCGAAAATATGGAAACCTCCAGCAAGCCGATCGAATCATAAACCTCGTGCTTGTTTGCCTTACCTGACGTTGACGTTCTTCACCTGTTTTGTCCACATAAATAAGAATTAAAATTGTAATAATACTCGGCCTTTTATGGAAAACATTATTGCTCTTTAGAGGATGCAGATCTATAATCGACCAGAGCCGATTCCCATTAACATACTACAGAAACCCAGATGCATTTTAATGAGCACCAGCATATGTAAAAGTAATGACAAATAAATTTTGATAAATAGCTTCTCGATTACCCTCATTAAGATTTATTAAAAAATATTACCGCCGTTTGAAAAATGTTAAGAATATAAATAAGGTTTGATAATCCGATAATTGTTTTTTTACACCTTTTTCTGGTATTTATACACATTTTATTATTTTCTGCGCTTTAAATTTTATGTATTTCTTATCTAGGGCTCTCAGTTTGTTAACAGTGTGTTAAGTGTTAAAAAAATTGCTTAATTTTTTTAGTTATGACTAAACTACTCTTTTTATAAATTGTTTTATGTAGTCACTATTTTGGTAATCACTAAAAATGCTTTATTTTAAAGTACAACTGATGAAATCTCAATTCACTTCTGCGCTTTGATCAAGTAATACGTACTTGTTACCCTTTCCACTGATCTTTGTCCCTGTACAATTAAAGTTATGAAAAAATGCGTAACACAACCAACAATTTTTTTATGCAATAATAGGAGATGATCATCAAAAATATGGAGCAAAATAATATTTCTTATAAAGTTGTAATCTACATCAGACAGTGACGCGAGAGACTGCAAACAATCGGTGTGTCATCACGAAACGGATAATATATATGTTCCTTTATAGGTTTGGATTGAAGTATTGAGTTGTCGTGTTTCGTGAGTTTTAGATAAATATGGTAAATACTTCCTGTGTTCTGAACTGTAAGCAATAAAAAGAGAAGATTCGTTTGTTCCCACAAAAAACCAAGGTGAGTTTAAATTTGCCAGCCCTAAGTCCTACTTAGGGCTGGCAAATTAAAAAATTTCTAATCTTATTTACTGTAGTGTTGAATCCAAAAAAGAAGTACTAGCAACCAAGTTAAAAAATACAGCACGAAGACAAATATTTAATTAAACCAACTTCTGCGTTTCTCAATATTAAATTTTATATTACTTAATCCTAATAAAATAATTTTTATATCTACAATACTTTTACCCTCTAAATTTTATTGGAATTTCTACAATCGTTTTGGATAAATTTGGAGCAAGTCAAAAAAATCAAGATTCTTTAATACCCTACAGCTATGAAACGAAGCAGAATCGAACGCATGTTGATATAAATGTTTTATTTTTATATGAAGAATCTCCCCTCCAGCAATGGCGCATGTTATTTGAAACACCCGGTATTATAAACTACTCTTTTTATAAATTGTTTTATGTAGTCACTATTTTGGTAATCACTAAAAATGCTTTATTTTAAAGTACAACTGATGAAATCTCAATTCACTTCTGCGCTTTGATCAAGTAATACGTACTTGTTACCCTTTCCACTGATCTTTGTCCCTGTACAGTTAAAGTTATGAAAAAATGCGTAACACAACCAACAGTTTTTTTATGCAATAATAGGAGATGATCATCAAAAATATGGAGCAAAATAATATTTCTTATAAAGTTGTAATCGTGTTTCACTACAAGTGCTCTTCTGCAACATAAAATTTTATCAAACAAATTTTCTATTGAGATAGAAACAAAACCTTTCCTATTAAATAACAAAGGAATCCAGACATCATCTGATTTTTTATTTTTTTTATGAGGTCCCTATTGCTATAGCTGTATCTAAGAAACGCATCATTCGTTGAAAATTTACAAAAACCAGTAGACACGTTTAACAAAAATATTTTATATTTGAATTACATTTACCATAAATACATGCAGGTCTAGACTATATATATCCCGTTTAGAACAAAAGCACGATTCTACTTAAGACTAAATATAAAATATAACAAACGTACATTTCTAAAACATTCAAAAACACTTTGGCCATACATCAACCTTAAACGTATTTTTACATGTTACGAAGAGTAATTGAAATTACATTCTAATATACATGCTTATTGAAATCCATTAGCTATCACACCGTTCGTAGAACACAAATTAAGGAAAAGGGATATTCCCGAAAAAGTTGCATCGTTTTTTTTTTATTTTATATAATACAATAAACAGGTATAATGCTATAAAGCGTTCCCTAAAAAAAAAAGCAACAATATATGTTGTTTTATTAAACGATAAAGCTTATAAAATTATTTTTCGGCCTGTTTTCTGCACTGCACTTATTTGCCTCGGTTTAAATTTCACATTCAGGAAAATAAGCACCTCTTAGTAACAAGCATGTCGAAAGCAGCATTCGAGATATAAACATGTGTCCTTTTTAATGAACGATTCCCCTTTAAATAATTACATTTTGGGAAACCTCCAAAAGGAATGTAGACGTTGCTATTCTTTGCAAAGGTCCTCCGGTCAGGCAATGCTTTTGGCTTCTGGCAGGAACGCTTCCCAGTATTTGACGAGCTGTTGAAAATTTCACGTAATAACCTTTACCTTACAAAGGTAAGGTCTCGAACTTACCTGCGCTTGGTGTTCGAGATGGTTCTCGAGATATTTAATGAACATATTTTTAAAATCCTGTATTCTACACCTCTCGAACCTTTCCATCTCTTCCTTGATCATGTGAGATATTTGATCAAAGTTCCTTTGCCCTCTTTCAACTTTCGCTTCCCACTGATTAATAAATTAATTTTTCATTTTGAATGGAAAATGCATTTAGCTACTAGATATATAGGGGCCTTACCTATGAAACAGCACTAAAAGTGCCCACGACAACAAAAGATAAAAAGTAAAATTGGCTTTCAACCAATGATATTTTGAAAATCGATTTCGACTAATAAGATCTTGTGGAGTTAAACGATCAACGTCGCCGCTGACAGATTGTGAATTCGACCAACACGCCCTCTACATCAGACAGTGACGCGAGAGACTGCAAACAATCGGTGTGTCATCACGAAAAGGATAATATATATGTTCCTTTGTAGGTTTGGATTGAGGTATTGAGTTCTCGTGTTTCGTGAGTTTTATTTATCTTATTTACTGTAGTGTTGAATCAAAAAAAGAAGTACTAGCAACCAAGTTAAAAAATACATCACGAAGACAAATATTTAATTAAACCAACTTCTGCGTTTCTCAATATTAAATTTTATATTACTTAATCCTAATAAAAAAAATTTTATATCTATAATACTTTTACCCTCTAAATTTTATTGGAATTTCTACGAACGTTTTGGATAAATTTGGAGCAAACCAAAAAAATTAAGATTCTTTAATACCCTACAGCTATGAAACAAAGCAGAATCGAACTCATGTTGATATAAAAGTCTTATTTTTATATGAAGAATCTCCCCTCCAGCAATAATGCATGTTATTTGAAACACCCGGTATTATAAACATTAAAATAATAGAAGGATATTAAACCTTTTGTTTACCCCCCTTCAGTTATATTTGATATTATAAACCCCGTGCAAACAGATATGCCGCTTCCTTAATACTTTGACGTTTCCATATTAATGCCAAAAAATGCGCATGCGCGACACATTTAAAAATTCGCTCCCAAACAATACGAATTCAAATCTTCAGTTTTCAGTGCGGATGTGACATTTTTTGGTACTATCTCGTTAAAATGTGCAAAAATAAAATGTTAAGCATAACAGCAAAGTGTTTAGAAAGAAAATGGCGCAAAATGTAGGCAATATAGGAGGAGCAAATATAGGAGCATGCGCGAAAGATTATTCCCTTCTGTAGGAGTTTAGAAAATTGCATTAATCAAATGCAGTTACAATAACTTTAGAGTATTTAAGGCCCCTATATTATCTATTAGCTATATGGTCAATCTAACCGAAATTGTTCGTCTCAATAAATCAGAAAATGACCTCATTTAACCCTTAAATATACTTATTTAATACAATAAAATTTTGCTTACTTCGATAACTTCCGCATTAGCTTGATCGAGTTTATCTGTTCTGTTGGACAGTTCCAACTTGGCTTTGGCTTCCCGTTTTTTTGCGAGCATCTGTTGTGAGTGCTGCCAGTGCTGAAATAATTTTGTTCTCTCGTGGAATGCGTCTCTCACGGCCCCCAAGAGACCTAGATAGTCCTTTAGCATTTCGCAGAAAATATAGAAATCGGTATTGGCTTGGTCCAAGTGAAGAGATTCGACCTAAAACGACAGATATCGAGTCGACCGTTGGTTAAAGTGAACAAAGAACCTTTTCTTCGGTGTCGGCCAGTTGTGATAGTGCCCTAGATAACGAATTGTGATCTTCGCAAGCGCTTAACATGGCCGCCGATCTAGAAACCCCGTTGGTTAAGATGGCGAGTTCTCTCCTGTAGGTAACCATCCCTTCGACGTTGAGGTGCAGTTTTCGAAGTTGGGTTTCCAACGCCTCGATGTGTGCTAACTTCTCTTCGAACCACTAGAAACAATAAATACAAAAACGTAATGTCCGTTTTCGATTTTTTTAGTAGTACATGTTGACTCTGAGGCTACAGATTTGGTTCAGCTGATTGAGAATAATTTCACTTCAACTTCAAGTTGGTGAAATTTTGGTATGTATCAATAGTATCAAAAGTAATGCTGTGTGAGTGAACCAGATTTTTATCAAAATGTTTAAACTTTTTTGAAAACAATTTATCCCTTGTCCAAAGCTTAAGTGCCCTCAAGGTTGAATGAACTGAAATCAATACGCATTCTTTCTGCAGCCGCAAAAGTACTTGAAAAGGTGGTAAAATATCAAATTGTACAATTTCTCTGGTTGGTATAACACCAAAATTCCAGTTTAGATCAGCATCAGCTGCCTCTGCTTTCGATCAGTCATAACTGTTGCCATTTTAGTTATTGTGATATGTATGTAATTATTATATGTATTAATTGTAAACATGTATATTTGCAAAATATATCAGACCGGGATTCCAAAAATTCAGAATATTTTTTTCATTGTCCCCATTTAAAACTGTGCTAAATAGCGTTAATCTCGTACAAAGTCAGACCATACATGAGTTATATCAAAAATCATATTACAAATCAAAACTAATTTTTGAATTTAAAAATGCTCTTCCACAATAGCCACATAGAAGAGCAAGTAGATGTAAAAGCTATGTAATCTGGAAAAACGCCACAAAAATGGCAAGAAACAATCTTTAAGAAAGGAGATAGAAACAATTATGAACATTATAGAGGTATCACTTTGTTAGATGCAGCCTACAAAATATATACCAGTTATATCTGAAGCTTTAATTGAAGACGAACAAATGGGTTTCAGATACTTTTGATAAGTGGCCACACAAGTTTTTCATAGATTTTGTCAAACGATTCGACAATGTAAATCGATATAAGCTGTGGGATATAATGGAAACATCTCATCAGAGCCACATAAGGAAACAAAAACTCGCATAAACATTAAGGCAACAATGGCCAAAAAAACATACCCACAAATAAAAGTGTTGAACAGGGATGCACCATCTCCCAACAGTCTTTAACATATATATCAACGATATCATTAAAAGATGGAAAACAACATATAACAAAGAGTTACAGCTTAACAATATGGAATTTGGTGTTATATTAACCGCATATAAAACATTGTGATACTGGCCAACACAGAAAATGAACTTCAACAAAAAAGTTAAAACTATGACTTTCTTAGGAAAACAGCCAGTATGAACAAAAATAGTAATTGATCGAAAGATTCTCGAACAAGTAAACCCCTTCATTGAATCATGAATCGCCTGGAAGAAGCTGAAATGAGATTTCTCCGACATAAGAGAGGAACTAGAAGTAACAAGATTGCTTTCGAAAAATCGTCGCTGGGCGGGGCGAGTTCGTAGCGCGTAGCGCGAAATAGCTTTTTATTATAAAAAGAAAGACCTTCGCGGTTTCGTGTGGTAAAGGGACGCATTGTTTTTCTATCGTGCTCCTGCGGACCACTATGAAACTTTCGCAAAATCGATGTAATTGGGCATGCATCCTGTATAAAGTGTACCCTGTACATCTTGACGAACTTCAAAGTTACACCAAACATCGGTAAATATTAAAATTTGCACAAATAATAACGTTGTCAAATAATACTTTCTCAAATGTCTCGCGCCCTGTATAACTGACGAAATCTGAAACTCTCTCTCATCAAATAAAATTATCCCATCTTTAACGGTTTTTCATTTATCGCCAATAATTTACCCACAAAAACGGAAATTTTTAGGATCTTTTAGATTTTTTGCCCATAAACGACACACCCTGTATATGATTCAAACAATGTTCGCAGTAGAGGTTATAGCCCTGGATCTTCCACGTTTTCTGGTCCAAGAATTTTTTGAAAATAGTAAATGGTTTTCGAGAAAATAAGTTTTAATAAGTAATAATCAATGACGTCATCGCGTCTTGAGAGCCCCCGAAATATCCCAAGCAGCGTATGTGACAGACGAAAACCGCAAATACAAAAACTGTAGCTCTTGATGCGGCTTATGACACTGTTTGAATCTATCAGTAAAAGAACAATTTGGTAGGTCTTTTAGGTTTTTGCCTATAATTCGAAAACCCCGTATATAATCGAAAAAAATGCCTAACATAAAGGTTATTGCATTGGATCTTCCGCGTCTGCTGGCTAAAGAATTTTGCTGATCAGGTGAACGATTACGGCGGAAAACATATTTTTCTGGAAGCTAAAATTACCAAAAAAAAAATTTCAAAATTTTTAAAAAAGTACTTGTTAAAATTTGATTGCACCCAATTTCTACCGTTTAAATGTTGACGCGGACTTTTACTTCTCTGCTAAATTTGAGGTTGATATCTGCAAATTTAGGACACTTAACACATTTCTCATTCGGAATATCGGGAAAAGCCTGCACAACGGGTGAATACCTTAAATACAAAGGTTTTTGCTGTCTAGGCGGTCTATACCGCAATAAAAAAAGATGGTAAGATCTGAATCATAGTCTTTCAGTTATAACCAATTTCCAATAATAGGAGGACCCATTTTTCAGTTTTCTTGAATTTGCGGCGCACCCTGTATATTTTTGAAAAATTGTCAAGAATAAAACTTCTGCGTCTTTTGGTTCAAGAATTTTTTTGGCCTCGTAAACGAGTTTTGAAAAATGATGCTTTTTGTAGACCCATGCACATGCGATTTTTAATTTTTTTTAAATACTTTCCGACCCCCCAGCCCCCTATTTTCAATAGGTTCTGTCAAGGGGCATGAAGTCGATTGCTTCAAATTTCGGACACTTATCGTGTAAGGTCCAAAAAACAGTCGAAAATCGCGAAAAACAGAGAACGGAGAACGGACAAACAGACAAAAACAAATTTTTTTTTTCGACGGTGGTAATTTCTGTACCAACGGCGATCCCATAGGATCTAGCGTTACCGAGATATAAAATTTTTATACGAGCGTAGATACTTTTATCGATTTTCGAAAGTCTACACGACGAAGTAAAAGAAAATAAGAACACGACCATGTAACTAGGACGAACACAGAAAGACTTACCGCATAAATTTATAAATACAGACGTCATGGAAAGAGGAGGGGGACTGAGAAAGAGATGAGTTATGTTATACATATTAAGCCTAATAATTGCATTAAAGAACTAGAAGAGAAATAACTACAGAATACAGAAGTTAAAAGGAAAGAGCATGTATGTCATCATGAGAAATTTTTGGACATACGATGGCTCAGAAACAGTATGTTCATATAAGGTGTCAAGTGCATAACATCTTAAAATCAGAAGAACCCCAACATTTGGAAGAAGTCCAAGTGAACATCCATTTGATGATTTGAACTTATAATTCGCCACCATGTTCCCACACCAAAAACCATTATCATACACTTTTAGCTAATACAACAGACTAGCTCCTTACAGGATAGGATTAAGTCAGAAGAAGTTAATATCAAAATAAAAAATTGAAGCAACAATATGCAAGTCGGAAATCACGGGGATTGGACAACATGAACTACTCAAGTATAGTAGCAATGAATTTATAGATCAAATGCATATCCTGTTTGGTAAGATATACGTCCAAAAAAGTACCAGAGGGGTGGAAAGTAAGTTTCCCCGTTTTCAAAAGAGATTCGAGTCTGTTAAGCACGGATCAAAATTATTGAAGAAGAAATTTCACGAACTAGTATTAGTGAAGAAGAACAGGGATTAAGACGAAATAGATTGAACATTGAAGCTTTATCTTAAGATAAATTGCCCAAAAGGCCAGAGTACAATAAAACATCCTTTATGTCCTTTATAGAATTTCGTAAGGTGAGACTGCATGAGCTCTCCGATAAAATACCAGTATCAACAAGGAAATAGCCTCAGTCTAGTCCTTTTCAACATCATCATGGACAAAATCATAAATTCAAAACTGCAGGCAGACGACACAGAATCCGAAAACAGAAATTCAACATTGTTACTCTGATGACGAGGTTGTGACATCGGAGGGTGAGGACAATCTGCAAAAACTACGCATGGAGAGACCATGTCAATAGAATAGACGATGATCGATTGGCAAAAATCGCAAGAGTGACCAAACATACCAACACAACTTAAGAGTCACAAATTAGGCTGAACCTTTGAAAAAATATACATATTTTTGTCTAGTGACATGGGAAATTTATGAACTATTTTGGTACGTGTTCAGGTGAAGTTTTTTAAGGTTATTTTATCGAGCGGAGGTTAATTAAAATACACTTAGGGGTTCTCTTCACCTTTGCATGTGGTATTTTTTGTTTTTCATGCAAAAATTATTTTTTATATAGTCAAGAACTACTTACAGGATCTGTCTCGTCCATTTTATAGGTGATTTTGTTTACGGTTTCGCCTACTTTATTAAACAACCTCATGACTCCGGCACTGCTCAGTGCCGATGTGTTTGTCGCTTTAGGCAGTTCTATATCTGGAACGAAAATTTATTGAAAATGAAAAATTAACTTAGGTCGCCATCATCACTACCGTATTCCAAAAATTCCCTAAAATCAGGATCCAATACGAGCACCGGATGAAGGGCGGTCCTCTTCAAATATCTCTCCAAAGAAGAACGCCTTCTTTCTATAAAATCGTTACCGTTTGCGGAATTTCCTTCGGTGCTGCTACCCATTTTGATTTTAGTCATGCCTAATATTCGAAAAATATTTTTAAATGCTGGGTAATTAAAAACTGGGTAAAAAAAGCTCACCGATAACGCTTTTCTCGGGTGCAGGAGGTATAATTCGACCCAGCTTCAGGTATTTCTCAATGAGTTTATCGTGAAGCCCTAGAAAGTCACTAAACCTACGAGTTACCGTAAACTCCCTCTTTTTAAATATGGGCATGTTAGTTTTCGTGACTATTCTGTATGCGACGTATGCACCCATACCTTCGCCAATCTTTTGAGTATCTGGAATGTTGATCTCTAGAAAATCATCGCCTCCTTCAGCTTCAGCCTACAACAATGAGAATACAGTTTGGCACAGCATGACATCTTGGGCCATTTTTCACTCCTATCTTCTCTAAATTTACTAAACTATTGCAACAAACGGAAAACCATTTTATAACAATTTTCAAGAAAAATTTGATGTATGAATGATTCATTTGTTTTCGAACTACACCATCGATTTTTAAACTTTCTTATGGGAGCCATATTGAACATCTTCATTATCAGATAGAGAACATAAAAAACTCTTTTAAATGACAAATTACGTGACGTTTTTATTATCATCCTTAGGGTCACGAAAGCAAAATTTTCAAAACAGTTGTCAGCTAGTTTTGATAGCATTTTAAACAACCACACAGGATGTTAGACGATGTTGTCACCGTATACTTCGAACCTAATAGCCATTTGTTTAAACAAGTTTTCTAATTGAGGCTGTAAATACTATTCATAATAATAATTACTACTCAACAATATTTATTAATTATTGAATTATATTTGATAAATTTGAATTATTATAGGTATATTTATTTGAATGTAATTAGTAAGTGATTTTGTTTGAAATTTTTTGCGTTATCGACTATTCACTTTTGAATAAACAAAAAATCTAATACCGGTTCAGTTTATGCAATCAATGGACGGTCAAAACTTGTTTTTCCGAATTCGATCGAGAGTGATCATGACCTACTATAAAAAAATCAAATTTTGCTTTTGTGACCCTAAGAATGATAATAAATGGATCATGTGATACATCATTTAAAAGAATTTTTTAAGCTCTATCTAATAATGAAAATATTCAATATGGCGCCAATAATAAAATTTAAAAATCTATGGTGTATCTCGAAAACAAAAGAAAAAAATCTGTTTCCTTTTATGACATCATATTCTTCTTTGAAAAAAGTGTTTCAATAATGTGTTAATTCCAAGACCATGTTTGGCGTATTTTGGACTATATAGACAAAAATAGAAAAACCAAATGTTTATATTTTCTCGGATTACTCAAAAACGATTCACGCTAGAATCATTCTGTGGGCATTATTTAATTTTCTCGATAAAATTCTTTAAAACTTCCCTAATTTCTGTACCACCTATGCTTTTCGCTATCCCCATCCTTATATTGGACGCACTGTAAATATAAAGGGGAAACACTTCAAAACTATAACTCACTCGTTCCACGGGATTTTCACACGAATTATCAATTGTAACTGTTTCCATTTTGGTTGTTATCTTCATTTTGGAAAAATCCGGCGGAAAATCAGTCCCGTTACCATTTATAATTTTGTGATCGTCCGACATTGAATCCTTAAAATCAAATTGTTTTTGTTGAACAAAAATATATATACAAAAAATCTTTGTAAAAAAAAGTTCACCTTTTTTACTTACTTGTATTGCAGAAGCAAACAGATCCTCATCTACACTGTCTACACAGTTGATTTCAATATTTTTAAACAGAGGGGGTGGATCAACTTTATCATCAGCCATGTTTCGAAACACTGCTTTACGAATAAATATCTCAGTTTACTCCCTAATTACATAGAATTCGCTTGACATTAACTAATCTACCTATCTAGCTAAGCTCCTAAGTAGTTTTGTGACGAGCTATACAACTGATTAGTCGGAATTTAGCAAACACAAAAATCAAATTCGGATGACGTTTAAAAAACGTCGCACGTTGCCAAGTTGATTTGGAAGCACGGACCATAAAAAGTGGGGACAAGTGTACTTGTATTCCCCTATTTTTAGGGCAGGTGTCTTTAGCAATCACAATTTTCAGCCTTTGTAAAAACTTATTAGTTGCAAACTTTTGCTGGCTTAGAGTCAATATTCCTCTCATTTCCGAAGTGTCCGATCAATTTATGTTCCGTGATCGAACTAACCCTATTCTTTACCGCGATTTGTTTAGATAGTTCTGTCAACATTCTTGGTTTGTTGACGTGTTTGACAAGTGTTTTTATATTTGTGTACGGAGATCGGAAATATCCAAAAATGCAGGAAAGCGATTCAAACGGGAGTTCTTCGTTTGAAATAGTTGAAAAGAAAGACGTCGAATCTGCCAAGACGAGCGATAAAAGCGGTTGATTATTTGTTACTTTTTTTAAAAATTAGGTCAAATATGAATCAATTTCAGAAACACTAAGCATTTCTTCCCCGTATTCGATTTCTTCGCAAAGCAGCACTAGCATATCAGTGGGTAATATATTATCTTCTGTGGCACCACCCGCTGCTATCCCAGATTTTAAATTGTGGACCCCCGCGGGCCCTCAAATAAAACCTACCCCTCATGACAATCAAATTGCAGTCACCGCAGCGCCCGCAATTGATAACCAATTTCCAGTAACGCAGTTTAGGTAAATGTTGCACCGTTTCTAACCTAGATGATTGGGTAAAAATTACTCCTTTCAGTGCGGCTATACCACCCAGCAAAGGTGTGCCTCAAGAACCTTTCCAAAAGAGAAATATCCAGCCGCCAGAAGCGGAAAGTATATCAGGCACGAGTTTTTTAGGGCTGGTAAAGGGCGCTTTGTCAAATCCAGTATTTACTAAAATGGCCGAAAAAGCGAAGAGCTCTGTAGACTCTTTAATAACAACCTTAGACCCTCAAATGAGCGAATACATTTGTCAGTATATTTAAAACATAAACCAGTTCATTGTTTAAAAGAGTGCTTGTAGATTCCGGAGGCGACACAGAGTTTATAGTAACATCAACTGACGAAGAAATTATAAGTGCAATAAGAGAGGCAGTTCATTCCATTTTAGGAAAAGCATGGGTGAAGTAAAGGCACTTCCTGAATTAATACGTGTCCTTAATATTAATTATTTGCTTTAAGTGGAATCAATCTCCCTTCAGATAAGACCCAAGCAGTGGGATTCAAAGAGGGATTAAAAAGGGCCAAGGACAAGGTAGAAAAGTCTTATAAAATTAAGAAAGCTCCCATAGTTGCTGTAGAAAATATCCTTTTGTATGAAAATGAGAGGTATTTCTGGTGTCTCATTAAATATAATATTATTGCTTTTTTTTTTTTTAAGTTGGTATGATGAGAGCGTATTGCTTCTTATCGATGCCGAGAAAAATATAAATCTCAGCACATTTTCACAAGCAACGCCGGTTCCAACGCTGAAATTTCTAAAACAAATAGATTCAGAGTATGGGGATTCTGACAAGACCGTAGAGCAGAAATTAGCAGAATATCTAAAAGCAAGTTTTGGTAACATTTAACTTTAGCATAATCAAATATTCAATTTCAGGCGATTCCGGGCTGGCAAGAGGAAGTTTCTGGGGTATCCCGAAAAGAAGTGATTTTACTAGCCGCCAAAACATTGTTCAAGCTTTACAAAGAGCACTTACCACAAAATAGATAATTTATATATCATTTAAAGGAAGTTAATTTCGTTTATCTGCAATTAAGTAATGTGTATTAAATAATATTCATCTATTTGTAAATACTTAAACCTTGCCTAAGTACTTATAATTTTCATGTAAATATATCAAATAAAGGAAAAAAATTAAAACTCAACTTTGGTCTTATGTATTTATTTTGATTGTGCTGAAAAATTTAATTTGGTACAAATTCAATTCTATTAATAAAAATTGAAAAAATATATTTTTTGTTTCTAATCGTCCTTTGGTTGACACAGATGGTTAACTAAGCAACCATACACAAGAAAAGACTTTACTGTTCCCACAACGAGCACACCATTACTACTCTAGACGTAGAAATGGCCGGCTTAAAAGCGTGGGGTAATTTAAAATAAACGATTTCTTTTTAGACTTCAATTCAGCTAGACAAAAGAAAAGGGAGATTCACTTTCCTGCTTCCCTTCTGGTTCTCTTTATTCATTTAGGTATTGCCCAAATCTCCCCATGGATATCTAAAAATAAAAATGAAACTTTAAGATACAGCGGCATAGATCAGTAATACTAATCCTAAAGAAATCATATCAGAATCCTTTTGGCAACAAACATAATGCAATATTAGTTCTTGGGAAAAACTTGATCATCACGAAATTTGAAGTTTTTATAGGAATTACATAAAGAGAGAAATTTTTTCGAGTTATCCAAAGTTAGCAAAATACTTACTCCAACAGCTCTTGACAGGCTCCCGTGGATTTGGCATCACCTAAAAGGAAAAAATAACGATTAGACAAAACAAAGCTAAAATAAAGCGGATCGGCAAAACAGTGTAGCACTCAGCTGGCCGTTCTTTGAAACATCAAAATTTTTATCAGAACAGGTCTGTGAAAGAACAATCATCATTTTTACACACTTCTCTTATGTAAAATTGACGAATAAATAGAAAAGATTTACTGTAGCCCTTGATGTCATGGGCTCAATTTGATTCTATGTCCAGTTTTCGAGATTATCGGTGCTCAAAGTTTTACTTTTTTTGACAAAATATTTATAAAGAGGTTTATTTCATTACAGTTCAAAAGTATACAAAATTATCGCATTTCATTTTGGATCCGATGTCATGTATTTTAAAAATCAATTGCCAAATTTTCACAAAACTAAGACACTTTTTGTGAGGGGGTCCCTTGTACTAGAAAATTCAACATTAAATGTCAAATGTTGTACTATTAGAAAACTGAATACTTACTTCGGCACCAAATTGGAACGCCTCGATGTCAAACAAAAGAAATCTACAACAATAAAAAAAAAGACATCAGTAAAGTAGAATAATTAAGCATAAAATTAATATAACTAATGCGATGTCAGATGGCCGTTCTATTAACATCAAAACGTAATCAGAACAGGTCTGTGAAAGAACAATCATCATCAAAGCTAAAGTTCTGTTATATGTATTTCCCCATTAAAATACTTGCAGTTAATTTTTTTAATTTTTAGAAATGTTTATTGGTCGATTAATAAATATTAAAATTTTGTAAAAAAGAACCATTAACATGATGTCAAAAGAAAGTTAAAAAAAAAATACCAAATCGTGTGAAAGTCCTTTTCTTCATTGTTTTATGATACTCATCGCTTTGTATATAATAAATATAATAAAATACAATAAAAACTTATTATCACTATTATAACATAACCTGCGTTTTTTTTTTATTTATTTCAACAATTGGTATAACAAAATTGACGCAAAAATTTAATTAATAATTTATTTTGTAAATAAATTTACGAAGAACTCGGTGAAAAACCATGAAATTAAACAAATGGTCAAAATTAACTTACCTATCTTATGTTGGAATTGAACATTGTTGTAGCACTGCTATATAACCGGAAATGTTATCTATAAAATTAAAATAAAAAAATATGAAATTATTATTAGTAAAAAAATAAAAACAATTGACAGAACTGTTAGTCAGTTCGCCGGTGAAGTCTCATCAATAATCGTAAAATTTCAGACTATAACTATAACAAATGACATCATTGGAATCCTACCCCCCCAACTAAATCGACAAACTACAAAAAAAAACTAATAAACAACTAACCAAATTCATTTGTTCCAAAATATGCTCTGCAATTTGGATTTCTAAGCACTCCATTTGTAAATAAATATCCTGGAATAAAAGATAAACGCAATGTCAGATTTCATATAAAATGGTACAAAATGCAATGGTCTTAATAATAATAATAATCGATCAGAATAACCAATCAGTCATTATTTTCAGACTGGGGCGGTAAAAAAAATCATCACATTTAACGGTTTACAGTGAAATTTTTTCTTAAATAAGTATTGCACTAAATCAAAATACAAAATTTTTTAAAATGTTCTCCCTATATATTTTTCATATTACAATTCTTCCAAGGAATGTTTATATGACACAATGATTTTGTATTTAACTTTAAGTGCTTAAAAGAACATGTGTTTTTATGAACTCTATCCTATATCTTTAAACTTGGTGTTTTAAACAAAAATGGTTTTGCTCTTATGTCGCCTTTTTAAATATAAATTTTAATATTAGTAAAAGCTTACTTCAATCAGCATCAAGGAGCTTCTTCTAAGTTTTCTGCACCTGCAAATCTGAAACAAAGGAAAACAAAAAATTAGTAAAATCCAGTAAATTATATAGGCACGGAATATATTTGATATTGACATGATTGTCAGACCTGTTGAGCTTAGTAAAAGCCATCATCGATTTCTGGCATAAAAAAGTGTCATCATTATTTTGGAAGAACATCATTTTCGCAGAAAAATTACAAGCAAAAAACTGTCCAGCTTACCTTTAAACCAGAAGAGATCATCTGCTCACAGGTTATGGAATTCCTGAAACTCTTTAAAAATATGAAAACAAAAAAAAACTGGAAAAATAAAAATCTGGAGTTTATTGTTACACAAAAAAGAGTAAACAGTTAATGAGTCGAGTCGTTATTAATATTTATAATCCGGATATATTTAAAAACAATAAAAATCGTAAAGCTCGGGTTTATAATTTGCTTTCGCCTGCTTCCAAAATTTTTTACAATACCCAAAGTATTGTTTACATCCCAAAAAGAAAACGATATAATTTAAAGAGATAAAATTCATAATTGACAAAAATGAAACTATTTTTTTTTTCATTGGAATTTGTTTAATTAATCTTAAATAATCTGTACAAAACCTAAAGTCCCCTCGTTTTATAGTTTGTCCAAATATTGTGTAAGATCTGGGAGGCCTTCTTTGAGACCTTTCCTCTTGCGCGTGTCCTGCAAACAAAAAGAAGGGTAATTAATTAATATCATTCTGTCACTGCATTCTGAACGTTGCAAAAATGTATATTCACAAAATGCATTTTCATTTCGTGATAAGATACATTAAGTGAAATAATAACTTAATTACATATTAATTTTGACCTCAGGGCCATGAGAATTTCACTTTCGATTTAAACCAAATTTCGATTTCAAAAAAAGATCGTGTACCTACTTAATTTTTTTTCATGTGCGACTCTGACGTCAGTCATTAATAGCCGTAGTCAGCAGACGAAACAACATAACATTTTGTTTATATTTTTAATTTTAATGTTTTGCTACAAACTTCTAGTGAAAGTGACTCTGAAAATATTACTACTGACAGAATCAGCAGAAATTTTCAGTTGCAATGGGAGATTAAAGTTCCCTTGAATATTTTCAAAACAATTTAAAACAGTTAAGACGATTTGATGACGAAAAATGTTCTCAATATTGTGTAGTATTTTCTCGATCCCTTTTATTCAAAAACAAAACGGAACAAAACCCCGCTAAGACATATAATTACTGTCAAATGTCGAAATCACAAAATGCTTTCACACAAAAACGCGCCAATGTACAAGGTGGTCCGGGTATCTCATTATTTCGTGGACAATTAACAAAATTTTAAATAGGATATCAAGGCATTTTTGAATATCTCGAAACTTTCTAGACATATTTCGTATATCAAATTCTGTACCTAGCCTCACTTTTTTAACATATTTTGAATTTCATGTCAAAAGTGATTTTGGCCGGTTTAAATATATCCATGGATTTCTCCGCAAAAGCCTTTGCCATATATTTGAGGTTGATTTCTGTATATAAAAGACTCTCCTTTAGTAATCTGTGTAAAAACTTTAAACATAAATAGAAAATCACAAAAAATCAACAATATTTTTTTATATAATTTTATATATTTTAATTGTAGATTGGTTATAAACCGTTTTTCCATTTCAAACATGTTGTAAACACAACAAACAAGAAACAATACAAATAGAATACCATCCAATACCAACATCACAATTTCGCTTGCTGTTAGTTTAAAAATCAATGGTTGACAGTTTTATGCCACCTAATTCAATCACTTTTATTGTTATTGTTTTTTTAGTACAAACATTATCTCATGTCTACAAGACATATTTCTCAAAAAACTACATAATGGAAATACCAATCGTAAATAAAACAAATTGAAGACACTTTATTTGCAACATTCAGGAAGAATATATATAAAAATGAGATTTTTATAAATGGTTCTATACATACATTCTTGTATTTATATGCATATTAAAATTGTTTTCTTTTTAAAACAAAATATCTTATGTTATATCGGTGGTACCAAAACTAATCAAAACTAACAAAGTTCTGTAATTAGTATTACAAATAACAAAAATAAATGAATATTAACTATTTTCACTGGATTTCAGAATTATTGCACTAAATGATTATTTCTGATAATTATGTTTTATTTAAAAATATAATTTAATACGAAGAAATCAATATTTCATTATTTTTTGTTTTTGTTCGTATCAGTTTGGAAAATTAAGAAAAAACTATAAAACTTTCAAACAAAAACGTTTTTTCTGTATCTTCAAGTAAAAAAAGTGTGGCGAATTATCAGGGAATGCCCTGTAGTACAATTTAGTTCTATTGTCAGTTACTGTTAAGTATTGTGAATATGTTCAAAATTGGAAAAAATTATGTAATAGTTGCTAAATAAATAAAAAAATAAAATGTTTGAAAATCGATCGGCATCTGTTCGTATGTGCTTTCCACACAAAATACGTTCCTGTATTTATATGTATTTTAAAGTTTTCTTTTTAAAACAAAATAAATCTTTTGTTATATGGTTTAAGCTTTCGTTTGTGTCGTTTGTTCAAGAATCAATAAAAATAAAAATCTAAGCATATAAGTTACCTTTTATTAAGTTCCCAGCTGGTAAAGTTTTACTTTAAAAGCATAAATCGATAACGACAGAGAGAAAATGTCAGACCCCCTATTCAGGCCAAAAAGCGTGTAAACTTAGAAACCAAAACAAAGGCCTGGACAATATTTCACCGACAGCGAATGCGGTACATACCAACGTCACAATACAGCATTGTCTTGCGGTGAGGGACCACAGGAAAAGGGTGCTGCGGATTGCTTACCTGCACGACGCCGTAGGGTCTAGTGCCGGCTTCGAGCGGATCTCCCGGCAACACTTGCCAATGGTCGAACACGCACTGCGGGAAAGCCTGACCGCCGGTGTTGGAACGCAGATCGGCGGTGAAACCGAACGACTCGTTCACAGGCAAGTAAGCCTTCACGACGAACATGGGGGTGCCGGCCACCTGCATTTCCTCAAACACGTGACCGCGTCTCCTGTTCAACACGCCGTAAATACCGCCGACGGCGACCTCGGGGCACTACAATAGCATTTAGAAAGTGGATAATATAGGTGACGCACGGAAGCAAATTTTGGGGAAATCACGGCCAAAAATCGCAATTGCAACCGGAGACTTTCAGGCGAGCCCCATTATTTATATTACCGACTATTATATTATTATTATATTCGGTGTTGGGAAATATTTAAATAGGAATTTAAATTTTAAATGCAGTTTAAATACAAATGTCCCGGAAATTTTAAATATTAGTATTTAAAATTACACCGTGGATCTGAAGTTCTATTAGGTAAGAAGAAATAGATGTAATACAATACAAACTTCAGTTTTTATCATTTATATTATGTATTATAATAAATATTTATTATAATTTAATTTCAAGTGTTACATATGAATATGTAAGTAAAAGTATGTAAAAGACTGTATATATATTGTTTGCATGTAATGCTCTTTTAATCCACTCTTTTCCCAAAAGAAACGAAACTTAATGTTTATACACAATGGCAAACAGGTTTTTTTTTTAACTTAGTCCTTATTCTTTGCTACCGTTAAATGCTGAAATTATGATTTAAATTATGTATTTAAATATTTTTAAATAAATACTTTAGTTTAGCTTTTTTAAAAACACCCGGAAATTTTTACTTAATTAGTAAATTAGTAAACACATTAAAATCAGACCAAATAATAACAATGGGAAAACATTAATTAAAGTTTATTATTATTACAAAATGTGGAATATTTTCGAAAAAAAAAAACAGCAATACAATCGAGAATTTAAGAAAATGTAGTGGGAAAAAATTACGAGCTTGGTGAAACAGATTTTTAGGTAGAACCTAAGAACATTCTAATTTCTGCTAGATTAAAAACTAAATGTAAAAGTTTTTAAATAAAAAAACTTATTTACAAAGCTAAACAGAGTTAGATGATTTTATACAAACAGCTAAAAAGAACGAAGCACGACAATTATATCACAATCTCCTACACTAGTTAGTCGTTTATTTTGAATATTTTCAGAAATATGTCAGTTCAGTCGGCATTTGTTGCCAGTAGCGTCATTTTCATTATGAGTTATGTTAATCTATTTTCTAATCCTTTTTTATGACTTAGTTTCTTCTGTTAACCTTGGTAGCTATAATGGAGCCTTCTATCCCCCTAGTGGTAAGTAATTTTTTTTTTGTAGCGACCGTATACAAATTTTATTTTAACATGGTTATAGAATTTTTCAAAAAAAAGGTGGTCTTCGCTTTATGTTCAGAAAAAAAAATTATCCGTATAAAAAACTTGAGTAAACATAAACAAAATCCGCATTTTTGAGTATTTTTTTTTATTTTTTTCTTATTTTCAAGAATAATTAATATTTTCAGGAAATAAAACTGTTAACAAATTGTCGGTCATATAACATATAGGTTCATTTCAAATTCATCAATAATTATTTCATTTCGTGTTTTAATTTAATCAAATTGGCTAAGAAATAAAATTTTATGTGCCATAAGAAGGCTGCCTTACATTGTTAAAAGACAGAGCTGTCAAATGAAGTAAGGAGCGGTGTGACTATTTGACTGTACGTCGAAGTCGAATTGAAATATTAAATACAATTGAACATTTTTTTAGGAGTACATGGGTGGGGTTAGGATCATGTGCTTATTTTTGAATTTAATGTGATATTGGTAAAAAAGTAAAATATTCTTTAAAGAAAGACTTTGAAAGTGTATGGCGAATGATTGAATACGCTTTTTCAAGTCTTATCAATTTTCTCTAATCGAATTTTCAGCTGTGATTTTGTCCAGATTGGCCTATGTGCGACGCCGCTGTACGTCCCCCTATTCTGACCAAGACGATTAAAATTACGTTCGAGATCGAAACTAAAAGACGTTTTTCATCTACCATCATGCGCAAGCACTGGTCAATATTGAACGTCGCCAGTACTGAATAAAAATGATGGACACGATAGACACCCTTATGGTTAATTTACGACAACTTAAAAAAAACTCAAAGCAATTTGATGTAATTTTTTAAAATTTGGATTTAATATCATAAGGTAAAAAAAAAATGAAATAAGTTAAAAATTGAGAGTTGTAAAAATTTGTATAAAGTTAATAATAAATTGTTTGTTATAAAATGCAACGCGACAATTTCGTTCGGAATGAAAATGACATTACCAGTTTTTTTTTCTCAAAAAACGCTGCGCATTTTTTTTTCTTATACCACAAATTTACGAAAAAAATTGCCTGATAATCCATAAATAAAAGATTCATAAAGCGCAAGCTCTACGGATTCGTAATGCTAATTTTCGCATCAAATTGGCATTAAAATGTGTGTTTTTTTTAAATGAGATGCGCCAATGTTTTTCCTTTTACAAATTCATTATTTTAAATGAAGCGTGGCATTTTTTTATTACGACAAATTTATTAAGAAAAAAATGCAACACCAAAGCCATAAACGAATATTTTGGGATTGTAATGCTCACTTCCGCATAAAATTAGAATAAACTAGAGATGTTTTTTTTTTAATGCGGCGCCGCAATTTTTTTCTTCCTTTCTTTCTTATTGATTCGAAAACGTCTTCCTGGAGGATGCTCACCTGAATTTCGCACTGATAAACGGGCTCCATAAGCCTGGGCTTGGCCGTCAGTATACACGCGTACAAACACCTACGGGTAGTGGGGATGATTTGGCCGCCGCCGCGATGGATGGCGTCGGCGTGAAGGGTGACGTCGTAAATGTTGAATCTAACGCCCCTAAGGTTCTCTTCTGACAGCACACCCTCTTTCGTCGCCCACTGGAACCCTGCGACAACCGAGTCCTTGATCTCGTTCAGATACTGCACGCCCTTGGTGCAATCGACAAGGATGTTGGGGCCGGTGCCGTCGGGACCGAAGCACCAGATCTTACGCGCCTCGGTCACGTCGTAGTCGTACTTTTCGCCTAAGTAACGGGCGCGAGCCTTGAACTCGTCGCGCGGATTCACTTTGCCGTCGTCGATGTCCTCGGCGAGACCGTCCGGCATCGGTTGGGCTTTCATGAACAGCCTGGAGGTTAAAACGACCAAATTGAAGAATATACCGGGTGTCCCAGCAAGAGCAACGAGAGGGTACGCGGTATTAGAGAAACGGTAGTAAACGGAAGTAAATTGGCGAAGAGAAAATGCCAGAAAATATTTTAGAGTTTCTGAAATGGCCTCGAATTTGAAAACTAGGTATCTAGAAAATGTTAACCAAATGTTAACCAAAGTTAAAGCTAAAAAAAAATTCAAATATCTCTCTATTACTTCTGCAAAAAAAAAGTGAAGTTTTTAGAACATTTTCTAAAATAAATGTCCGCATCACGAAAAACGTTTAACGCATTTTAATTAACTTGGAAGTCTTAAAAAGGGCTTTTCCCAGACTATCAAACATTACATGAGTGACGCGATTGCGATTGCTTAATCTAAATAAAATGATAGGCAATCAAGAAACTTAGACAAGCATCAAATAGGCATAAATACCGTTAGAAGTGAATTATTTCTATCAAAAAAATATATTTTATTCATTTTATTAAATGGTTTCCACATTTTATTACTTAACTAGGTCAAATATTTAAGAAAATTAGTTAGCCAAGATTTAATTAGTGGCTGAGTTAATAGTTAACCGCATTTTTAAATGAAAAAAAAGTAATAATACTAAATATCTGAAAGCTACCAGGTAAATATGTCCCCTTCAAAAGTAAAAAAAAAAAACAAAAGTAATACAATTCAAAAAATATTTTATTTTGGTTTTAAATATCATTTGGAATCCTAAATAATCAATTAACGTTTTATTTGGTAAATTCGGGATAATTAGTCATTGATACCAACCGTCAAAGCGAAAAAATTTCCCAAAATCTCACTTTTTTTCATACCCAGAGGTTTTCCCGAGACTTTATTTATATTGTCAAAAAACGCCAGCTGTAACTATAATCGCGTCACTCCTAGCCTGATTGATACCCCAGGAAACAAATCCAAGTTCATTAAAATACGTTAAGCCCTTTTGGAGATATGATATGATACGAAAAAATTAATCTGCCACCACTAGTTTCCTTCCAGAGATAGAGAAAACACCCATTAAACAAAAAAGATTTAAATTTGTCTCAGCTTTAAAATAGTAGGTGCTTTACCTATTACCATTAAAACACCCCTTTCTTCACTAAAAGTGTCTTATTTATTAATGATTGGCCTATTTATCTAAATCCACTTTCTTTCAAAAACTACTGAGATTAAAAATATACTAGTGATTAGCACCCGTAGTTTTATCAGAAATTAATAATAATTCTAAAAAAACGAACCTATTGTGCTTGTTAGGCGACTTCGATAAACACATTTGGTCGGATTCCTCGCTAACAGTCTCGCGATAGGACACGACCGGGTCGGATTTTTTGATGGGAATGCAAGCGTGATCCTCCTCCAAATCCTTGAGGCAAATTTCCAAGTGCAATTCGCCAGCACCAGCGATGATATGCTCTCCGGACTCCTCAATGATGCACTGCACCATGGGATCGGACTTGGCCAGACGTTTTAAGCCTGAAAATGACGATTCGAAACTTGAACCAAAAACATTATATTATGAACACACAAGTTAAGGTTCCAATTAAAAAAAGACACACTTCACCCGCACAGAGATCGTCAGACCTATAAAAAGAATTTTTAATCAGGACAAAATCATGTTAAATGAGTTTATATACGCACACACTCACAAATTTGCATCGGACCTGAATACATTTGATTTCTACCAAATTTAAAAAATCGAAGTAATACTGAAATGTATTTGTTTGAAAGAAACGTTTAACAGTAAAAAAAAACACAAAAAATAATGAAATTCACTTTTAGAAAGGTCACATCTATTGACAATGGTATATAATTTTCCTCCGACTTTCCCTCTGGGGGAAAAAATGTTCTATCTTCTTCGGAGGTAAAATTTAGAATGGCGGCATTGTTTGAGATGTATGGTTAGTTTATATTGAATTTCTTTAAAAATTAGTTCGTTTGCTATCGTTCGGAATTCAGTGCCCTTACATACACATCTGAGCGCAGAAACTTTAAATAACAATTATTCTAATAGCAGTACAAAATGTATTCTTTAAAATCTTTAGCACTTAGCACAAATTAGCAAAACATTTGTAATTTACGGAGAAACCAGCTTTACAACTACACGCAATGCTAGTCTGAATGCAACTTTAAATGATGAATTCCTGCAGTAGACCCAATTAAAACGGCATGTTTTGCATTTAATGATACACATTACAATTTAAGTAGGATGAAATGGATTTGATCTAAAGATATTGATTTTAATGATTTTCCAAGAACCATAACAACAAAAACTAGGAATAACGCTTCATTGTAGCTTATGCGGGTTGAACGCGCTAGTCAAAGGTTGAAAAGGTAACAATTGTTTAACAAATTCACCAATAATCACAAACAACACAACACCAAACAAATACAAGTGGATTATGTCTTTAGATCAGGAGTAACTGTTAAAACTGTAATCCAGTGTTCAATGAACAGTGTAGCCAAAAATTTCTATAGGGGCTTATGAACACCTACCTAAGTTTGGTAAAAAAAGTACAAGACACTGATTTAAGAAAAACCAAATCAACTTTCCCTATTCGGTGTTCTTCACGGGTCATAATTTTTCTCCTATTTTTATATTTCACACTAAGAGTAAAAAGATGTAAACTATTGAAGAAATTAGGAAATCAAAGCTAAAAAGTCATTCATCTTTATTAAGGGTAAATCTACAATTTTTCACATTTCATTTTTAATCTTATCTTTAAGATTTGATAGAAACCGAAGGGTTTCAGAAATCTCTTTTACAGGTTTGATGATGTGCCTGTATATGAAACCCGTGATTTGTCTTCTAGGTTGCTTGCTTTTTCTTCAAATATATTTTTTCTAAAATCTATGGTCAAGAAACTCCTGTTGTGTGTGGTGCTCTAGCGTTTTATAATATAATTATAATTTCATTATTTCATTAATTGATGAAAGGTATATTAGGCATACTGCCATTACATTTATTGGAATCAGAGTATTAAATACCAATCAGTCACAGTTAGTTTCAGACTGGGGCGGTAATTAAATTCATCATAATGGTAAAAAAATAAGACACGGTATTGAATAAAAAATAAATTACGATAAAGGTACATACCTTCCACCAGTTTGGGCAAATCGGCAGGGTTCTTGGGTTCTACAGCTACTCGTACGACGGGAGATACGCTGAACTTCATAACTTTTAGGTTATGGGCGTCTTTGAAAGTGGTGATGGTACCGGTCTTCACCAAAAACTGATCCACACCAACCAGACCGCAGATGTTCCCAGATGGAACATCCTCAATCGCTTCGACGTAACGGCCCATCATAAGAATGGTCCTTTGGATGGCCTTCTCGTAAAGGTCCTCTTTCTTGCCAGGAGTGTAGTTGGGTCCCATGATGCGAGCCTTCATTCCAGTCGCCACTTTACCGGAAAACACTCGCCCGAACGCGTAGAAACGACCCTTGTCAGAAGTCGGTACCATTTTGGACACGTACATCATCAGAGGACCGTTGGGGTCGCAGTTTTTAATGCCCAAAGCCGCTTCGTCGTCGTGAGGTCCTTCGTACAGCATCTCCATCCTGTACTTCTGGGCGGTTACGGGCGACGGAAGATGGATGGCAATCATTTGGAGTAAAGCCTCGCCAGCCGGCAGCCAGGTTCTCATCACTACTTTCAAAAGTTGCTTGCCATCTTTGTCCTTATCCTCGTGCTTTAAAGTGATGCCAAGTTTCACGACCAACTGTTCATACTCTTCCTTTCTTAAAAAATCCAAACACAAACAACACTCAGTAACAATTCAAAGAAAGACTTATGAAAATAAAAAATTAAACATAACTTTCAGAAGTTGTTTACCATTTATATCATTATTGCCTCCATCTTCCTTTCTTCAATACCAAACATAAACAACAATCAGCACAAACTTAACAAATTTGGTAGCCAATTACCTTATATAATGCCCTTCACTCTTAATGAAGATATAAAACCTGAACTTCTCTAATTGGAGCAATGTAGGTATAGCATAAACTATTTCTGTACTAAATTTGTCAATAAGCTGCAAAATAATATTAAAGGGACATAATTAAAGACTTCCAAATTAAAAATAAACAGTGAGATAAAGTACAATGATTTTAAAATCCTAGCACATTGACCTACTACTCCAGTAGTTTGACCAAATTAAATGTGATTAATATAGAGAACAATAGCTTTGAATTAATACCTGTGACAAAAATACTTTGTATTTGGAAACATCAATTAGTGTTAGATTTATGAACATCACAGAAAAAGATATTTCTCACATCTTCCAAAAATTGTTTGCCATCATTATGTTTGTCTTTATTTTTTAAAGCCATGCTAAATTTCACGATCATCTGTGCTCATACTCTTCCTTTTATCCACCATCAAAGTTCAAAGGAAGAATTTATGTGTATCAAGAATTAAAGACAAAATTGACAAAAATGGAGTTAGTTCTCATAACAATTTTCAAAAGTCATTTACCATCTTTATCCTCTTTCTCACCTTTTAAAGAAAGTTTCACAACCAACCTCTCACATTCTTCCTTTCTTCAAAAAAAAAAAAAAAAAAAAAAAAAAATCAATAAATCACAAACTCTCCAAATATAGTAGGAATGTTTTCTCAGTACCGTAGCATATCACCAATGGACATAAGGATAGAGGTCCCGTGAAAGCGTTTAAGCACCAAGAAGGGTCACTCTCCTTCCATTGCACTGCATAAAGTGTCCTTGTCCTTGAACATCATACAATGTTCAAAAACTAAACTGATGCTCGTGTTGTGCTGGAAGGTGAGGAGCTTCGAACTAATCAGTACTACTCACCTGTAGTTCATAATGGCATCGAAAATCTTGTAGATCGGGTCCAAAATGTACATGCAGAAGGACCGTTTGTTATCGGCGTCCTTCTGCTTGGCCCACTTCTTTGTTTTGGGATTGAAGAAATTTTCGCCCCAAAGTCTGTTCATTAGTTTCACCACATCTATCTTGAACTTTTCGGCGTACATTTCGGCGAACTGTTTCAGGGTGAACGCCCAACCGTGCAGACCGGAACCGAAACCTACCGAACCTTTGCTCGGATCAACCTACGAATTAATTAATTTGCAATTTTGAAATTTAAAAAAAGATGAACATGTACAGTGTTACACATTTGGAAACTGTAGTGAAAATAGACGAAACACTACAGGGCAAAATGTGACGTTGATCTTTGAATCCTCGATCGAAATACAATAAAACCCATGTATCTCACCCTAAGAATTCAATTTAGCTGGTTTTGGATAAGAAACTTACCCGAACTTCACCCATGGGACCGCCGTCGTCGTTATAAGTAGCGATTATAACGTTGACATTTTCAACAATACGTTGGAACGTTTGGTACAGCTCTTCCGCTTCCAACTGCAACTCTAGAAGCGCACGATCCATCTTGTTCATGAAAAGAATGGGCTTGATACGTTCGGCGATTGCTTGACGCAAGACAGTTTCGGTTTGCACACACACACCTACGAACTCGGAACATTAGGAGGGGGAACATTCCAAACTTGTAAATTTCAATACCTGATACACAATCTACTACCACAAGGGCACCATCGGTTACTCTAAGGGCAGCCGTTACTTCGGACGAAAAGTCTACGTGACCGGGGGAGTCGATCAAATTAATCAAAAAACCTTTTTCTTCCTTCTCACGCTGGTCGGGATTGGTAATGAAAACAAGATCCTTGTCATCAAGCTCAAAAAACATAGAAATTGCACTGCAAAAAAGGAGACTCTTTAAGACGCTGAATAGTTTCCCTTCATTGGTTCTTCTACCAATGAAATTTATAACACTCATTTTAGTATGGATCAATACGATTAATTTTGGAATGTTTTGGATTTTCATAAAAACGCAAGCAATAACTATTCTTCAGTTGACTGCTGTTTTTTTTGTTGTTGCTTTAATTAAGTTTTAAGCAATTTTTTCGCTACATCATTCCATAATTTGGATTTATTGCATTTTGGATAGCTAAATTGTTTTTTTTTTCAACCAAGGGGTTTTAAAATTAAATACTGGATGTTCTAGTTAATTTTGTTTTAATCGCAAATAAAGGCACTCCAGGCCTTCTTTAGGCTCATCCACAAAAATAAAGTTATATGTGCTAAAGTACAACTACACTAATCTCCATAAAAGAAGGCTCCCCTTCAAATGTGTTAAGGTTACATTGAACTTAACAGAACATATCATATTTGGAAAGACCTAAACACCCAGCAGAAATGGCGTGCTAGCAGTACAAAACAGCTGACAAACCCAGTACATTTTGAAACAATAGCCGGAGCATCACTGGTACAAAACAGGTGAATATTGGAACATTTTAATGGGAATTTTGAAGACCGCCCATTCAGTCAAGTACTTCTACCCATCAAATTGATTTAAACACTCACTTTAATATAGCCCCATCAAGATTAACATCTGTTAACAAGGGAACTTACGTGGATTTAATAGTAATACAACGCTCCTGTTCATCTTTTCTTGTGTCGGTAAATCTGGTTTCTCCTGCCTTGGCTCCAGCGATAATGCCAGCTTTTGAAACGAGCGAGTCTGTTAGTGTAGATTTTCCATGGTCCACATGAGCAATGACAGACATGTTACGGATGTTACGCTTTTTGTCCATCATGGCCCTAATTTCATCTACCGTAAAGTTCACCTAAAAACAAATACCAATTTTTACACCTCCCAATAATTTCCCGAATTGATGCACCCATCTGACATTTTATCCGGTTTTCGAATGTCAATGCACTTTGTCCACCCAGGTTCTTACCATATTTGTATTATTTTTATCCGTTATTCTTGAGAAATACCGAGTAAAAACAATTAAAAGAACGCCGGAGTGAAAATTTACAAAGACCTAACGTGAAATTACCGACCAAGGAGTTTTTGCTTTTTCGTATTATTGTGCAATATAAATATGTTTCAGGTTCCTGTCAAAATATTAACAAATTCGAAAAAATACCAAGCCCGTTTCAGAGAAAAAACATCCAACGCGAAGATTCCATAATAAAAAATAATAAAACTAACTTACCATCTTGGATGTTTTAAGATATTATTCTTACACAAACAGAAAAGCTCATACGCCAACGATGGCGCACTCCCGTAAAAGAACGGGTGAGGTGAGGAGATGAAGCGAGACACATTTCAGCTTGCCACGCAAGTGCAGAACACGTGCGACCATGCAAAGAATAAAAATGGTTACAAGCATGGCATAAATGTCTTGGTCATAGACCACAGTTAACAAAACACTTTAAAGCTCCGTAGAGAAAATTATCAATGACGTCAGAATGTTCCAACATAACGCATACTGCGTTAAACAGCATAAACGCATACTGCATAGGTTTTTGTACACCAAAATAAGAGTCCGATAATTGCAAATGATTTATTACAAAAAAAAAAAGAATAAAAATCTATCAATCTTTGCTGCTACTTGTTGAACTGGAAACGCTTAGGCGAACCAATACACGCACGTTCATGTTTTCCGATTCGTTCAGGAAAGAATTTTCTCTTGCATTTTTTACACTCCCTCAGCTGAGCTAGATGATTTTCCCAAATTCTATGGAAGGTCCCTTTGAAATCGACCCCTCCATCTGCTGGAACGAGAAGGAATACTACGTAAACATAACATGAAACGGCCTTTCAAGCCGACCATCTTGGTCTTTTTATACCATCTCTGGGAGGCACAAAGGTTAGGATACTGGGATGGTTAAAAGTTAGGTCATTTTTTCTCCTTTAAATATTGCAATGAAAAAAATTAATTACATTAAAATTGGAAATATAGGCAACAAAAATATCAACGTCTTTTATAAAATGGTCAAATATATATGTTCAGTTTTGTCTTAACTATTTTAAGAATGCATTGCGGCCTGTATCGTTTTCTCTTGTCGAAACTAAAAAAAGAAATTTTTGACAACATAAACACATTCTTGAAGTATTTATCGAGAAGCTAAAATTCACCTGGTGCTTCATTATGTAACGTCAACCTCGCCGATCTAATAATATATATTTGACAAATAAAAGGAAAGGTAGAAAAATTATACAAAACCATATTACCATATAAAATAGATTTTATTTTGGACAAAACGGTAAAAAATAACAAAGTTTCAAAATTTAAAATATTCCGTTTGCTTTAACTAATTTGTGACTAGATTTTAATCAACATGGAAAATTTGAAACGACCGATTTTCCCCATCTATTTATACTCCATGCTTCTGCGAGTTTGGCATAACCTGCAATTTTACCTACTAATCAAAATTGGTAAATTTTAACAAAATTTACGGGATTTTCATATTATATTAATTAAGAACACGCTTTGTACGTAGTATTATAACAATGACTATGGAGATTCGTTAGCGATCGTCGTCCTGTTGATTTGGGTCATTCGCGGTTTTAACTAGGGCGACCTGCGTGGGTGCCATCTCTTTTTCATATCGTAAATCTTTCTCGTGCTCTCGATACAGCCAGCTGGAACGACATTTAAATGCAACGTTTAGGCAATAAATTAAGCGCGTTCTTACAAAAATATTAACATTGCCGGGATAATCAGCGCCCCGCCCACAATGTAAAAACAGCCGGGAAACACGCTGATTGTATGTGCGTAAATTCTGCTGTATAAAGGTACGTATATCAACGGCACCATGGCCTCCCCCACTCCGAACATGGAATTAACTTTTCCCAATTCTTCGGGCGGCACAAGTTTGGAAATCATAGCTCTGATTGCGATAAACGAAGTTCCGTTCAAAAATTCCACGACCGCTCCTAAAATACAAGACGTTAACTAATAATTCGTTAAACAAAACTTGTTTATGGTGATAATTTACAGGAACAGAGAAAAAAATTCAATGAGAATAATCAAGAGAACCTGTGCCTGTGGCGCAACTCTAGACGTCCCAAATTTGAACAAATTGAGTTACGAGAAAAACGATAAAACATTGGGTTGATCAGAATGAATTTGCGAGCGATAGCAATCCGCAAAACCATCCAATTTTAAGACAAAGTACCCATTTTAACTATTATTTTTTTATTGTATATTGTGCGTTTTTATGTTTGTTCCTGTTTAGTTTGTGTTTGTGTAGTGGCGAAAAATGAACCGAAATTCCTATACAAAAGTAGGTAAATTGAAAGTGAGGTTATTGCATTGTTAAATAAAATGCGTACAGGGTGTTCATTCTTTTAAGATTTCTTTTTTTGTAATAAGGATTTCGTCTCCAATTGCGTTGTAACTTCGTTGCGGATAAAATATGTATTATATATCTACACGTACGTAGTATAATGGACATTTTTTTGTTTACAATGGAAAAGAAAAGATGCAAAACTATTATTTTAACGCAAGGGAAACCAACCTCTAATAAATATTTCGCTGTTGGATTTGATATTTTTTTTACATTTTTATTGCGATTTACATTTCTTTATTTTTTACTTTACCCTGTACGTTTCCGTGGCGCTAGTAAATAGCGTTTCAATATTTACCAGATAATCTGCAACTCTCCTATTTACTTACGTTTTCTCTTTGTTTACGGTCACTTGATGAAAAAGAACTTTCAATATACGCATGCGCGATGCATTTCAAAACTCTAACATGGCGACTGACAGATTGTCAGCTCGGTTTTCAGTTTGAAGATGGCAATTTTTCAGCAGCATTTTGTCACAATTAGTACAGATCGCGTTAAATTTTCACGGGAAAACCGAGTTAAGTGCCTGGAGATCGGTGTTTAGAAAGAAAGTAGTGGAACGTGCGGGTTAGTTGTCCTGCTGACGATAATGTTATAGCTTTCTAAGTTGCATCTGTTTTAAGGTAATTACTATTAGTTATATCGTCATAAGCATTTGAAGTGAATTTTGGCTAGTATTGACAATTTGACTTATTGTCGCTTAGCAAACGTATGGTTTTAGCTCCATTACGAATCAACTCGTAGATTTAAAACTGCAGTGAGAATAATGAAAAGTGGCGCAATAAAATTGAAACATTGTCGGAGAAATTAGCATGGTTCGAAATGTTGGTAAAAAATTTGGCATTAACGTCGTTGGAAACGTGTAATGCAAATATATATAAACTTAGTTTTACGAATACAGCCAACGATATTTGAATCAAATTACATTAAACATTATACGAGAGTGTGGGCGCTGGTGTAATCCGCAATTCAACAATGTTCGCCTTTGTTAAATATTGTTGGGTTTTGTTTTTATTCATATAATCCTTATTATCAGTGACGTCTTATCATTTTGGCATGTTTGGCAACTGCCTCTGAGTACTTTGTGTGTAGAGTACGTCTATTTTGCAAGTAACTAAAACGAGGTGGCTATGGAAAGCAAATGGAACCAAATATCGACATTTTTTAATCTTGACCTTGAAGGTGTCAGCATTATCAACATAGGCAAGGCCGGAGGTATATATAACGACTCCAATTTCATTGGTCCAGTACATATGCATGCATGGAATATTCCCCTAAAGTTGGCCACTCTATATACAGTATATCTTACTTAAGAATTGTACATCCTTGTAAAATCCTTGTTTATAGTTCGATTATGATTTTTTTTGTTGAATAGGTGCACTAAAACCTTGTTTTACTTATTGCGTTAACTTAAAGTCATGGCCAAGTGAGACTACTCAACAAACGAGAGAAAAGAGAGAATTACTCTTAGGGATTTAAAAAAAAATAGCAACGAATTCTTAGTCAGAGTGCACACAGTTTTTTGAAGCGGAAAATCAAGAAGTACTTTTAGAGATTACCTAAAAAATAACTAGGCCAAGGACCAAACTTTTTAATGTCTTTAAAAAATAAATATTGTAAACCTTGTAGAACCATTTTAATTATACAAATTTCAAAAATAATAATAAAAAAGATTTTTTAGTGTCATCGTAAAACAACAGCATTAATTTTAGTATTCGAAAGATGTAAACAAAATGGAAATATAAATTAACGAGTGAATTTGAAAGTGGAATATTCGCTTCTCCATGACAAACTTGGTTTTGCAAAGAAAACAGTATGCCGACGTCAGTCAATTTTAAAATCCTTTTTAATTAAAAACGATATTTCAAAGACCCTGTATTGAAACATTAGAAAAATTGGTATAGTTGGGTTCTAAGCACTCCTGAATAAGAATTCGTTACCAATTTATTTTTTTAAAAATCCTTAATAGTACTTCTCTTTTCTCTCTCTTTGTAGTTTTTAGGGCATTTTTCTGTCCAACAAAAAATATATCAAAATCGAACCATAAACAAAGATTTTACAAGGGTATACAGTTTTTAACACACACTGTATATTCTAGTTGAGTTTAGAATTTTCAAAATGGTGCAACGAATAAAAGAAAGTGATTTTTAAATGATATAAAGCCTAAAGAATATCGATTATGAGTGATACCGATATACTCACCCAGATAAAAATAAAATGGCGTCGGAGCAAAGGCGTAAATTCCAGCAGCCAGGACTTTGCTGGAGCACGAAATAATACCCAAAATGGCGTCGTCGAGTCCGAGGAATTTTGAGAAAAAAGATAGGGAAAATGAGGTACCTAAAATACCACCGACGGAGTTTTTTACTACTTACTTTTCTTTTTTTTCAGAGCAACAAAAAAGAAAACCTTACCCAGACTGCCGGTAACAAGTTGAAATGTGGAAAAGAAACTGTACTGCATTGCGTCGAATCCAAACTTGTACCGTACATAAAAGTAAACGACGTTAAATTCGCCTGAAACGAAAACGTCAAATATAATTTCGAAATTTTCATTTATTCTTCATTTGACTTCATTTAATTTTATTTAAAAAAAAGACAGGGCGCCGCTGAAACTGCGAGAGAAATTTAGTTACAACAATAATCTATATTTGTTGATATTATAGGATATAGGCTAGCTAAATGTTGGAGAATACAAAAACTGAGAAATGAACATGAACTTTTTACAAATTACAAGAATATACATATACATTTTCAAAGTTGGTTAAGTTGAAGACATAAGTTTTTTTCAAGAACGCTTAGGCATGAGTATAGAACTTTATATATAAAATATGTTTAAAATTTCACAGAGAATCTCAAAATGTAATAATATGCGAGGTAGCCCATTTGAAATAAGCAAGTTGACAGCAACTTCCGATTGAACCGGAAGTGACAGGGCGTTGAAAATATTTTAAAAAAGAAGTACACTTAGCGCTTACCTGCAAAAATTGAAAGGCGTTTCTAAAATCTCCGTGTATAGTGGCCACCGAAGGGTAAATCACGCGTGAAAACTGGTGTACCAACTTTGAAAAATCTGTGAAATCTTTGTTATCTGTGAAATCCGTGAAATCTTGGTGAAATTATAAATTATTTCTAAAGTTTTGAGATCTTATCACTTTATTTTAGTGAAATCATCTTTAAATAATAAAAATCACATTCTAAATATTTTGGGGTGTTCACTCAACTCACTTGACATTTTTGAGGTCATAAACAATATTTTCTCTATTTTTTTTTATCTGGCTTTAGTTGTAATTTTCTTATCGACAGAAAATTAAGAATCATCATGTCCTTTTCTTTGAAAGAAAAACTAACTTAGACTTGAAGAAAAAAAATTGAAAAATATTTCAGAAATATTATGTTGACGCCTATCTTGGAATTTTATGGAATTTATATTGACAATATTCTTTCCCACTTTTGGAAAAAATGTTTTAACTGTATTTTTTATGTATTATTTTTTCTTAATAGTTTTTCAATTACAACGTAATGCAAAAATTTTCCACATAACTGTAAACTCCAAATTGTAAACGACATCGTGACATCCCGGACAATAGGTCCACCACCAGGCAGTCAGAGTCGTGTCGTGTTGTTATAAACTTCGTAATAAATAAAATGTTCTGCCTGTTAATGCCAAAATGTTATTTTCATCTCAGGCGGATATTTTGTACAGATAGCAGCGGCGGGATTGATCCTTGTGCCTCCCACATGTGTTTTTGTTGTTGGGTATTCTTTTAAAATTCAGAAGGATGGAAACCTCATTCCAGTCTTGTATTACTCCAAGCAGACAACAAAGGATGAACAGAGGTTCCAAGGAATTAGAAACCATGGTACTGGTACTCTACCTCAAAAATTCCGGATATATCTGATTTGGATCCAGTTTAAGTTTGTCACCGACTGTAATGCAGTACCATGCAGAACTACGTCGAGTAAAAAAGATTCTGATCCCAAAAACTGGGAGATGGTGGTTAAGCATACAGGAGTACACTTTTGCCGTGGAATATCGATCTGGTCGGCGAATGCTTCTTGTGTATGCATTGAGCTGAAATCCCAGTGGCCAAGACAATAGCGTTCAGGTTGTAGCTAACAACATGGTGAACATAGCACATGAAGAGTGGGTACTGATTGTCTGATGAGCGATGTCGCTATCATATCGAGATACTAAAACGAGATCCAACGGATGCAGAAGAACTCAGCATTCACACAGAATACAGCTTAATAAACCAAAAACTTTACAAAAATATTTCTAATAAAAAGAAATGGGTTGCTCCTAAAGCTTCAATAAGAGAGGTCGTTTCAAATTTGATGATGGAAGTGGACATTTAACACAAGAGAAGACATTATTATCCATATCTAAGACATATTGGTTTCCAGGAATGAGGAGATACGTTAAAAAGTACGTATCACCTACAGGAACCTGGAGGGAAAAAGACGGGATACCTACATCCAATCGCAAGAGTTTCCCAGCCGTTTGATACGCTGCATATCTAGGACCATTCGTTAAATCAAGGATTCAGCAGGAAGCAGTTGCCCAAATATAGCGGACCCTTCGTAATTACCAGGGTCCTCAATCACGGTCCTTATATGATTTAGGATATTGAAGGAAGTACACGGTCTCAATGCAAGTATGCTGTTGGAGCCACTAAAAAAAAATTATAGAAACTGAACAGCGATTGTAAATTCAACGACTGATGAGTTTCTGGTACAAATAGGTGTATTTCGACTGGAAGTACCTTGTTTTCCATAGGAATAAAGAGAATAACTTGAATTTAGATTGGAAGTTTACGGGGTGTTTGAAGACTGGAAATCTGATAACCGAATTGGTTTAAAACGACAATATTCAATTAGAATATAAAGTTAGAATCTAATGGATTATTGACGATCAGGATTCGAACGGAATCCCGATAATGTAAGATATCGATTGTATTTCTTGTATGGTAATCATGGTTTAAAACTGGAGTTAATGGGGTAGACCAAAGTCCAACAATACCAGTTAGGGCCAATTGGTACTGTTCTAGTAAAAAGCACGTGAAACGAATGGTTTTGTGTGTTTTTTGTTTATTACAGGACAAACGAAAGTTATCGCACGGGGACGTGGTGAAGACTGGCCTGGCCGATAGTGAACGCCAAATAGTAAACAACAGTGTGACATCTTGTACAATACGTCCACCACCAGGCAGTGAGAATCGTGTCGTGTTGCTATAGACTACGTATCAAATAAAAAGTTCTGGCTGTTTATGCCAAAATCTTATTTTCATCTCGGGCGGATATTTTGTACATAACCTAAAAAGTGAGCATTGCTCACGGCGGTTTAACCTCCGTTCGCTCCCGACAGAATCCCTTGTAATCAAAAAAATCAAAAATCGGTTTTAGTGTTTCTAGTGTTTAGTGAGTGTTTTAAAGGTGTAATCGGTGTCGATCCCCCTTTATTTTTCTGTTCACGCCGGTATGAAGGCCGGATGGGCCCGGATGGTCCGCGGTGGTAGCGTGGGAGGCCTTTTTTTGCTATCGACTTTTGAATAATGTTCCTAATTGTTGTTTCCGTTCCCCGTAAATGTTGAACCATAATTGTAAGCGATCGGAGTGATTAGAGTAGTCGTGGCCAATAGAAGTAAAGGTGAGAGAGAGAGAACCTGAAAACTTATTTATAAAATCTGGTAAATGATTTAGAAATCGGTAAAATCTTCGTAGAATTCGTGAAGTCTGAAATCTGCGAAATCGTATGTCTCTGTGAAATCTAGTATATCAATTTTGGTTGGTGATTTGCCCCTCCGTGGTCACATTGTCAGGAACACCTTACAATCGTTTGTACGATTAATATGATTTCTGTGACAAAAACAAAAAAAAATGCATAGCCACTAAAAATGATAGTAGAGTATAGAACTTATTAAGCATGTTTTTTTTTTCAGTGTATCGAATCGTTATACGAAATAATTTCTCTCGGTTCTGGAGAGGCGGTACCTCAAAATGATCAAAACGATCCAGCAGAATATGAAAGGTACCGACCGAAAGCTTTGTCGCTTCTCCATGGATTAGTTTTTTCACTGGCCATACTCACCGTACAGTGGCCCCAAAATCACCAGGAACAGGAACATGATGGCGCAGACGCGTTTCGAATTGCCGCGTTTCCCTTTCACTTTGACGACGGACTTCAAAGTGTCCGCCGCGTGGCCAAAGTGGAACAGATCACGCCACAACTTCTGGCCTTTGACCGGATCTCCCGCGCGTTCTGTATCGGGTAGTTCGTAAACGTCCCTCAACGCGAAGCACGCGTAAAAAAAACCCGTGAAATAAAACGCCAACGAGGTACAGTAGACGCCGTAGAATCCGATCGAGCTGTATAGAATTCCGCTCAAAGCGGTCCCCACGCACACGCTTACGTTGTACACCAGATTCACTGCACCGATGCGGACCGTCCTTTCCTCCTCGGAGGAGACGTCGCTGACGTAGCTAAAAACACCTACGAACATGGAGAACCAAGTGCCCGTGATGGCTGGCGGTAAAGACTCGAACACCGTGTTGACTTCCAGCGGTAACTCGTAGAAGAAGTAGGTACACGCTAGCAACCCCAGGCACATGGTTATGTCGCCGAGGATGGGCGCGAGGATGCAAGGCTTTCTCCGTCGGTGACGGTCGCTCCAGGCGCCGAGAAAGAGGAGTAACGTGGAGGCGAACGCGCTCTGTATGACGTTTTTCCACACCGCCATCGACGTCGCTAGCGTCTGGACCCTTTCTTCTTCGGCAGCGTAAGCCGACGCGTTACGTAACGTCAGAGCGTCGCAGACGTCGACGCCGAGGGCCAGATTAACCCTGCAGGACTTTTCCAAGCTCAGGTTTTGCGTGGCCATCGTGTTCATGACGCTCGGCATTATGTAGCAGAAGAGGACCGGCTCGACGCTCATGTTGGACCAAACGTACTTCGCTTTTTCGAGGATGGTTTGTTTCGCGTCACAACCGACAGCCTGCATGCCGGCCTCGATGCTCTTGGCCTTTTCCAGCGACATCTTGGTTTTCGTTGAGGACACCGCACACTCACTACATCGCGAACCGCCGCCAAAGTACCGCGACAACGATACGGATGCATCGTTATTGTAGTCTCTGTGTTTACTGTGAGATTAGGGAATCTTACATTAAATTACCTCGAAAGATTAAAACGAATAGCTTAATGAGTTCGACCTTAAGTTTGGCGGAAAATTCGCGCGCAAATGTTTGCGTTTTGTCGTTTCGTCGACATTTTCCATTTGCGAGTCGTAAACGCAAACACCCAAACTCGTGTTTAGGATATAGTACGATCAGCGATCTATAGAAGTCATTAAAAATGCAAACCCCGTAGCATCCGGCACCGTTAATGCAGCACACGATAAATGGTCACGTCTTGCCTGACCTGTCATAAACGGAAGGCACTTTACCATCAATGAACCAATAAATTCCGATTTGCAAGCATTTATCAGTGTTTTTCGACGGACCCTCACCAATAAAACTGTTATTACCATAAAGCCATTAATAAAAATATTTTTACTTTAGTGACAAGGCAGGGGTGGGCCAAGTATATTTCTTTCTTTCTGATATATTTCTTGAGTGCTGACCATTTTGCGGCAGTGTTGACTAATCATTTTTACTGTCCGTTTCCAAAAAGTTATTTTACGAGAATATAACAATGTCAAACCGGAATTATTGATGCAAAACCGGTTGTGAAAAATGTGTATGAAACTTTAATCAGTAGGGGACTCATTCAACAAGAAGCTTTAAAAGAAACCTGTCTACTTAAAAAAAAAACGCCAATATAGTCGATAAGAGACATAATTAATAGTGGAGAATTGAATAGTAATAAACGTAGTGATTTTCAGACTCACCGTATAGACAATAGCGATCAGGACCTAATAAGAAGGAAAATATATTGCCTTTATCAAAGCGAAGTTGTTCCTACCATGTATAAACTGAAAAAGAAGCTAGCAGATGAAACCAATATAAATATGAGCCTTGCCAGCCTCCATAGAGTTGTTTGTAAAATGCGATTTAATTACAGCAAAATAGGCAAAAGGCAAGTAGTAATAGAATCACACATATTTTAGACAACAGTTTACCTTGACTAAATATGGTTTGATACACATGACACTGCATCCAAAGGAGGGGTCGATGACACCTTCAAATAAAGAAAAATTCACCACCATAATACACGCTGGCTCAGAAGACGTATTTACTTGCTGTTTCTGCAAAGAATATTAAGGATTCTAGCTTGGATTATCATGAGGATACAAGTGCCGAATTTTTGGAAAATTGATTTGAAAACAATCTTTTCAACAATATTCCCAATGACGGTTTTATTGTCATGGATAGCGCTAGCTATTACAGCCGTCTGCTACGCAAAGCACCAGCCTCATCAAATTCAAAAACCGAAATCCAGGAATATTTGTTAGAAAATGATATTTATTTTCAATTCAGTTGCAACAAAGCGCAACTTTTGAAAATCCAAAATTCATATGCAATTAGAAAACAGTATGTATGCGATACTTTGGCTGAACAGGCTGGGCATACTGTTTTACGTTTTCCTACTTTAAGTTCCAGTTTTATAAATTTGATAAAAAATGTAAGTAAAAACATACCAATTGAGAACTGTACAGCACATTATAAAAATTGCGCACTCCTAGATTTCTATACATCATAACATAAATCGTATTATAATTAATCTCAATGACGACAGAATTAGATGTAGACATTTAGAATAAAAATGTAATTATGTATAGATATTCCTGGCTATGAATTTATTGTACATATTTAATGTCACTGTTTCTTCTTAGTGTAATTTAATAAGATTATACCCACCTAAACAAAAAAAAAGTTATTAGAAAAAGCTTTGATAGTCTGTTCCTAATGTTCTGTCATTTAACACCTACCGGACTCGAGTTTTGTTGCCATCGGACAATTGCACAAAACTGTTTCTACGTATTTAAATTTAATAAAAAACTGTTTAAAAAGACATTAGTCGACGTTTATTACAGCGTTCTTGAAATTTTAACATCGCAAATAAAAGAATCTGCTAACAATTTATATTTTTTAATGGCCAATTTGTCTGAAGGAAGCTGACATTGGGAATGTCAGTTAACTGACATTCCAAGGTCATCCTTCCGTCAATTCCTTGATAGAAAGTAAGGAACGATGTGACAAAGGTGGTAATGGTGAAAGGTACTAACCAATATGATAATCATCACCATCATGTCCCTCCTTTAGCTCCACCCTCCTCAAACAATGTATAAGCAGGTACAGGGTAGAATGCGAACCAGTTTCAGTTAAGCCCTAAAGAAGCCAACAGGAAAATAACGTAATTAATAAAATTGTATAGAATTGGTGATCCACTCGGCATCACCAATTCTAAACACCTTCATTACGATTTTGTCACATCGTTCTTTCCTTTTTAGTGAACTATTATCATTTTGAATATACCCGCATCTACAAGCATTTTACACTGTGGTTCGAAGGTAGATTGGGTGCCAAACGCTTTGTTACTTTCATCAAAAAACATTAAAAACTGCTCATAAAACTACCATCAGTGACCATGACAAGTGAACTTTTCTGAAAATTTGGTAAACAAATCTCTTTTTCCAAATATCCCACCCGACAGCGTAATAGTTTATGGTAATACTAGTTATCACAGCACCTCAGCTAAAAAAATACCAACGAATGGCAACAAAAAAGAGATATTGCAAGAGCTACTCAGTGTGATCTTTATTTTGAAGTTACTTGATACAAAAAAACAACTAGTTGAAGTTTTAAAAACCAAATCGTATAATAAAACTCATCCATTTAATTATTACCAGAGAGCAGTTGGAGAGAATGTGTTCATCATGTAATTGAGATGGAATATAATTAGGTATAAAAAAACTTGGGACAACTTAAAACCATTAATTATTTCCTTGGATGATACCGATAGCACAGACTAAAATCTGATTGTGTGTCGGGCTATACATTAAACATAATTAAACAGACCCCCCCCCCATACAATTGCTTATCCCGACAAACCAAAAAACTTTTTGGCAACTCTGACTTGATCTCAGTTGAGTGTTGACACTGTGGACAATAAAAATTTTGGTTTAAAACAACAACCATGCTTCCCTACTATTTCAAAACTCAAATTTTCTGCTAGCTCAACTGCCACTTGTTTTAGGTGAATCCCTAAACCCAAACGTACATCAAAAAGATTTTTTTAATTTTGTTTTTTTAGTTGCAGTTGCAGTTGTTAATGGAACAAAAGTCTATTCTTTTTTATTATAAAATGATATCAGAAAAGATTTATCTGTTGAACTGAAGTGGCTTTTACTTGATGAAAATCGATTAAGAAGTGATTAATTGACCAGCCCCAACACTACATACACTAATAAATAACTGCAAATCTGAACATTTTTTGTTCTAATTTAATATATATAAAAGCCATGCTGTTTCTCCACAATAACGCATTCCCACTTCAAGTGGTCAATCATAAAATGGTCAAAGCCCTCATGAATCGATGAATGAATATTATATCAGTTCTAGTTCCAGGTTTGAACATAGGAGAAACGAAACAACCTTGTTATCAAGTAGCATTATGGTATTTCGAGTTATCGAGTAGTTTTTGTGTTTTCTCTTTCAAGGGGATATCATATTTCGTAATTTCACAGTGACGTAAGGAGCAAAGCGATTTCAGTGGAACATAACCATTAAATATTCAAAATCAAAATTATCATAAAACTCTTGCAACATTACACTAAAAATACACATATAAACGGAAGTGATGATGAAAAATACAAGCTGCTGAATTGCAGCATACATACTGTTGTAGTATTAATTATTAACTTGTTTTTGAATAACGCCATCTAACGTACGTTTAAACCTTTAATGCATTATTTTTGTTAGTTTTACGGTGTAACGCCAGAGGGAAGGCAACTAGGGATTTTCATGATATAAGATTAGGAGGTTGAGTTTCCCTTTTCGTGGTTTTCTTTTGTTTTTTGGATTTTCCGTGCAGGTTTTGGAGTAATTTTTGTATGATTAGCAGTTCTCGACATACCTATACCAGGAGGAATCCGCAATCAACACATACATGTATACACTTTGTATGCGATTGTAATAAACCCTAATATCCTCGGGCATATCTGACAACATTTGAGTTAGATAGCTAGCGTCTTTTTATCAACGCTTTAATCAGTTTAACATATTTCAACGAATTTATAATTCGTTGTTGTTACGACTTTTGGATAGATCTAACAAAATTGCGACGATGCAAGGATAGATTTAAAATGTTAAAATTCGGTAACAAAATTTCACGTCGAGTTTGGGATACCCTTGATAACAATGTAAATATTTGTATTTGGTCGCTTAACGTTGAATAAGGTACAATTTTAATAATTATTTCCAATAAAAGACCTTCTTCTTCGCTGTACCTAAAAAAATTATCCAACGTAGTATGTTGAGTTGTTTCTAACCTCTACTAAATTTAGGAGCAAAAATATTTAAAAAAAACTTTGTTTCCAAGGTGTTAGTATTAGTATCTGACATTTTACATAATTATTGCATAATTATTTTAAACTGTTCTCATTTTTTGTTTGAAGTGGTAATCCATGTCAGTGTAAAATAAACTAATTTTGCAAAATAACTGCTTAAGAAACATTAATTATTTTTAAACAGTTTTTTTGAACGGATGTTAAAAGATGCTTGTTAATCCGGAGAGCTTCTTGTGGGTTAGACAGGTAAACACACGAAACATATCAAAGAAAACTTTATTGAAAACACTGACTCGTTGGTTTCTAGTCTAGGAATAAAACCGAATGGTAGGACATTAGGTATATTAAGTGACGCGATTCAGTTTCCCTTGCAACTTCTTTCGTGTATGTCCACCCTGTCGGGATTAAAAGTTCTCGAGCACAGTCTGCAAGGCACTAACTGACTGAGATGCGTACGCCAATACGCGTCCGTCGTCTCTTCAAAGTTGATTTTCCCGGAAGCTGGAACAAAAACATCCATGAGAACGCGTAGAACACGAAAGAAGTTGCTTAGCCGTTAACTAGTTATGAAATGAAGCAGTACTCAGATTTATCTGATAATGTTAACGGATATTCGAGATTGTTGAGTATGGAGAAACAGAATACAGATTTTTAGCCGTCATTCTTACAAGGAAGAATCTTCAAGTTAGCAATAACCACGTCGGCCTCCTAACAAGGAACTCGCACGTTCTGTTCTCTTCGCGAGAGGGCGCTGCGATCTACAAACGCAGAGCAGAGTGTAGAGGACGCCACGATATAAAAAAAGAAGTTATATAAAGTGTTAGTTTTGATTTGCATAGTTCATTGCAACGCGCAAATTTTACTGAGCGTTTTATACGAGGAGTAACAATCTTGCTTTCTTCAAAAATAGGAAATTGACCCCGGCAGTTGGCCAAATATTTCGAAAAAATAATTTCTTGGTGTAACGCGGAAGAAAAAAAGAGTTTGCTGCAGCAATAGAAAGTGTACAAATACAAACTGAGTAATATTGCAGTTGGAATGAGGCAAGATATAGTTATAAATATTTTCTCGACCAGATAAGACAATTCAAGTGGTCAGATACAATCGAGTAATTTAAAATTTGATTTAAAAATTTTATGATTTTATGATCTCTAAGCGTAACAACGACTAAGTAGGCAACTTCAAATGATGGGCGTGGACTACGACAGCACATGTAGGCTGGGTTTAGACTTCAATTCATCTCTCAAACAGCTGCGCAACTAGTAGCCCGAAGAAACTTCTCATGAAGAAGGTATTTTACTTCTTTAAGAATATTCTAAGTGAGGGAGTGGAGAATTTCAAAAATAGAGCAGCAATCCGCAATCGACTTGTCAGTCAAATTCAGTTCAAAGCAGTTCAGACAGAATCATAAAGGAGTATAGAAATTTTTTCGAAATCAAACGAACAAAACAATGAACAAAAAAAAATATCATTGAACTTGGTTTATTGCTAATTTACGATCTAGGGGCTAACAAGCATCGAGAGTAAGTAGGTTCCCGCACCGTCTATGTTCCAAGAATTCGGGAGTATGCTTCTCTGTAACCTGGTTCGAATGTTCCACCACTATGGCGAGCAGTCGCGTTGTGTAAAAACGCAGTTCGCTAGTCAGTCAGTCGAAAAGAGAAGCCGGAACGCGCATTTGCAGGGTTTACCACGGTGACCGTCCATTAGAATTTTTATAAGAAACAAAATAGATATTGTTATGACGCTTGATATATGAATTTGCAATGTTGCAATTTAATTTCATATTGCACTTTCGAATTCGACATAAAAATTTTAATAATTTCCACTAATTGTTCCTACACTTATTTGCCATTATGTTCGCAGAAAAAACTATATGTTATATATATTTTTAAACACAGTAAAGTGTGCTAGATAAATTTTTTATTCGACTAACAGAAAATAAAAGCCGTCGTTTTTTATTAACATTATGTTCAGGTGTCACTTTAGCCTTAACCATGCAAACATTTTGAACTTTTCGAACTTACACCCATCCTATTACAGTCTCCATAGTAATGGCCTCCTGATCTATATAAGATGAAGAACATTTTAAATTATCAATGTCAATATACTTTAAAATCAGTATTTAGATTCCACGAGTTTAAAAAAATCCTTTTTGTTTTTTTTTCTTGTTGAATAATTTACATTTTATTTGATATACCATTTGAATTTTAAAAACTAGAAAACTTTAACCTGATTATAATATTATATTGGCTTAAAACTAGTGGCTAGATTTCGTATGAACATACGTTTTAGCTTTAACTCCGCAAATCTTACCAAAAAAAAAAGCTTTCGGTGATTTGTATCGAAGATGTCCCCATAAACATATCGACGTTTTAAAAAATCGGCTTCGGTCATTTTCAAAACTTTCTTTTTAATGCTAAACACCAGATAACAAAAGCAAGCGACAGAATTAAGACTAAAATTAAAATTAAAACCACAAAGACACACGCGTTATTGTTCTCTAATGGGCGTAGTTTTTCGAGCGAAACCGGTCACAGACAATGACAGCGCGTTTCAAAGAGGACTTAAATTTTACAATTTTTAATTACTTATATTTGTTACATAGAACTACCAAAGTATTTTTATTGTGAACTGTGGTTTTATTCAAGTTCCCTATTAGTTGTTTAAATTTTTATGTCGAATTCAAAAATGCAATAGAAAACTATATGTTCCATTTAAAATTACAATGTTGCCACTGATTTTGGGTAGAACCGGCATCATTGAAAAAGTCTAAACATTCTTATATATGTCAGTGCCAATTATGGTCATATACCAAGTTTCAGAACAATATCTTGGTTCGTCATTGAGGGAAACCCCGTATAAGTCAGGATGTAAGTACAGATAAAGTATTAGTCGTGCAATGATTATTAAATATCAAGGGAAAACGATACTAGCACTGACGTCTCGACCAATGAGAGCGCGTTTGGCAAATTTGAACCGATAAGCACAATTTCTTTCCGGTGTTTTAAGCTGGAATAGGCGCGTTAAAGTTGTTTTATTGTTCGGACAACAACATTATTCACAGAGGGTGCTGCTTTGCGAACTTCTTTCGTTTGCACCGCTTTAAAAGGCAAATTTACAAAAAAATAAGCCCACTTCATTCAAACTTAAGTTTTGGGAAGGGTAAAATATTAAATTATTCGATTAATTTTTCGTGTCGGATAAAATTAAGTTTATGAGTTGTTATAAACTTAGAGCATTTTATATGGTAACAAATCGTAAACAAATCATATAGAAAAAGATCAACCCAAAAAGGGGCGTTTTCGGTGTGGAGTTTATAAACACTGTATATAGGTTTTATAGAGGTTAGAAAAATGTTTTCCTTGCCATTATAAAACTTATTCCTGGTTTATAACGCTAACGGCAATCTCTCAGTTATAAATAAATGGGGAGTCAAAGTTTTATATTCAGCATTCAGCATTTAAGCGCTACACATGGGTTGGTCAGTGACCCATGAGAAAAAGTCTAAGCATTCGTGTCGGCCTGTGACCAAAATGTAAAAACAAGTCGGAAATGGGCGAACGACCCTAGTAATCGTGCCCAAGCGACTAAAAAGTAAAAGAAGCAGAAAGATACTTTGCGTAAACTTACGTGTAAATTTAATGTCGGGCTTCAACGGTTGGGGGCGTCGCTTGCCTAATGGCAATTTGTCGTTTTCGATTTTCCATAACTTCAGGCACTGGGGCTCGTGAAGATAAACCGAGTGCACGGTGAAAAGTTTGCCACACAAGTAACACGGGAAAAGGGGCGATTTTTTCGCCGACGCGGGCCTGTCGTCTTTATTTTCTTTCCGCGTCTCGTTATTCACGTTGCTCGGGACTGTTGCTTGAGGCATGAAGTTTGATTCTCGTTTTTCCTCTGAAAAACGTAACGATAATTTTCTGTGTATGGGCTGTTTTAGAAAACTGTAGAGTAATAACACTGGAACTTATTTCATTATACTGAAAACCAGAACGTTCCCTCAAGTTATTTTGAAGGAAGGGGCCAAGGAAGTGACATTTCTTTTGACTGTTCTTGCTTTTCAAATTTGAATTTGACAAAGGATAATTATAATTTGCGACAACTCAATTCACAGCGCTAGATTACTCAAAAGTATTTGACACTATATCTCAAGAACTATGCTATACAATTGACGCTCTTAATCTGGCGAAATCATACTACATCAGATATATTCTATGGTCACTTTTGGGACAGCGCTAGGTTCGATTCTGTAGCTTTTGCTCTTTTCATTTATACGTCAAAAATTGTTAATTCTGCTGATGATGAACGACTTTACACTACCTTCAACCCATCAAAACAAATAACTGCAGCAAATCAGCTATATTCTGACCTACAAAAACCATCTCACTTGGTCGTAATCTGGAACTCCAATGCTCCTTTATCACTTTAGGTCCAAAACAAAATCTGAGAAAACTAAATAACTAAGAATTAATAATATACCAATAATACAAAACTTGGGAGTCCATTTGGACCCTTGCTTACAGTTTCATAAATATATCAACAGCTTAATTTTTCGAAACAACCTCCTCCGCAGGACACTGTAATACTATTTACAAATGTTTTGGATCTTGTTGTTGATAGGTCGAATTGCTGACGTTTCGCCAACAATATCTTGTTGGCTTCTTCAAAGCTTAACTGGAACTGGTTTTGCATTCTACTTTGTAAATGCTTGGATTGGTGAAAGGTAAAGGGGGATTTTCGGTAATTTGTTTTTATGGAACCTAAGGTCGAATCTGCTTTTAAATCTCACCGACACTCCTAACTCCCTAACCAGGATTACCACTTTGATTTATTATCAGCACAATTGGTTCTCCAAGCCATTCTCTAGTATTTTCTATATTAAGACCTCGGTCACTTATGTTGTATGTTCTGAGAATTGTCGCTGGTGGATTGAAGTGAAACCACATGTATTTCAAAACAGATAGTATTTTAAAAAATAAAATATTTTTTGCGCCAAAATATTGCCAGTGAGATTAACTTATATTTCCTATGAACCTAAGTTTTGACATCAGCATGATGGAGAGCACGTTGGCGCAGCGCAGCCAGGGTCAACGAATATTTGGATATAACTTTTCCACAAAGATGGATAGCGTGCCGCACAGTGGGTCAAAAGGATGAGTTTGTGATCAAAAAGCGCCTGCCAGCTCGAGTTGTAGGTAAAATGGGGATTCTTTTTTTCTAAATACTCGTAAGATCCGTAGCTTGGATGCCTTACTGTTACAATGTTGAATTTGAGGCTACATAACCTCAAAAGTTGACCCACTGTGCGCCGTTTAAAAATACTCTGGCCGCTTAGGTCCCCGAACATTACACCCTTAAATTTTTTCTTCTGGAGTCATTTGAAGGAATTAGTCGACAAGAACTCGTCATTCTGTGATATTGATCGTCTGAAAGAAATTATAAGGTAGTGTATCCGGAAAATTACTCCTCATATGATCAGAAACGCTGTGTCACAGTTCACTACAAGGACAATCATTTGTATACAAAAATATCGGGAGCATACGTTATTCTTAAATTAGAAGTGTCCACATTATAGAAATTAGAGCACTTACATTGTGATGTTATTTTTATCTATTATAAAAGTAATTCTCTTTGGTAGTATTTTTATTGATTTCATCGATTTTTCGAAAGTATACGCGCTTGGCTACGAAACAGCGTCGTCATTGCCAACTTTATTGTCTGTTCTCCATTCTCCGTTATCCGTTCTCCGTTTCTCTGTAGATTTGGAATTAATTGGCTATAACTTTAGAACGGTTTGTCACACGGCCTTCAGATTTGGTTTAGTTTTTTGAACATTGATATGAAAATTAAAAACCAAGTTTGCAAAGGTCTAAGAAAAAAAATATTTCTCGAAAACCGTTTACATGAGCGGAAAATTCTTCATTTAGAAGACGCACGAGATCTGGAACAAAAAACCAAAAAATGTAGAAGGTGCAAAAAACTGAAAATTGTTTATAATGATAATTAACCATGGCTATGATTCTGTTGTCAGTTTTTTTCACATGAATATATAGCCCGTATGGTTAGCTAAAACTTCTAAATGTTATAGGTGTCTCGAATTTGTATCTATTGACTTCAATTTTCACTTCAACTTCAACATTCGACTAGTATTTTTTAAAAATTTTGTTTTTTTTTTGGATATTCTGGGTTTCAGACAAAAAATATTTTTTCGAAAACTAGTAGTCCGATTGGCAAAATTCTTTAACCAAGAGACGCGGAAGATCCGGTACTATAACTTTTATTTCAATCATTTTTTCGATTATATACATGATTTTTCAATTATGGACAAAAATCTTAAAGACCCTGAAAATTGTTCTTATCTAGAGTGAATCATTAGATGTAAATCAAAATCCGTAAAAAATAGGGTTAATTGAATCAAACAGTCGCATCGAGAGCTAAAATTTTTGTATTTACGATTTTCGACTATGACATAAGCTGCTCGAGATATTTGGAAAAATCCATATCCATTTCTCGCATGCAATCTAGACGAGATGACGCCATTACTATTACGGCGTACAGCATAATTTCGGAAAAGAATTATTTTCTCGAAAATCAATGAAAAAATTCATATACCGGGATACGTGGGAAATTTTTTACTTCGGGCATTTTTTGGATTACGTACAGGGTGTGTCGGTTCTTGGCAAAAAATATCAAAGATCCTGCAAATTGCATTTATCCGAAAATGCCGAAAATGAAAAACTATAAAACATAGGATAATTTGGCTTGAACGGTCTCATAAATTGTGTCGAGAGGGAGAGAGATTTTCAAGTTTCCTCTATCATACAGGGTGCGCGAAATATTTGAAAAACGATCGTTTTAAATCGCAATTAGCAGAAAATTTTTTTAATATTTTTTAATTCTTAAAGTTTACCGTTTACCTAACCGGGGAGATGTGACAGGCACTTTATACAGGGTGCATGCACAATAAAATTTCATCGATTTTGAGATAGTATTATATTACAAAAAGTTTTTAAAAAACAAAGCTGCATAGTGATTTTGTAGACCGCGCAGCAGACGATGGGCACAGCCACGATTTTTCGAAATCAATCTTGTTAATAGTTCTTGTTATAGCACATTCCGTATTGTTTGTTGTGGAGATATAGCCCACGTTTTTTGTTAATTTTAAACGCGGTACTTTGTGAAGCCACCCTGTGTGTTCAACATACAATTATACAAATTTGTTAAGCACTTCCGAAAACACGTTGTATATATTGTTTATCACCGCGCTTTTTATAAAACATAAAAAATATTTTTAATGACGAGAATATCTTTCGATTTCATGCGACGCTTATTTAAACGATTTTTCACCACCCTGTATCTTTCTACCTACCATTCTTCGATGGAGGCGGGCTACGCAAGTCGGGCGGCAAAGATTCGTTTTCCGCGTGCCATTTTTTCAAGCACTGCCTCTCGTGTATCTTGATGGAATGCGATCCAAACATTTTACCGCATACGTAACACTTCACTGAAGACGGTAACTCGAAACTTTTCGACGATGGCCGCGAGATGGCAGACGACGAGGTGGCGGAGGAACTCTCGTCGGCGGAACCGTTTTTCTAAAACGGGAGACAAATATTTCAACGTTTTTCCCAATTGAACAATCGATACGAAGCGCTTTTGCTTACCGAAATGTGTTGCACCCTGCAGCTGCGTTGGTGAACCGCCAATCGATCCGGATAGAACGTCCTGCCGCAATTCCTACACGGCACCAACGTGGCCTGAACGAAAAATAGAGATAATAACTAAAACATATTTTTTCTTGGGATATCGGTCGTGATGAGGGCTCAAATGTGCTATTCCAAGCTTTCGAGAATGTTGACTCCCTTCTTCAGACCTTTCAATTTCAAAACTGTACTTTTCCTTTATTCCGTGGCTCACTCTAGCGGGACCGTACGTATCTATTTGAATGAGACGTTCTGGTCGGCAGCTAATTCGTCTTTTGGCAGATAGATGGTGGTGAAGGTGTTCATTTGTTAGGAAACCATAAATTACTTATTTCTTTCCCTTTGAACAAGTCCATCAATTACTGGTACAGTGCTCTTATTCGTTAATATTAAAGCCAGACGGAAACAGAATAATTCATTGTCTTAGTTTAAAAAATATCATTAACACACACTTAAGGTCCATTTTCTTACGTATAAACTGTAGGCTACTAATTGGAGTTGTCTCCATCATACCTAAAGTGACCATTTATTTTTTAACTCAAAACGGGACCCAAAAATTTAAGCTTCAGGTTAAACGTCTGGCGGAAAATTCAAATTTTAAACAGTATTTTTTTTAAATTGTAGCCAAATTAGGCAAAACTTAGATAGGGTTCTCGATTTCGCGACAATAAAAAATATTTATTTACGTTACTCTAAATCTATATTTAAAAACGGTTTAAAATTTAAATTTCCCGCCAGACCTTTACATTTAGCCTTCAGGCTAACAAAGAAAATAAACACAACTTTTTAATTTTCTTTATTTAGAATAAGTGTTTCTTAATGGAATTATACACTATAATTATTTTCATAGTAATTAAGTAATTACAAAAATAATAAGTAGTGAAAAATTAAAATCAATCACCAGCTTTACTAATCAAGGAACTTTGATCTGTCAATAATTATTAAAATATATGCAAAGCATTTTTTTAAATTGTTTTTATACTTTTCAGAGGAACAAATTTGCTTTAATAAAGTTTGCGATGACTTAAAGAAAGAAAAAAGAAAAATTCTTGGCACGTTTTTTTTACATTAACCTTAGTTATCAACATCGCTTTCAACACTGGAACCTGTAAATGATTTTTTTCAGATGTCCACAGTTTGTTCATGAGAAAAAAGACTCTTTCTACTGGAGCATTTGTTCCAGATAGACATAAAATGTATTCAATTAAAATACAAAAATTTTCATGTTTAAGATTGTTAGAACGAAAGTGTTCGAATACTTCCACCCCACGAGTTTCTGTTGAGACTTTCAAATTACCCCATTCGGTAATTTTTTGGGTAGTGACGTAGTTTGAAATTAATGTGAATTCGTCAAATACTTCTGTATCTTTATTACAGTGAATATATCCCTTTTCAGTCAATATATCCACTGCGTTTTGAATATCTTCCCATGCGAGTACTTTTCTTAAATCTGCCCAATGAAATATCTCTATTTCTTTAGTAAGAATCCACTGTTCCAAGTATTCACGGCTCTTCTTCTTCAGCTGCCTATCCACTACTATTGGATGTTGGCGATCACATTTCCGTATGCTACCCTGTCCATTGCTGTATGTACAAGGTCCCCGATATTTTTCAAGCCAGTCCATTCCCTCAGGTTTCTAAGCCATGACATTTGTTTCCTTCCTACGCCACGCTTGCCCTCTATCTTACCCTCGACGATTAGCTGGAGAAGCCGATATTTTGGGTTCCTCATTATGTGTCCGAAATAGGCCGTTTTTCGTTTTTTTATGTGTAATAGAATTTCTCTGTCTCTGCCCATTTTTCTCAAAATTTCCTCGTTTGTAACCCTTTCGACCCATGATACTCTCAGCATACGGCGGTAAGTCCACATCTCAAACGCTTCTAATCTATTAATTGATGTTGTTTTGAGCGTCCATGTTTCCATACCATATAATAGAACGGACCATATATAGCACTCGACGTCTCGTCCTCTTAGGTTCAGGCTTGTGTCTCTGTTGGTAAGTATATGTTTAAATTTGAGAAAATAGCTCCGGGCTATTTCTATTCTGGCTTTGATTTTTTTGTCGTTGTCCCAATCGTCATACAGCCAACTACCCAAGTATCTATATTTCTTGACTCGTTCCAAAGCCATTCCATCGACGACGAGTTGCGCATTTACATAAGGCACCCTGTCCCTACTGATTATCATAAACTTTGTTTTATTACTATTTATGTTTAGTCCATAGTTTTTACTGGCGTCGTTTAGTAGAGTAATCAGTTGTTGTAAGTCTTGGATATTATCCGCTATCAAGACAGAATCATCCGCGTATCTAATGTTATTCACATATACTCCATTTACTTTGATTCCGATGTCCTTATCTTCGAATGCTTCGCCAAAAATGGCTTCTGAGTACATGTTAAACAAAAGTGGGGACATGATGCATCCCTGTCTCACTCCTCTACGTATTTCTATATCTTGTGTTTTCAGTTCGTTTGTTGTTATATGTGCAGTTTGATGCCAATATAGATTTTGAATGCAGCGAACATCTTTACCATCTACATCCATTTTTTGTAATATCTCGATTAGTTTTGTGTGCTGCACTCTATCAAAGGCCTTTTCGTAATCAACAAAACAAAGAAAGACGTCCTTTTTTACATCGCAACAATTCTGAACCAGTACGCGAATACTGAAAAGAGCCTCCCGCGTCCCCATTCCACTCTTAAACCCAAATTGTGTGTCTTTAATACTGTCCTCACATTTTCTATATAACCTGTGGTGTAAGACTTTAAGAAATATTTTTAGTGTATGGCTCATCAGACTTATTAATCGATGTTCTTTGCAGCTTTTTGCATTTCTTTTTTTAGGTAATGGAACGAAGGTAGACCTTAACCAGTCTGTGGGGTACCTGCCAGTGCTGTATATCTTATTGAAAACAACTTCCAATAAAGACAGGTTATCATCGTCTATTAGCTTAATGATCTCGGCTGGCACTTCATCTGGTCCGACTGCCTTGTTATTTTTTGAAAGTTGTATCGCTTTACGAATTTCCTCTTTTGTTATCGGTGGTCCACTCAACGATTCACCTGCGGGGTTAATTTCGAGGTCCGTTCTCTTGGAATAGTTTTCTTATGTATTGCTCCCACATTCTTCTTTTTTCATCCTTTTCCAGGATTATCTCGTTTTTGTCGTTGACTAGAACTATTGGTGCCTTGGTTTTATATATTCCAGCTACCTCCTTTAGCTTTTTATGTTCGCTATGAGTATCATGTATCTTTTGGAGTCTCTCTATTTCTTGGCATTCTTGTTCTAGCCACTTTCTTTTAGCTTTTCTGATTTCAGATCTAATTCTAGAATTTAAAAGACTATATTGATCAGGGTTTACATTTTTATGTTTACGTCTCTCGTCCATCAGCCGTAGAATTTCCTCTGTCATCCATTTGTTCTTAGGAACAGACTGACGGTATCCTAGTATGTTCTGAGAAACAGAGTTCATGGTTTTCTTCAAGCTATCCCATATATTGTCGACTTGATATTCTCCAATCGTCTCTTGCAGTCTCGCCAGTCCATCATTTAATTTTTGTTGCAGAGTCGTCCTTACTTCTTCGTTTTTTAGTTTTTCAATAGCTAACTGAGGTTTTCGTTGCTGTCTCTTAACAAGTCTTCATTAATATTAGTGCCATTATCTTTTAGTTTCACAATTAAACTACGAACAGTAAATGGAAGAAACTGGTTGATCTGTTTCTGTGCCAAATTGTCTTTGAGATGATTGATTTCTTTTGCCGCATCAATTGCCGATACAGTCTGACCCCCGACCTTCAATACAGCTTGATGAAAACTTGCTGACTGAGCGTGTAAAAATTAAGCCATAATTCTGACGTGGGATCTTCAAAAAAGTTTTTCAACAATTTGGTACACTTTTCAATGCTCAAAAACTAGTCTTTTAACGGTTGGAACATTTTTAAAACTCTCTCCAAAGCAGGCATAAGCGCAAGCCACCTGGTTTTACTGTAGCCAAGCATTTGGTGATGTTCTATTACAGCTTCAGCGCAAAACTCCTTGAGAGCTTCCACTCGAACCGTGTAAATATAAAAAAATGAATATATTTTGACAATAATGCTTTCGTAGTCTAAAGGATTTTATTGCATTGTGAATTATATGGACTCCACATCCAATACCTATCAACGGTTTTTTCAGAGATGATTGTAACTTGGCTAATACATTGTTAGTTCCTGGCCTAGCTACATCTCCAAAATTGACATTCGCATTGTCACCACAAAATGCGACAACTTTCTTTGTCAAATTATTATCTATTAATACTTGATGTAAATAATTTACAATGATGTCAGAAGTTTCACCTGGTTGCTCTTGGATGTCTAAAATTTTTACTTGCACACCTTCATAAGGTTGAAAAAAGCGCACTACGAATGGATAAATTTTTTTGTTACCGTGGTTTGAAGCGTCGTTTAAAATTGTAATACAATTGGATTTATTAAGATCATCTTTTAAACTGTCGATCGCTGAACGCGCACGCATGTGAATTTCGGATTAAAACATGTTTGAATTAATTTGGACGCACAATCATTGGAACGAAAACTGTGGTTTTCTTGTATGGTGTGATAAGCCCAGACGCCTTCTGCAGCAGCAATATCCAAATCCTTTGAAGTTGGCGGGTTTGGGTTCTTGAAAAAGTTTAACATTGAAGAACTGGAAGCAGCGGCACGATCGGCATTTTTATGTTTTTCTGACTTCAAATGCTGTTCAATATCACCAGCACCACTATGGGAAACACTAAACTCTGTGCGATACTTTTCGCATCTGACATCTGAAGGAGTATTAGTTTGCTTAATAAAAGGGTATTTTGCTTGTAAGTTGACATTAAATGAACACTTATATAACACAATATAAAAAAATAATTTTATAGCAGTTTATCACTAAACTACTTCAAAAACGTTACGTAAAAACAAAACAATAACGAGAAGTCTGAGTGCGCGCGCGTGAATAGCCTAATAAACAATAAACAGTAACGAACAGAGTGCGCGGGCGGGCGGGGGAATCACCGATTGACAGTGATGCGAATCGTCTGTGAATCCCGCCCACGCCTGTTTCGTGAGCTACATGATTTAAATTTTCGCGCTGTTTCACAAAACGGGACAATTTTGCGTCCCGGAGCTTTGTTTGGGGACAACGGGACAGGTGACCTATAAAAGGGACAGTCCCGTTCAAAACGGGACGTATGGTCACTTTAATCATACCTTGTTAAAAGTCATTCCGTTACATTTTAGATTAACTGATGTCACAATTGTTGCGAGAAGCGGCGTTACAATTTGTAGTTTTTAAAGAAAGTAAATTTGAATATATGAAACTAGCATTTTATTTATTGGCATGTATTCTACAAAAACAGTTCTTTTTATTGAGTCTCTTGATCACATTGGTTCCGTAGTATGCTATAAACTACATTGCAGTTCCTTAGTGGTCTCTATTCTCAAGTTTAGTGAACACACTCCCTAATGACTTTATCTGTTTATCTTGAGGTTTGGGTGAGTAGTTGAAATTTTTGATATTTTGTACGTTTGTACGCCGTCGTATGTCGTACGGTTTATGGGTGTTTTCAGTGTCCATTTTAGTTTTAGTTATGTGGTAAGAGTGGAAATTTAAATACCTTTCAGAAATAGTAGGTTTAATGTGTTAAAAAATATTGTTGATATCTCTAGAGACTTTTGTATCTAGAAACGGCACGCTTTGTCCAGTTTCCCCTCTCTATTTTGAATTGCAAGGAATTATAGCTATTGAATACCGCTAAAATCTCGGCCACTTCGTCACTGGAGACTGATGCGATTATGTTATCCACATATTTCTTTAAAAAGGTTGGTGCAAAAGACAGTTTTGCTATGCAAACCTCCGACAGGCCATCGAAAAATTACTGCGCGAATATTGGAGATATTTTACCTCCCATAGGGAGAACAAATTAATTATTAATAAGACTAAGACTGCTGTAACAATGTTTAAAACAAACCGATCTAGAATAGAACGTTATACGTTAAATTTAAGCAACTGTAATATTGTTTTAAGCGATTGCACAATGTTTTTGAGTATGTTTCTGGAAAGCACCTTATCATGGTAAAATCATGTAAATAATGTAGTAGATGAATTAAATAAATATATCGGTTATAGGTTTCATGGGAAACTAAAAAAATGCTTCATAATTTTAAGTCTCATACGAGATACGGTCTTGTCATGTACGGAAATTGTAAAGCCATAGAAAGAATTTTTATTTGCCAAAAGAGAACCCTACGAAATATGATGCAGAAAACAAAATTTTAACCTTAGCTGCAATCTTCATACAAGAAAGTATACTGTTCGTCTTTAAAAACAGTAACTTCTTTGAAAATTGTGAGTCTTGGGAGGTTTATAGTACAAGAACCATGAATTACGCATATCCCAGACACAGATTGACCATGAGGGAGAAGGGTGCGTATTATCCGATTTTATAATAGTTTGCCGAATAATAAATGCTAACGAGAAGAACATTTTAATTTACTCGTAGAAATAAAACCATATAGTGTAGAAGAATACTATAGATTTATTCAAAACCGAAAAACCACTGTAAATGACACTATTTAACGATTTTATTATTATTATTAGCTACTTTGTATATGCACCCACATCGTGGTTTAGGCGCATATTCTCGACGCCGCGTAATTTTAAAATCGATAAAGGACGGGTAAATTATGAAACTTCCTAAAAATTACTTCCTGGCTTTACTACGACGGGAGGGTCAATGAAAGTTCAAGGACATTACCGGCGCGATTGAAGATTTCCCATTGACGTTAACAAATAGCGCGATACGATTGAGGGAAACTTCGAACGGAAAAGTAAACGGACTTACTTGCGACGACTCCCACGCCAGTTCGTTCCACTCCTTGTGGGACGTAGCCCCGTCCGGCTTTGCTGGTACTTTTCTCTGCAGATTTCGCGGCAGCTTTGAGTTTTCTCTTTCCCATTTCTGAAACAATACAAATTCACGTTTAACATGTTGTTTAATATCATCCCCGACTAACATTTTTTGTTTTATAATGGTAACTGTTATCAAATATCTCCATGAACCTCTAGAACTTAAATGGAGAATGTTGAAACGGTAACCAAAATTTTCTCTCTATTTATTTGTAATGATGAAGTTGTCGTTAACTTTATGAACCATAAATAAGTTTTATCATGGCAAGAAATCCATTTTTGTTACCGTTATAAAGCCTACCTACGGTGTTTATAAACACTGAATCACCCCCCACTCCCCCCATCTTGATTTTATATCCTTGTCACTTTGTTTTGCTTTTACCCTAAAGTTTACAGCAATGGGTTTTTACGTTGACATTGTTATAAATAGATATTATAACAACCCAAAAACTGAAAGTTTCCTATTTTATTTGGCACAAAAAATATATTGAATAATTTTTTACTGAATTGCCCTCGCTTTGAGCGCTTTAAAACGTAAATTTGGTAAAGTTAAATCTGAATTTTTTTGCAATTAAAATATGCGTTTTAAGTCCACATTTTTGAAGAATTGTGTCAGAAAAGTTTCAGAAATAAAAAATAAATTAAAATTAAATCTTCTTCCTTTTTATAAAGATATTCCTATCAATTCTGAAAAACATCACAATGGCCATAAAATAAAAGTTGTTCATCAGATTCGCTTTTGAAAATTGGTTAGTTTTACATGGGTTTTCAAAATAACTTACATAGGTGTCTTATACAGTGTACCCCATTTAGGAAGTGATATTTTTTTTGAAGAATAAAGTATCAACGGATTCTTACTCAGGACTACCTAAACACCTAACTATACTAATTACAATGGACCTCGAATACAGGCTGTAGAATGTTTATTTATGACTCAATCCTTTTTTACTGTTGGATAAATCTCATTAAAAAACACTGAATTTTTTTATTACATATTAAGTTCTTTGAAGCGGAAAATCTGTACTTTTAGCGATTTTTTCAAATTGCTACCATATTTCAGACACATTTTTTCGAATTTCGTAATTTATTTCTTAGTCTTTTAAGAGAATTAGTTCGTCATGGGTATACCTCTCTTATAGTACACTTAAAAAATGTTTGCATTATTTTTTATCATTATTGTTGAGATTTGCATAGTTAAAATTTGTTTACAAGATCTCAAAACCACACATAAAACAATCATTATTTACATAGTAAGCATTTATTTTTTAAAACGTCCAAAACTCTGATTATTGGTAGGTCTGAATAAGAATCTGATTCATTTTAAATTTGAAAAAATTCCTACAAGCGCTTTTCTATTTTCCGCTTCAAAAAAACTGATGTGTCAATTGTCAATTGGCTGTGGCTTTAGTCGATGTTATATGAAAAACACTCGCTTCTTAGTAAGTTCTATGCAACAAAAAGAGAACTAACAAAACCGAGTCATAAACAAAAATTCTACAGGAGTAGTGCTTAAGCTAGGCACCCGCGATATTTTGAGCACCCTGTTTTCGGATTTCATAGAGAGTCTTATATAAGAATTCGTACACACTTTACTATCGATATTTGGCATCAACAAATAATCCCAGTTGCCTATGACCTTCGGTTGAAGCTGTTAGCAAAACGCAGTTTCAGTGCATCAAAACACAAAACCATCAAAATCAAACCGTAAACAAAGATTTTACAGCTGTGTACAGTTGTACAGGTGTTCAATGGGACAGACTGTATATGAATAATAATGGCAATATAGCAATATAGTAATAAAGTGCTTTTGCGATTAGTTATGGTTTTATAAGTAACCAAAAAGGTACTTAGGTAGAGAAGGCGCTAAATGTTTGACCGCAATCCATTGTAGCTGTCTCTATAGACCTATTTGATTGGTCTATTTGTCGGAAAGCATGTGGTTAGTTTTGATTAATTTTTGTCATACCTATGCTTTATATGCTGTCTCTTCTCAACAACAGAATAACGGAAACTTCCCGGCAATAGAGCATTGGTATTGGTATTAAAGGGCGCTCACCGCGGGCGTCCAAACACTTAGGCCACTAGATGGGCCCGTTGTGCCCCCTCCTACAGAAGGTCAGCCACTCCTTTAGCCCCATGCTGTGCACTGAGTCCAGATCCGGCAATAGAGCATATAGAGCCGGCAACATTGCGTTAAAATCAAACATTTAACGTCCTCTAATAAAAGTGCGCAAATGTCAAATATCAATCATAACCTGACTTTTTAAGCGTTGTTTAACATTAAACTAAACATGTCTTTTAAAATTGTGCAAACGACAAAAGTTTGAAAAACAGTACCGTCTTTGACGGTCTTTTCAAGCACATGGGATTCCAGAATGCTTTAAGAATTGTAAACGTTTTTACCCTGTGAGGCATATAACCCCAACTCTGTTTTTGAGCTGAAGTAACCAACACGAAACAAAAACATATGTATATAAAATAACGGCAACGTTCTAAATGCAATATTATAAACCTTAAAGTGTGTTGATATTTATTGGACGTCTTTACTGCTTATAAAACTATGCAAGTGTTATCAAAAGCTAAGCTTATATTGAAATAATTATTGTTTTGTATTTTTGCAATTGTATTTATAATGAGAGCTTTATCTTTTTATAGAAACGAAAAATGAAATGACACATGGTTAAAAAGTTACCTACGCCGACCGGTATATAGGGCGTCTCATGGTTGGCCGAACGTTGGCCGACGTTTTGGGCAAAAAAGACCTAGCAATTTTCTGAAAAAGTTGCTATAATTTTTAATATTTAAATCGGACATCTTGTGTATTCTATTTTTCTCTGCGCTCATCGTTTCTGTAAAATATTACCCTAAATCTGTCTCCGTCGATTTTCAGAACATTAATTATTTTGCATATTTTTTAACTAAAACGGATTTTCAACATTGTTATGCATTTTTTTCTATTTAAAAAGCTGAAATGTTTGCTGCAATTTGCCGGCACCTTGGGTGCCAATTCCGCGTAAAGTAATATCTTCTGTGATGTACAGGGTGATTACAAAATTATTACTTTACTGTTTTCCAAAATCCTTTTTTTCAAATAAATACCCTGTTTATTATCAAATATTCTGACAGACAATTGAAAACGCTTAACATTTTTGTTTTTGTATTGTTTTCATCCAAAAATCAAGAAACTTTACAATTTAATGACAAAAGTATCCACCAAAGAGAGCTTTTTAACATTTTTTTTCAAAATGAAGAAACTTTCCGCATGGACTAAAGATAGAACCACCTACCAAGACACATCAAATGTCGATTGAAGAAAAAAAGCGAAAACCAATACGTTATAATAAAAAATAAATCTAGTAATTTATATTATTATTATTCTTAGTTCCCCAAAAGATACAAGCTGTTAAAGAACTGTTTGCATTTTCAAGACCTTACCATTTATGTATAGGAACAACGAAATGAAAGCGCCTTTAATTATCTAGAATATTTGATAATAAACATGGCGTCCCAGTTGAAAAAAAAATTATCAATTTTGTGTAAGACGGTAAAGTAATGATTCTCGAAACACATAGAAGCTATTAATCCCCAGGGAACTAGTAACCAGGATACTGGCGAATTTCACCAAAAATTTTCGATTTTCAAATATTCAACCAACCCAACAATAAGAATTTACTGTATCAATCGAAAATTTCTAGAAATGGGTACAGAGAAATATTTTACAAAAAAGAACAGAACGATTAAGCAAACGGTAATACTGCGACAATGAAAATATTTTCTTCCGATTGAGGAAAGTCGAAAGCCCATGGCGATTTGCATCATACTTGTATTATTGTATTGGTAAATAAAATAAAAAAAAACTGAAACGTTTGCTTCCTTAAATTCAAAAATATCATTGAAACAAACCTGGAAGATATTTTCTGAGCTGGTATAAAGTCGCTCCAACAAGTTGCTTCCTCTGTAATAATGTTTCCGTTCCATTTATTAACAATATTACAAAACGTGTTACAAATAAGACGCGAACGATATAGAAACCGAACGCGAAGAATGAAACGCAAAAAGTGCTTGGTTTGAAACAAATGCAGATTCGTAGATGACCCACGCATGTTTATCCCATGGAATTAATTAAAAGGTGACGCGTGCATGCATAATAACCCGGTAGAGTCGGATATTAATATCAAAGCAAACCGCTTCACAAAAATTGAACCTACATAAATAAACAAGGATTTATTTGCTTCGCTTTTTATAATTAAATATGTATTGTTATAGAGCATGGGTAAAAAAATGCGATGTTTCTGTGGATTAGAGCTTTTTAATATGCATAGGAATAACGCGTATTTTCACAATTTCGCAATACGAAAAATATCTCAACACTCAATTCTTCATCGTGTAGGATTTAGTGAAGACGCAAAATTCTTATGTAAATTTTTGGCCTATAAAAGTAATATGTATTGTTATAGGGTACGGGTAAAAAAAAATTGCGTTGTTTCTGTGGATTAGAGCTTTTTAATACGCATAGCAATAACGCGTATCTTCACAATACGAAATATATCTCAATACTCAATGCTTCATCGTGCAGGATTTAGTGAAGACGCAAAATTCTTATGTAAATTTTTATTCTATAAAAGTAATATGAATTTTTTTCTACTCCCGTCTGTAAAATACCTAATTACCCACCGGTCTAGCGTGCGGGAAGCGTCACTTTACCACGTCAGTTTCGTTTCCCATGAATCCGAGCCATTTCGGACATTTCCGGGATTTTACCGCACGGATTTGGGAGCAATCGGATGTTCTCGGAGATATTTCCCACGCTTTGAATTTTGACGTTTGTCAATTCTGACGGTCATGTCGGTGAATGTATTCGTGTTGTTTTGCGAAAATGTACCCAAAAACTAACGGTGGTAGAAAAAGTATAGTATGCAACACGTTCGGTAAACATTTTAACTCACTCGTTTATTAAAAACTCGCTCCGCTCGTGTCACCACCCACCAACTGGGGCTAATTTTTGTTATCTCAAACATCGAGAAGGGCTATTTCTTTAAGAATAAAATGTCAACAAATTCTTATTCAGGACTACATAAAACCTAACTATAGTAATTTCCATGAAATTCGCTTAAACATTACTCCTGTGGCTCAATTTTGATAATTCCTTTTTGCTGGATAGATCTTACCATAGAGAAATGAAACCTTTTTTTCATATTCATAACTGACACAGTTTTTAAAAAGGGAAAAATCGTAGTAGATATTAGAAGATTTTTTCAAACTGAAAATGATAACAGATTCGTATTCAGGTCTACCTAAAAGTAACTAGACCAATGACTAAAGTTGTTATTTAAAAATAAAAATTGTAAACTTTGTAAATAACGACTACTTTATATGTGATTTTAAGATCTTACAAATTTTAATTATACAAACTTCAAAAATAATAAATAATAACAACACAATTGACAAATTTTAGTAGGTCTAACGTAAACAAAATTAAAATATAAATTATCGAGTAATAAACTTGATTTTAGGAAACAGTATTCTGATGCCAATCAATTTTGATATTTCTGTTATTTTCATTAGTAGATGAGAATCAAACATAATTTTTAATTTGCAAAGTCTGTTTAGTTCATACCTAATCCTAATCTAATCATATCTAATTTTTTAAAAATCGTTCGTGTCTTTCAGTGAAATCTATCTAACAAAAAAAATTATCAAAATTGAGCCCGCGATATTTCGAGCACCCTGTATTCGAATTTCATGAAAATTAGGATAGTTAGGTTTTTCATTCGTCCTGAATAAGAATTCGTTGACACTTTATGGTTAAATAAATCCCTAATAGCCCTTCTCGATATTTGACACCAAAAATTAGTCTTAGTTTGCAATGACTTCAGGTTGATGTAAGAAGAAACACAAGGTTTTAGTGCAATTTTAAGAGATCTACCCAATAAAAAAAAATTGTCAAAATCAAACCGTAATCAAAGATTTTACTACGTTATACAGCCTTAAATGGGGCGCAAACGATATTTCAAACAGGCTGTATTGAAAAATATAACATAAAAATTGGAATAGTTGGGTGCTAAGTGCTACTGAATAAGAATTCGTTGCCAATTAATGTTTTTAAAAATTCCTAATAACACTTCTCTCTTCTCTCTCTTTTGTTAAATAGTCTCAGTTGGCCATGACTTTAAGCAAAACAAATAAATTTTTTTTATCAAAATCGAACCATAAACAAATATTTAACAAGGATGTATAGTTCTTAAATGGGACATACGGTATATGTATCCTTGTCTCAAACATTGGCATTTGTTATTTTGTAATATTAGACTGGTAGTTTCAATTTTTACGATTCATTCTTCACCTTATTTTATTAAATTTAATTATATATTCTATATGGTTTTTTTATAACATTAACAGCGTTGTTCGTCATAATGTTATCAAATGTTTAAAGCCTTACGTATCTTGGCATCCAGAAATATTGCCCGTGTTTGTACCAGACAAATTACTAGATCGAAACGGCCGATAACGTACGTACTTCTTCCCGGTATGCTTAAATATCTGCCTCATTTTGCACCGACCTTTAAGAAAATCCGACCCAGTTAGCCGGAATTTATAGCGACGACTTTGCTAATGATAAAACTTAGAACTACAGGCGCATTTGCATATAACATTTTTACGTGCACACCAACAAGGTTCTCCTATCGGCTGTTCGCCTAAATCGTTCAATTCAAACTCGTGCCAATTCTTATTTGACCCAAGACATTTAAAATTTTGTAATTCTAAGGAGCTATCCTTACTTCTCAACCTTTTTATTTGTATATGAGTAAGATCACGTCAAGTGCACCCCCATTTACCACTTGATCATAAAAAATTAATGTATATATATTTTTTATAAGTACTTATGATGGAAAATTGATCCCTCAAACGATTTTTTAAAATTTTGATTTTAACAACTTTTTTTTTATAATGAAAATTTTAGGTACTTTTAATTAAAAAAAGGATTAAAAATCAACCGTATCGACTTAAATTTATTTTTTTATTTTCGTATTTTTAACTAACTTTTAAGTTAACAAATGAAAATTTAACAGATTTTTTGGTAAAAAAAATAGCCACATTTAAGTTTAAGATTTCGGAAGAAAATTTCACTGCCCGTCATTAGTTTAAACAAAATGAACTTATTTATGACATTATCATCATTATTACAAACCATTGGAACAATTTTCGCTAGAATGTAGACTCTTTTCAAAGGATGAAAAAGTATTTATTAAAAAAAAAATAAGTTTAAAAAAAAATAAATGACAAATTTACAATTTCATTATTTAAGCTTGTTTGTTCTATTCAGTATGTTATGATTGTTAATATTGTTAAAAAAAAAATAATTATTATAATAAAATAACACAAATACTAATAAAATTTATTTTACAATAATATTTTGTATTATTATTTTAAATTATCACTTCAATCTTCAATGCAGTTCGAGACGCTCGGCAGCGCGGCGCTTCCACAGTGTTCGGCGCCCGGCGCGCTGTCATAAACAAATTCATTTTGTTTAAACTAATGACGAGCAGTGAAATTTTCTCCCGGAATCTTAAACTTAAGTCGATAAAGCATGTGACCGATAAAAAAAACATATTTTTTTACCAAGAAATCTGTTCAATTTTCATTTGTTAACTTAAAAGTTAGTTAAAAATACGAAAATAAAAAAATAAATTTAAGTAGTTAATATATTCTTAAAGTATAGACATTTGACCATAGAAAATTTCATAAATTTATCTCTTACGGTTGATTTTTAATCCATTTTTCAATAATATTCATTATAAAAAAATGTTGTTAAAATCAAAATTTTAAAAAATCGTTTGGGGGATCAATTTTCCGTCATAAGTACTTAAAGAAAATATATATAGATTGATAGAGTGATCTTACTCATATTTAATATATGAATTAAACCAGGGCGCTGACTTGAATGTTATCCATTTGATTATCATTTCCAAATCTCATCACTGATCAGTGATTGAATCGTCAAATCTATTCAAATCATAATTAAAACCGTTGCTTACTTTGCTGAGTTCAATTAATTGTCATCGGCATAAAGATGATAATCACAGAACCCTGGGCTACACCCTGATTGCAGCCAAAATATACTTTTTGTATCCTCGTTCCTTGAATCTAATGTGATGAAAATTGACATGAGGATTCCATGATTTCATCATCAGCGGACCAATTTGTTTTATGTTCAGGTTTGGAATGGCTAAGCTTTTCCTTTAATGTTGAACTTTCGGATGAATCGATAAATAGCGAACGACAAACCATACAAAGCCAGAGGTCTCAAAGAATTGTAAAATTGTCAATATACTAACCTGCAAACATTTTGGCTCGTGCAGAGATAAAGAGGCTGTGCCAAACTCTCGTCCGCAGATGTAGCACGTCAAAGTCCTTTTTCCGGAAGATATTCTCGTCGTGTCGCTTTTGGACGTGTTTTCCGATCGCGTTCTGTCGATTTGATGAGGCGATGCGCTTTTTTTTATGGCGCTGATCGGTTGCGCCAGTCGTTTCGATTTGTATCGCATGGCGATCGGTTTTTGGACCGTGCTTTTCACTGAAAAGAGTTATAAATGATTATTCAACTGTAAAACTTGGTGATCTCAGTAGTATTCCGTTGATGTACCTATGATGATGGTTAAGGTTCTCAAGAGAGGCAGGTATAGTTATAGCATATATTGCCGTGTTCGTTCTTAAAGAATCTACTGCTTTTGTATTTGATGCTGATGCTAGAAAAAAATACAAAGCATTCATTGAAGGATGGTTCACTAAAAGATTAATAATTACTCACATTGATAGCAAAAATGAATTTGTCAATGGTGGCTTACTAGCATTTCAATCAAAACGAACTGGAGAGTATCATGAAGACATGAATGCTGATATTTCAGAACACTGCTTTCAGCAAATGCTAGATCTTTTTCCTGCTGGGTCTGTTATAGACATTGATAATGGCAGCTACCACTCAAGAAAATCCGAATCATGGAAAAAAATTAGATCATTTAAGACGTAACACCAATTTTAAAAAAAGAGATGTATCGGAAATAAGAACCACGAAACCAAAAATTGTTTTAAAAAACAAAAAAAAAGCTAAGAATTGAGGACAATCATAGAATTATAAAACAAATAAAAAATGCACGCGAAAATCTGCATTATTGGTAGATGAAGAACCTATTTTCAAAAATTAGGGATCAACAGGATCAACGAAGAAGATGATAATATCGATCAGGCCGTTGATCAAACATCAGAATCGCTCTAAGTAAATTTAAAAAGGAAAAGCCACTATGAAACAGAGATCCTTAAAAGCAAGAGGGAGATAATATGTCAGGGAAGGGTGCCAGAAAACGGAACAAAAAAAATGCAACATTATTGGGCATACCATCAAAAGTATATGAGCGCATCTTTGAAGATGCCAACCTGGAACAATTGCAGCAATCTCAAAGCGGGGTAGAAGATGGTCACATCTTGAAAATTAAGGAAATAAAAATATAGAAATCAATTTAGCTTTCCTAGGCCTAGAGAAAACTTTTGAAAAACATCCAAGACATGCAGTGAAGAAAAGTTTGTTGAAGAGAGGTATGGAACGAAGACAAAGCAGAGGAATGCCGCCGCTAACATACGACCAAAATATTGAAAATATACTAAGAGGACTGGCAATGCAGTTAAGAATCTATATAGCCAGAATTCTAGCAGGATTGCGGATAGAGGAAGGTTATCAAATCCATATGAAATCAATAAGGTATCGAGGCAGGGTTCTTGTTTACCTACAACCTTATTTAAACTCTGTTTTATTAAAGGAAATTAATTTACAGAAAACTCCGTATTTAGTGATCAGAGAAGAAGGCCAAGATTTAAAAGTCAACTGTGTTCGTGTTTACTCTGTCTCGTTGACATTCAGAGCGCTGTCTGAAACAGATTTGATGATTGCACTGCACCTTAAATCCCTGACCGGGAGGATCAAATAGTAGAGGGAGCTTTAATTGCTTCACGGACGACCGAATTCCAAACGGAATTCAGCTAAAATATAATATAATAGAAACCTGTGTCGCAGTTTATATTCTTGGGGTGTTTGGGATGTGCAGAAAAGGCCGGTGTCCTGTTTCTGGATCATGTTCAGAAAACGCTAATGTAGTTATTTGTCGAAGTCTAACTGATCTCTTTGCCGTTGCCGCTATGTGATAAACACCTGCTGTCTCGAGAGGAATTTTATCTTCTAACGGTCTTAGATGTTGGGAGATTTTACGACAGGTAGAAAATCAAATATAAACAAAGAAAGAAAGAAAAATTAAATCTGCCAAAGAAGACTGGATAAGGAGAGAGTGTGATCAAATGGAAGAATACGAGCGAAGATATGACAGCTTTAATCTGCATAGGAAGCTGAAAGAGATGACCGGAATGACGAAATATAGTCAGTCTACTGTATTGAGAAGTTCCGACGGCAGTATTATTTCCGATGTCAAGCGACAGCTGATTCGCTGAACTGAATATATTAAAGACCTTTTCAATGACGATCGGCCTGAACTGAACTGAACGGAGGAAGAGCAAATGATCCTGACGAGATACTTAAAATTATAGATGAAGACACAATTATGATCCTCGTAAATCTCTTTAATATCATGTACTCAACCGGAGTTATTCCAAGACAGTTGCTTTCATCTACATTTATAACGTTACCTAAGAAACCAAATGCTACAGAACGTTCCAAATCATCGAACAATAACTTCTATAAGTCACATTTTGAAGGTGTTTTTAAGAATTATTCATAATAGAATATTCGCTAAGTTGGACTCCGAAGCCAATTAGGCTTTAGAAAGGGTATGAGGACTAGAGAGGCTCTGTTCGGTATAAACGTGTTAGCGCAAGGTTGTCTCGACATGAACCAAAATGTTTACGCCTGTTTTGTTGATTTTGAAAAGGCGTTTGATAAAGTTCAACACCAAAACATAGCCAATATTTACTGGAACCAAACAGCAAGGGGTCAGAATTGAAGATCAGCTTACAGATGAATTCTGCGAGGTGAAGCTATGCTATGAATGAACGACAGGAGGGCGTTACCATAAAAGGACAGATTTAAAACAACTTACATTATGCGGACGACACCATTATCTGCACACCCTACTGCATAGGCTAAATGATACATGTGAAAGATATGGACGAAACATGAACCTTAAAAAAACTAAATACATGATTATTACAAAGAAAGTAAATGTTAACGGAATTCTTACTATAGACAACACAACCAAATAAAGAGTAAGAAAATACACTTAGGAACATGGCTACACGAAACAATGGAGCAGTCTCATGAAGTCAAAAGTTGCATAGAGGTAGCCAGAACTGCTGCAGAAAACCCAGAAACAGGACGAAATAATTAACTCTCTAAAAAGAATAAAAATGGAACACTTTGACCACGTTATCAGAGGAACTAAATGGAAGCAAAGATCAAGTGCAAAAGGAGTCAAGCGAGAAGAAGAACCTCTTGGTTCAAAAACTTAAGGGAATGAAATGACAACACTCTGAGTGTTCGAAGCGTTTTCGGAGCGCGAGCATTGAAGATGCTAAGTGAGATTTTGGCGAAACGTCTGCAGGATTCCAGTCGGATGCAGGATTTGAGGATTTGCAGGAAAGGTACGGATGATATCCCGGAGTAGAGTGTCATCTAGCCCTTTAACCGTTTGTAAAAAGTGGCAAATAACTAACTAACAAGAGCTGCCCTTTTGATTTTTTGAAATTGTTTTTAATTATTCAACATTTCTGAGGTTGTATTTTCTAAAAATATATTGTTGAAAAGAAATAAATAATAAGGATAAAAAAATTACCCCAGAAAAAATGTGGATTTTGATTATTGTAGCCAATTTTAATTACCCAAAAAACTCAAATTAACTCGGATACTACGAGCAAGAAAATAGTTTCATCAAGATTATTTTTAATTTGTTATTTATACTTTGAACTTTAAACTGGCATATTTCTAAAAATATTCAAAATAAACCAATAACCAATTTTTGCCGGCATTTCCCCGAAATTCACCTTTGTGTGACGTTTCATTGGGAATATATATTTCCTTTTGACGTCATTCCACCGTATCCATTGTAATTTATTTTTTGTGTCTTTGTTCTCATGTCCTCGGGAGTTTTGTTAATATGAGGTTCGAAGGAATAATTAATAACGAATCGGTGATACCTATCGACCGAATTGTTTCGATAATAAATAAACGAAACGAAATATTTAATCATCACGGTGCACCGCCTTAGCAGTAGTGACATTGAAACGCGATGCAAGGGGAAATTTATTGATTTTTGTCGGTGCTTGGATAAAATAACATTCGGTTTTAACGCACCCAATGAGTACTTTACTTGCACGGTGTTCTAAAAAGCGAATTGCTATTTCCGCAACGCAGAGCTGAATTTTGGTACGCAATTTAACAATTCTCGAAGTCCTATCAAATTTCCGTTAGTTTCAGGGATAGTTATATGATTTAATCCCGTAAAATACTTTGAAAACACGCATAATTTTTTCACTCTGCACTAAGAGGTGTCCGAAATAAGGTTCCTTAACTCGGAAACTACGAGCGATATAAAAAATATTTAAAAAGAAAATGTTTAATTTTTTATATAGAGTGAAGAGCTAAAATATGGAAGAAATTCATTCAAACATCAGGTATTGGGTTTGGATTGGAGTTGCGCATGTTTTGTGGTAAATAGAAAATATACAGGGTGCATCAAAAATAGATGCCGATACCAAGTTCCTTTTTTAAATGGAACACCGTTTTCTAAAATCCATTTTTGAATCATACCTCAAATTTCACGCATAATTCATGTAGCATGTCCTATATGGTTAATTTGCCTTATCTAATTCTATTTTTTTCCTTATTAACTTTTGATTTTAAATGTCCCCAGAGGAAGAAAATCCAGATCTTGTAGGCTCTATTGGTCCATTTATAGCAATTCATTGTCCTGAAAATAGCTTATTTAAATATTCACGCATCTGTCGATCAAAATGGGGCGGAGCACCATCCTGGTAAAATCAAACCTGATTTGAATTGGGGATTTTTTATTCACAATCCTTTCCCAAACATTTATTTTTTGTGGATGGTGTTACGATTTTCTCTCATCCATCGGGAATTATTTCTAGTCCAATACCTACAGCTTTGTTAATTTGCCGTACCATTTAAACAAGACGTGGCTTAATCGCTAAACAGTATCTTTCGATGAAAAAATGGATACTGCGTTTGCTATAGCACTACATATTTAGAATTTGAAGTGGGTTCCTATTTTTTTTTAAGTTTCAGTATCATGGTCAAATAACCCACAGACAATAGGAAAATTGGCAATTATTTCAGAAACTACAAATTTGAGGAGTAGATAATTTTATACGAAGTCAAACCGGATAAAATTATAAAAATATAAGGTTTCGATTTGAAAAATTTTACTTTTTACGTCTTTTATAATTTAATTTTTGTACATGATGAAAATATCCACTCAACATATGATAAAGGGTGCATCTTTCACAAAAAATCCATCTATCCATATTTAATTACATATATAATTATCACTCCTATTTATAAAGGTGGCAATAGACAAAAAATGTAAACTACCGAACACACTTTTGGCAACGTTTGCGAGAGAGTAATTAAAGCGAGAATTGTTAAATTTTTGGATAAAAACAATGTTCTGTCTGCGTGGCGTTTTGGTTTTCGAGAGGGACGATCTACACAGGATGCAATTTAGGCTGGCCCAGAGAAAATATATGATGGTATAGACTCGAGTGAACCAAACTTGTATTTATATGTGTATTTATAGATCTGTCGACACTGTATAAGCTAAGCCAGTGTGATTTGAGGGGAAGAGTGCGTAATCTTTTGAATAGAAAACAAAGCGTGAACATTGACGGGACCATCAGTGAACCAAGGGTAGTGACATATGGAGTCCCACAGGGTAGCGTGCTAGGTCCACTACTGCTCACCCTATCTATAAATGATCTACTATATTTAAACACAAAATAGTAAAGTAACAAGTTTTGTTGACGACAATGTGAGTTTTGATCAGGGAGAAAACTGACACCAGTTACATTTACTGACATTAAACTGTAACAAAACAAAATATATCCTTTTAACTTCATTTACAAATTCTCCCGCTCACCTAGGCCTCTTACAGATAGGAAACACACGCGAAATTCGAGAATTATGCTGGACAGACATATGAAGTGGGACCTGCACATAAAATATGTCTGCAACAAAATTAGAAGTTTGTTATCTAAATTTAAATAAATTGAAGTCAAAGAGTGAGCGTCCTGGTGTCCCGCAAGGATCGATTTTGGGTCCGCTCCTTTTTCTTATTTATATGAATGATTTTGCACATTTTATGAAGCCCATCAAGTGTACACTATTTGCAGAAGACACCACAATTGGATTGACTATAGACTATAGAGAATCCTGTAGAATACATTTTCCCACCATTCATATTATGACTTTACCATCTACTTTCATTTACAATATGCAAATTCACTCTAATAAATCTAGTTTTTCTGTTCAGCCTGACACTATTTCCTACGCAACGCGTAATGCACACCATCGATTAAAAATTCTTTAAACCTGAATTTTAATATAAAACGCCTTAGTAGCAATCCTTTTAAGGGAGCCGTCAAGAATCCACTGACAATAAACTGTTTTTACACTACTAATGTGTGCCTAAATTTAAAATTTTAAACCTGCGTAACCTGTCTACTTTTACAAATTGGTTGCGTGTGTTTTGTGCTTTTATCGATATATTGATTTATTATCCTTATATGTATTTGTTTATTTTGTTTTGATTTACTACATTTTGTATACTGTGGTAAAATAAATAAACCTAAACCTAATCTAATCCTAAATATCTTAGAGACTTTTAAATATAACGCATTCTAAACATAGTTTGTGAGTCTATTGTGCTATGGCATAGTGTAAGTATTGCATTATCACATCTCAAAAAATTGGTCAGGTTACAGCGTTGGTTTATAAAAAAGGTTTATAAGGAAAATAAGTTGTTGGATATACGACAGCAATACTGGCAGACTATCTTGAATAATATTCATAAAGGCAAAATAGGTATGGAACCCATAATACATTAATACAATACAAGAAAAAAAAACAGTTTATCCCGCGCTGTGTACGAAAACGAAAGTTGTTATAAGAATGTTGCTCCCCGGCTCTACAATCAATTACCAGAACAAATCAGAAGTATCACGAAGTTTCAAAAATACAAATCCCTTGTGGAGGAGTGGATTTTTGAAGGCTATGTTTAGTGATCTTGTGCACTTGAAATATGCCAGATAACAGAATTGTGTTAACAAATTGTATTAACGTAGCATGGATTTTCTGGACAGATCTGCGAACGATTTTTTATGCATGAATAGTAAATAAAAACAAAACAAACCTGCTTGTAACAATTAATTTATATCCGACTTTTCTGGATCAATGGTTATAATCCTTCCGCGTCTCTATTGCACCTTTTCATTAGTCTGTAGTCACGTATTTTGATTAAAAAAAATCTATTAATTATATAATAATGTGTAAATAAAATAGAATAAATGCGAACTCGAAAGTCTACCACTAACAAGCATTGTTTTGGTTCTGTGAATTTAAACGTTTATTTTGTGAAATTGATTATTAAATTTATAATTAAATTTGTAAGCATGAGAAGTTATTCGGAATAAACTTATATTATACAAAAAATTAAAAATATAAAAAATCTATGCACTTTTTCTATTATCGTTTATCGAGTTATTTTGGACACCCCGTACAGTGTTTTTGCTTTGGTTTATTATAACGAAGCGAAGCAAAATTACGAAAAGATTACAAAAGTTCATACAAACGAAGTACCTTAATAAATAAAAAAATAAACACATTAAAAACTCACTCACCCAATAAACGCTGGTTTTCCTGCGCAATATCGCCGGAGTCGTTTTTTTTGCGAAGGGCCATAGCAGGAGTGGCGGGATGACTGTGAAAACGTTCGGGCTGGTCCGGTCTGCCGCAACTTCGACAAGGTTCCGGTAGTTTGGTCGATGACGCCAATTTCAAATCGGCCGGCAACGCTAGATTCGCCACGCCATTTAAATTCGCCGAGGCCATCGCGGTCAATTTTCGACCGGGTACCTTTAATAGTTCCATTCAAAAGAAATATATAGTATAGTATACCGATTGGAAGCTTGGTAAAAATCGCGAAGTTAAGGACGGAGAAAAAAACCTTTAAACCGACCCGTAAGTAGTAGAGCGATGCGAGTGCTACGTCACTTTTAGCGGGAAAACTTGAATTGCCGCGAATCTTCGGGAGTGTTAGAAGTTGGCGCATGAGCTGAGAAGTATTGCTTGTGTTCGGCTATGTTCGAGCCAGCACGGAAATTTTGTAAAATGTGTTTTTTATAATAGAACATCTGTCCGTTCTTATTAAATCATCTTTACCAAAAAACCTCATCCAGATGACCAAAATTTGTATGGAGGGAGGCGTGTCTAGGATATGACAGATTAAAGAAACTTAGTCCTAAAGAAAGCTGTGAGAGCAGCAGAAATAAAAACCGAACTAATAACAATGAGAGCAGGACGTTTCAAATACTTGAAGTCACACTCACTGCGGATAACGACGTCACTGAGGCAATAAAGGGCAGAGTTCAATCGGCAAACCGCTGCCCATACGTAGTTAATAACCCTATGAAGTCGAAAAGCATCCCAAGCATATCCAAAATTAAAATATATCAAGCAAACATATGGATGCGAAACGTGGACAATGACCAAAGCAAATGAAGAAAACGCATTCCGAACTAACGTCGAAGTGCGAGAGCTCTACAACGATGGTGACAATTACTTAAGAGACCAAATCCCAACGACTAAGATGGGCAGCACTTGTACAGGGTGGACACTTTATAAGGGGCCTGTACCCTTTCTCAGGAACTACTAATTTTAGAAAAAAAAAATTATGGTTCAAATTAAATTTTAAAATATTTTTTTTTTATAAACAGGGTGTCCGATAAGGGCTGGACCGACATTAGTTTTAAAATTTTAAACGGAACACCCCATATATTTTGAAATTTTTAGAATCCTTGTCAAAAATAACTTTATAGAAACTACTTATTCGAAGTTTGTGCAGTTTATACAGAAATTGAGATTATATGTTTTTTATGCAAAATTATGTTCTTAGTTAATATGATCTTCCACTGCTGGCAGTATTGATGTTTGATCAAATTTGAAACACATTTTTAGAAGACTTTCTTTCAACGATGCGCGATCTCCTGTATTTAAATCTAATGCTTTTCGAAATACTGACACCTAATTATTTTAAAGAATTTTAAAAAAGTCTATTATTCTTATTTTCTAATTAACTTTAAGGATTTTTGCAATGCGTGGTGGGTCTTTTTTGTAGGTAAGGTAATACAGAGATTTATAGGTTTAGGAAATTAATTATGTCATTATTTTTTATATTGTCAACGATGTAAAATAATACGTATAATTATGATAAAAGTTTAAAAATTTAAAACATGTAACAGTAACAAGTAAAAGCAACAAAAAACAGTACCGGTAACAAAGTAAAAACTAAATTAAAACCAAATAGAAAATCTACAGAAATTTTTCAGCATGTCCACCATTTTGAATAGTGCATGTTGTATAAACAACCTCTACAGTTTATTTAGTTGGACTACAGCTTGTCTTGTAGTTCATTTACCGTAGTATACACCTTTCTTTAAATACCCTATCTTTAGTTGTCCCCCATAAAAAAAGTCCAGTGGAGTAAGATCTAGACTTCGAGGTGGCCATTTTGTCTTATCCAAAGATTGTAATTTTGACTTAAAAATTCAGTGATATCGTTTCCCCGGTGGTACGGAGACCATCGTGCTGCCATATTCATTGAGCACGTTCACCGGTATTTCTGAGCATATTTAAATATCGTATAGAGCCCTATAACATTTGATAGGTATATTCCGCGCCACACTTTCACAGATCGTCTACCTTGTCGTTTTACTTCCAACACCCTTTTCTTATTTTCATCGCTCCAGTATTTTTCCGATTAAAAATTGGGGCTTTTGTATGAAAAATCGATTCATCGGTCCAAATTATATGACGTAAGGCGTTATCAGCGAAATGCACGTCCATTTAAATATTACATTAGTGTAATCTAGCGTCATAGTCCCTTTCCTCTAGATATTGCACGGGTAAAAACTTAAATACTTTTCGCATATTTAATTTTAAACAATTTCTGAGGCTGGTTCTTTTAACATCCAACTCCAACGCGGCTTGACGAGTGAGGATTCTGATATATTCTCAAAATGCGGTAGTATATCCAACTGCTTCATGGTCTTCTGTTGAACGTTGGCAGACGTTGCCCAAAATTTTTTACTACTGATGAAAACTTTATTTAAATATGCGAAATGTTAATAAATTGTCTTATCATTCGTTGAAACAATAATTAAAATTAAATAAAATTTAAGAAAGATATGCCATTATAGAATTCTTTAAAATAATTAATAATTATTAAATATTATATTTTCTGAACTTTGATTTTGATATTTAACTTATTTTTTAGGACTTTAATTTTTTTTTATCACATTTAGTAAATCTAGTCTCCAATAACTATTGAGATGACCTTCCTTGAATAACTTCCGATTTGTTTTTTTGTATCAGATATCTTCAATTTTTTGGTTGTACCTCAGATCTAAATAAATTAACATATAATATTTGTATTTGGGTTTAAACCTTCCAACCAACGCTACATCTCCTTATTAATTTGTCACTACATATTACATGATCAATCAATGTCGCAGTGTTGAATTTTTCAATTTGATTTTTTACATTTATTTCGTTTACCAAATCATAACTATTTAGCACTAACAAGCTCTTATATTCTTTTATTAAATAATTGTTGGGTTACAAAACATTAAGTTAATATCTCCCATGATAACCTGGTTAATAGCATGTTTTTTGATAATTACTTCTATTACATTTAAAAATTCCTGCAACGTCTTCTATTAAATAAAGTTTTAGTCAGTTGGGTTGGTTAGTTTTTAAAAATTTTTTAGGAGTGGAGTGTTTTTTTTCCTTTTTTTTTAATCAATATTTTACAAAAAAGCAACGCACTAATACCTTCGAAAATCAGGGAGGGCGGATTTATTTATACCGAGTTAATTTATTTTCAAATAATCTTAGCCCGACCCACCTCTTTTTCGAATTCGATTTCTGATTATGTTGAAAAATGTTGATTGTTTTTTTTAACAAATCGAGTACCTTTAGCGTTTTGTTGTTATTCGGGTCTTTGATGGCTGCCATGGTACCGTTCCTCGTCGACGGCCGTAAAGGCACAGAATTGTCCCGATTTTTGCGTCGAAATCGGTTAAACTTCGCGCTTTGAATCACGCTGCTTTCTTCGTCTTCGTGGCTGTCGCTGTAGTTGTCGATTTTGGGAGCTTTTTTCGGTTTTTTCTTTTCGATGCAATTGGCCAAACTGAAACCGAAATTTTTAACTCTTTAAATCTTATTTTTGAATTATTGATATTAAAGTGGTCAGTTTTATTTTCATTTACTATTCACAGCAACGATCGGGAAATATTTTGTGACACGACCTTTAATCTTTAGTCTGAAAATCTTAGGAGTAATATTATGAAAAATAGGCGTAGACATTTGGTGAAGCCAGGTTTCTATTTAAGTGCCAAATGTCAATATGTGGAAGTTTTAAGCATTTTTTTACTAGGGCATATTACAATAATTGTATAAATGAAGTAGCATTTTCTGAAAATACCTACGTACTGAACACTTCTAATTTTCTAGATTTATTTTTATCTATTATTTCTAATTACTTAAGTGGTCTCTTAAAAACAATCACCATCAATGGAAATCCGTGTTGATCGGCCGTTAATTACCTTGTTATTGGTCCCAGGTACTTAATGCAAGTGTTTTTTGGATTTAATCATTTCTTATTGACTTACTCAGAGCGCAAAGCTGCAACGTTAATTTATTAAGAATTTTGAGTCTCCAGGGGACCAATGTTAGAAAAAACCAATTAAGGTCCGTTAGGGCCTGTTTTGAGAGTGCAAAAAGTTTAAGTTTAAGAAGAATTCGAAAAACAACGAAGACAGACCAAATAAATTGCCTTCAAAATTTTTTGATTTAGCCCAGGGGTAGAATAGAATAGAATAGAAAAGCATATAAGATAATATAATCCTACCCATTGTCAAGAAGTACAATAAAAAAGTATATGCCATTCGGCGATAACAAACATACTTCACACATAATATAAAATTTATAAAGACACAATTTACCACATTAGTTGGTTAGTTCAAGACAAAAAACATTCACAATTAATAATTAATATAACAACTTAGAATGCTTTTATTCTTTATTAAGATATTCTTCTATGCTATAAAAACAATTACTACAAAATAATATTTTAATTTTTTTTATTCTTTCATGGTTGGTATGTTTTTAATATTATCGGGGACTGCATTATAATAAATTCTGATAGCATAATATTTTGGTATTTTTTCATATAATGTGGAAACCTGATTGGGATTGGAAAGATCATTCCGTCTCATGGTAGACATCGTTTGACTGTTATAACCTAGTTGTTGTTGTCAAGCGCGTTGTTCAAGCGCTTGTATCTGTATGTCTTCGTCTAAACCTCTCTCTTTATTTGAATAAATGTTTCGGTCGCTTTCGGGTGTTCGTCGCCGGTGCCTCGGGTAGTTTGCACAAATGTACATCGTGTGCCAAATAAAACGACCCACTATACGATCTGGAAACCCATAGGAGATACGAAAAAAAGGTTCGTACAAAAGTTTCTTGGACTCTCCTGAGGATTTAAAATATTATAATTTCGTTGATACAAGATGTCCAAAAGTGTCCCTTCCGACAAAAACTTTGTTATTTTAAATGGAACACCCTGTATATATCGACATTTTTGGAATCATTGGTTGAAATAAAAATCACTTTCATAAGAAATTCTTGTTCTAATTTTGCATTGTTTAGGCAGAAATTGAGGTTATGTGTTTTTTTTTCATACCCTATATAAAATTGTATCCAGGAATTGCAACGAAAATTTAACCACAGACTAAGGAGATGATGCGCCACTCAATAAGTTTGACAGATACGCCTCAGTTTAAACAGGGTGTCCCCCAGATTTTCAAACGCAGCACCCTATATTTTTAGTCGGATATCAATTCTAGGACAAAAAACAAGGTAAGTTTGTAATTCATCTTATATTTAAATTTTACTTACTTTTTTAAATATTCGAGGTTTAAGATAACCCCCGTATAAATTTAAAGCTGCCCACATTAGGTCACTTGTTGGTAATATTTGGTATTTTTTAATAAGCAAATACATAATAATCCAGATATAAGAATAAAACCTATTGCTAAAAATAGAACAATCAACTCTATACTGCACACTTTAACAGATTTAGTAAAACTTCAGAATTCATATGTAAAGAAATATTTAATAGTTAATTACCTAACTCAATTGAAAATACCTAATAACAAAAATAAATAATTAAAGTTTACAGGTTAACCAAAAAACTACTAATTTAAAATTCATATATTGGTATATTCACATATACTAACAAAAAACTTGACAACTCTGAACTTTTTAAAGAGAAATATAAAAAACAACAAAAACAAACAGAATGTCAAAGTTAGTTTATACCTTAATGCGTCGAAAAAAAGATTTTGATGTCATAGGCAACCACGTTTTTAAATATTGAGATATTTATTTATTGTTTTGATGCCAGATGAAACGAGCATTTTATGGACTGAATTAACAAACCCTTTTTAGTTAACTTTTTTTTATACATTTATTTATTCAAATTTGTTACCTTGGTTAGTTTGCCTATAAACGTTAATTACTTTATTTTGTTATTCGGTATTTTCAATCAACCAAAAACCATTAAATATTTCTTTAAACATGAATTCTGAAGTTTTATTAAATCTGTATTATTGGTAATAGGTATTATTCGTATATCTCGAGTATTATATCTGTAAAAGTAGGATCATGTCTTTGCTATTTAAAAAAAAACCTAATATTCAACAAGAATTATCTTTATCTTAAACCTCGAATATCTCAAAACGTAAGAAAAATTTAAATCTTAAACTTTATTTTTTCTCCTGGAATTGATATCTGAAAGAAAATATGGGGCGTTCCGTTTGAAAATCTTGAGATTTTGTTAATTGAATTGGCCAACACGGCACCACTTATTTGGGACAGCCTGTATAAGCTGAGGCGCATCTGTCAAACTGATTGGGTAGTGCATCATCTCCTTAGACTGTGGTCATACGTGAACCAGTCGCGTCACAACACAATCAAAATATGAAAAAAAAAACACCGATTACCTCGATTTCTGCTTAAACTATGCAAATTTCGAATAGGAATTTCTTAAGAAAGTGTTTCATTTAAATTAACAAAGTTGATGTAGGGGATACCTTTGGGACACCCTGTATGAACAGAATTATAATATTTTAAATCTTCAGGAGAGTCCAAGAAACTTTTGTACGAAACGTTTTTTGATATCTCCTATTGATTTCCAGATCCTATAGTGGTTCAAATTATTTGACACACGGTGTACATTTGTGGTTTTTGGTTGGTTGGTTATTGTCATTTAATGTCAACATTAAATCGTTTTAGTTCTTATTTAATAATTATTGGAAAGTAGCGTAGGGTAGGTAGGGTAAAAATAATACTATTACAATCAAGTTTGGCTTATATGTATTATCTTGAAATACATATATTAATTAAATATTGTTACATATAAATACATAAAACTAGCGAATAAAACGATTTACTTGTAAAACTTTGTGTTTTACGGCATTCTACCATTTTAAATATACAAAAATCAACAAATACTTATAAACTAGAAATCCCTATTTTTGGATATATTAAAGAACATACTAAAAACCAAAAAAAAATAGGCATAAAAACAAAACAAATAATATATTAGGCATACATAACAACTATTTATAGGTGGTAAGTAAATAATAATATATATTTATATGTACCCTCGTATGTACATAATATAAAAAATACATATTACTACATATACTTAAATCTTTATTTTACAATTGTACCATATTACCTTTTTTTTGCGGGTATCACACTTAGCTTTATAATTTATTATTTGGGGTTCGAAGATGGGTTCTGGCCTGTGTTCTGGTATGGGTTCTGGAGATGGATTTTTCTCTAGAATTTCACTTGTGGCATTCGATATTGTTGCTAAAAGCTCAAACAATACCTGCTGAGCTTCTGTTTTGGCATTTTTGGAATGAAGTTTTTTTGATCTAGATAATCCTGCTTGTGTTGGTGGCTTCTGGTTAAATAATAATAATAGAGTGGAAACAGCAGTTTTTTTAGAATCTTTTTTAAAGGTAAACCTAAAATTTAAATTTTGTGGTGAATTTAATGTATTACTGAAGACAAAAAAAAGACCTAATAACTCATTTTGTAAGTCTCTTTTTTTTTCAGTAAAATGAACTGAGCAGATATAGCTTCCATCTGGATTAAGTTTGTCCTCTCTTCTACATAAAACTATCCACTCGTTACGAATAGTTCGGGATACTAGATCTTTCCCTTGGGAAAGCGATGAAAACTGCAGTTTCGAGAACTTGCTTTTTCATCAAAATAGGTGTTATTGCACCCATACATCGCACATCTCGTTCCAGGCATACCTAACTATTTTTTTATGTAACTTATCCCACTGAAAAAGGTAAAAGAAATGTATTTCTTACCTTTACCTATATTATTATGTGTAATATTTTGAGCTTACCTCCTAACTAATCACACCACTAATAAGCAGCACGAACACAAAACTTTTAAGTCTTTGTTTAAGGGTAAAAATACTGTTTTTCTCAGTTCTCGCCACTCAAGTACTGAAGCATTTGTTGAAGCTCAAAAACACTGTTTTGTCCAAGTTTTTTTTTTACAGAAATACAATTAACACAAACATAAACGCACTACTCACTAGTTTAAATTATTACACAAAAAGATTCTTAGTTTTTTTTTGCCGCGTCAGGTTTTAATCAAATAAAACTGTTGTTTTGCTTATTTGATAGTCAGTTGAATACGCTTTTACGGTAAACTACTAATTTTTGTAATTTAAAAAAATAAAGTTTTTCTTTTAAAACGACTTTCGGTTTTCCGTTAGAAAAAACACCTCACGAGGATAAGTAAAACACAAAATTAATTGAATTGTTAATGTTTTTAATCGTTTACCTGGATGGACGATCGGCGTTCTTCTTCTTAACGGTCAACGGCAGACGGCACAAATTCGTTATGTTAAGGAATTCTTTTCTCACGAGGCTCATGTCAATTTTTGCCATGAACCTTATGTCTAAGACGGCGGGCCTGTCCAAAGTGGCCGTCAAGGGTCTACCGATTTCTTCTTCAGATTTTTTATCACGTCTTATCGGCCACGTTTTCGTAAATAGTTTCAAGCTTCTATTTTTCGTCATCTTTAAGACTTTGCGGATACCCCTGAAACAGACAATGACTGATAGTTCAATAGTTGTTACGGGATAATTGAAAATATTCCATGAATTGGACGTAGGTCTTATTTTATATTTTCAGGTTAATCAACTTTTTAAATGCAAAACTTGGTGTTTTCAAATTAGGCCATTGTTAAAAAAATTATTAGGATGCACAATTTCAAATTATTTTGAAGTATACAGGGTAGCTTAAAAAAGCGTGACGAATAAAACAAAAGATGTTTTAAATGGAACACCCTATTTTTAAAATTTCTTTTGAATTCCTTTTAAAACTCTACAACTTTCTTATACATACTTAAACCTAATAGTTTTTGTAATATTTTAATTTTTCTTAAAAAATACAAGTTCCCACAAAAAAAATTACCATATCGCCATTATTTTAAAATTTAGATAACTCATATTTGAAAGCGTTATTCGATGACGTAAAAGATATGTGCAATGGAATTTGAATTAGATGCTGCGGGGTGTTCAAAATAAACGAATATATTGAAAACTCTCCAATTCCTTAAATAGACGTGACAAAATGACATTGTCAAATTTTCTAAAAAAAAAAACAATTTATGGATCTTCCTAAAACCGCATTAATTGATATGATTTATATACTGGGAATATTTGGGTAAAGGACCAAATAGTGCAAATGATGGAAAAAAGAAGGAAGTACGAAAACAAAAACAAAAACTCACAGAGGTACAGAGACGGTTAACAAAAAGGAAAGTTGGAAGGGTCAAAGAACAATCGATGATTGAACTGAGGTGGCTTTTACTTGATGAAAATCCATTTATCAAAATAAATAAGAAATAAAAGTTCAGATTTTCAGGAAATTATATATTTTGACATGACAATTGTTTCGACAACGCCGTGTCTTTATCAAATGTAACATTTACAAACTTCCTACCACTATATATACCGAAAAATGACCATAAAACCTTAATTCATGTTGTTGTGAGAGTTTAAGTTCAATAAAGGAGAGGTATTTAAATCTAATTGATCGTTAAGCAATACATTTGAATGTTAATCTCCATGGCTTCCAATAAATTTAATTTTCTACTTTTTGTGGCTGCATGTAAAATATAAAAATTGTCATCAAAAATGTGTTTTTCTGGATTTAAGTGTGTGGCATAATTAGAATCTAGACTATTGTTTTTAAACGCTCTTTTATGTTCGTTAATGCATTTCTTGAAGGATCTACCTGTTTATCCAATATAAATTTTAGGACAAGATCCGCATTTCAACCTGTAGACACCCGATTTTTGAGATTTTGGACATTTCGTTTTATTGTTTTTTAAAAAATTTTCCTATTGTGTTGTTAGTTCTGAAAGCTATTTTTAAACCACATTTTGACAAATGTTTTGAAACTTTTTCACTAGCTTCTCCTATAACTGTTTTAAACTGTTCGTGTTCTGTATTAGGTTTCGGATAAATAGAGCTTACTGTTGTCTGGATTTGTTTTTTATTTATAATTTTATCTATAATAGACGGATTGTAGCCGTTGTTCACTGCAATTTGTTTAATGATTTAAGTTCTTTGTTGTAATTTTCTGGTGAGAGTGGCGTATTAAGAACTCTGTGCATAAAGAAGTGTGTGTGTGTGCATAAGGGTGATTTGGGCTGTTATGTATGACTGTGTCCGTGTGTGAAGGTTTATGATAAATGGAAAAATCTAATTTGCATTAACGAACATCAAAGAGCGATTAAAAACAATAGTCTAGATTCTAATTATGCTACACACTTAAACCCAGAAAAACACATTTTTGACGATAATTTTGATATTTTACATACAGCCACAAAAAGTAGAAAATTACATTTATTGGAAACCATGGAGATTAACAAAATGAGACATTCAAATGTATTGCTTAACGATCAATTAGATTTAAATATGTCTCCTTCATTGAACTTAAATTCTCACAACAACATTAATTAAGGGTTTATGGTAATTTTTCGGTATATATAGTAGCAGGTAGTTTGTAAATCTTACATTTGATAAAGACACGGTGTTGTCGAAACCATTGTCATGTCAAAATATATAATTCCGTGAAAATCTGAACTTTTAGTTCTTATTCATTTTCAACAATCGATGATTGAGAAATGCTAAGAAATTGAGCTACTGGAAAGAAGGAACGATCATTTCGAAGACCTTAAGAGACCCTGGAAAGACTTCATAGACCAGAGACCTGGAGAGCTCTCCTAAAGTATTAATACGAGAAGTCCTGAGAGCAATTAAAAACAGCAAAAGTGTAAAATTCCCTGGACCAGATCAAATTCATATAAAGTTATTAAAACTTTTAGAAGAAGATTGGTTCGGCTTTTTAACGAAATCTATTCCACCGGCGTGATTCCTCAGGAATGGCTGAGATCGGAATTTATTCCGATTCCGAAAAGAGCAAGAGCAAAAAGATGCGATGAATATGAGTTTATAAGCTTGATGAGTTATCTCCTCGACTGTTCCTTTAAATCATTCATTCAGGAATATTCAGAAAATGCGAACAAGATGATATCAGCCAGTTTGGATTTCGTGCACTGTTTGGGCTGAATGAGTTATTCCAGAAGCGTAGAAACCAACAAAATTTGCTTTACAGATTATGAGAAGGCATTCGACTGGGTAGATCATATGAAGGGGATAGATAAAAACGATATTGCAATCATCAAAAGTTTGTATTAGGATCAAACAGCTGCAGTGAAATGTAACAACATAACAAACGAACCAGGGGTGTATTTTATCCCCAATGCTATTTAATATATACTCCGGACGCATTTTTGAAGAAGCAATAAAAGACATTAAGGCATTAAGACATAAGGGGATTAAGATGAGCGGTGCAAATCTTAAATAGATAGATAGATAGATAGATAGATAGATAGATTATTTATTCACAAAACCAGGTGATACAATGGATGTTTCGTCAATAAATACAAATAATAAATTACAAGTTTCATTGTAAAAACAATGTATATCATAATCTTAAGTAATGTATAGAACGAATACGAGTATATATTTATATAACAAACATGACATCAAGTTAATGTAATTTAAAATAAAAGAGAGTATACATTAGAAAAATCTCGGTAAACTTTTGACGTTATTTACGATGCTCTCAGGTACGCTTCAAATTCTTTCAGGCTGTAGAAAGCATTGGCCGTCAGGAGCCTCTTGATGTGTTTTTTAAATTGATTTATAGATAAATTTTTTAAGCTTGGAGACAGCAAATTATAATAATATGGTCCCGCGTAACTTAGTGATTTTTTATAAAACATATGGTTGAGTTTTGGCTTCAGCAGATGTTCTCTATTGCGAGTATTGTAACTGTGGATATCAGTATGCTTCCTATGTGAATATTTATTTTTATGTGTGATCAAAAGTATTTTAAATAGGTATATACAAGGCATTGTTAATATTTTGAGCTGTTGAAATGTCTCTTTGCATGATTGCCTCGGAGGAAGTTTAAAAATCAGCCTAAGTATTCTTTTTTGCTGTATAAACACTCTCTCAGCATCATTCGCTTGTCCCCAGTTGACAATATTGTGTGAAATGGAAGAGTAAGCTGACGCGTAGTAAAAAGCTATTAGTGCCTTCTCAAGAAATGAATCTTTAATTGTTAATATTGCGAAAAAGGTTTTATTTAGTTTATTGCAGACATTGTCAATGTCCCGGTCCCATCTCAAGGAGCTATCAATATAAGAACCAAGAAACTTCGTGGTCTGATTTATTTCCAATGGCGAACCAGCAAAACTGATCGATAAGCCAGCTAAAGGTTTAATGTACTGACCAGTAAACTCAACCACGACTGTCTTTTCTACATTCACGATCAAATGATTTTGCCTACAGAAGTTATTAAACTGTGAGACAACAAGAGATACATCATCCATCAGCATTTCTGCATCTCTTCCAGAGACAAAGACGGACGTATCGTCCGCGTTCATAAAGACACGACAGTCACTTTTGAGAAATTCCGGCAAATCGTTCACATATAAAAGAAATAATAATGGACCCAAAGTTCCCCCCTGAGGCGTGCCCAGGCTGACGCTATAAAGGTCTGAATACGTTCCATTTATTTTGACACTTATTTTCCTATGATTCATATACGATATGATCCAATCATTGATAGGCCCCCTGATTCCCAAGCATTCCAGCTTCTTTGCCATTATACTGAGGGTTAAGGAGTCAAAGGCGCGCGATAAATCGAAAAAAACTCCGATTACTGTCTCTCCGATATCTAGTTTATCATAAATATGCTGAACAAGTTCATACACTGATGATACCGCGGTAATATCGGATAGGCCAGTCGGAGGTCGTAAAATAAACACCAACAACAACAAAAATACTAATAACATTAAAATCGTCAGAGCCACTCAGAATATATAGGAAACGAATAGAAGTGGCAGAAAAATTCAAATATCTGTGGACCTGTTTCAGCGACAACCTGATGCGGCCATTTCTGTGTAATTCCACCCTAAGCCTGAGGCCTGGACACCGATTTATGAAGTGTTACGTACAGTCAGTTTTGTTTTATGGCAGTGAAGCATGGTCTTTAAAGGTTAACACCATTAATAAAATATAATCGTTTGAGATGTGGATACCAAGAGGTGTTGCGGCGAGCCCAGTGCGAAAGATAGTTGGTGCACATAGTTAGAAAACGAAAGACAGCCTATTTCGGTCACATAATGCGTGGAAGTAGATAAGAGATCCTCAAATTGATAATGGCATTCATGGCTAAAGAACATAGGAGATTGGACAGGTATGGATACTCACTCACTATTTAGAACTGCCCAGGATCGTCAAAGGTTCGCCGAGATTGTTGCCAACCTTCAAAATACTTTGTTCGCAGAAAGGCTTTACAAAGCCAACCAAAACCAACTAGATAAGCTGTTCAATGTAACGGTTTGACGCTAGTGACAGAAAGTGGTAAACCGGAATGCTACCAATGAGGAAAGAGAATTGGAAATTTTACATCCAGTCAGTGATGTGATGTGTGATACATCCGCATCACTTGAAAACACAAATATCACCCCTTTCATATGGAACTACACCAAGAAGCGTGATTTTGAGAAAAGGCGATCTTCTGCATCGTTATAAATGAGGTTATAGAGGCCGATCTTTTCCGATCAAGCTACTTTTCGCTGTAATGGTTAATCCATCCTGGGCACGGGAATTGCAAAACTAAAATAAAAACTTTAATGATATTGGACCATATTTCTTTGGCGAACCACTTAACGGGTTAGATATTTAAACTTTTTGCAGAATAATTTACCTCAACTTCTTCAAGAAGTTCATAACACTCCTCCGCATTACCATCTAGAAATTCGAGAATAAATAATCATTACCCACGGAAATGGATCGGTAGAGGTGGATTCATTGGACGGCCCTCTCGATCATGTGACTTCACACCACTAACACCACCAAAATGGGATTCTCAAAAATAATGGTGCTATCGAAATGTTTTAGCAAAAGTGAAAACTAAAATTAAAATATTAGAAAAAGTATTTATTTATAAACATATTGTCCCATTTAAAAAATGCATGTTTTATTTATCACTGAGCCACCCTGTATATTTCGAAATAATTTTGAATTGTGGAGCCCAACAATCTTTACAACTTTTGTAATTACAATTTTCTCATAACTTTTGGAATAAATGAGATAATGGACTTAACTCTGTCGTTGACTTACCCTGTACAATGTTTATTCCTCCATTCTGGGAGGAATGGATTACTCTTAAACATTAGGATTTACAAAAAATAAAAGCCGTTCAGCTTAAATTAAGTAATTTCTAATAGACTTTTACAATGAGTAAGAAAACGTTATGTCTAGAAATACTACTAGAACAGGATCACAAAAACATTATTTTTAATAATACGCAGGGTGTTTTAAAACAAATGCGAAAAACTTAAGGGGATTTTTATTTTTTATCTTAAAAACGAAAATAGATAGAACAATAAAATAGTAGCGCTTTTTTTAAATTTTTAACTGTATTTAAGAAAAAAAACTGCAACGATGTAAAAAATATATTTCTTGTACTCCCGTCTGTAAAGTGAATAATTACACACCGATCTAGCGTGCGCGAAGCGTCACTTTACCACGTCAGTTTCGTTTCCCACGATTCCGAGCCACTTCGGACATTTCTGGGATTTTACCGCACGGGTTTGGGAGCAATCGGATGTTTTCGGAGATATTTCCCACGCCTTGAATTTTGACGCTTGCCAGTTATGACGGTCATATCAGCCAGTGCATGTATTCGTGTTATTTTGCGAAAATGTACCCAAAAACTAACGGTTATTTTGTATTTTTTATTTTATTTTTATTATTTTACATTTGGCCTCCTGTAATTTTTTTGTAATACTCACCGAGCTAAACGAGACAATGAATGGTAGTAAAAAATGGTTCTCGAACTAAAGTAAACCAAAATGTGTTCAAAACAATTTTAGGCCAAAATATTAAACAGCTATTTATTGTCAGGTAGTATGTAATATATAACTTAAACATTAATTGTTTCAGGACCAGGAAATAGTGTGCGACGTATAGTTCAATTTATTTTCCAAAAAACCGCAAATACGAACAATTTTAGATATATGATTAGATTTGTGTGTAAAGGTTCGAAACTTTTTAAGTTCAAAATATGAGAACAAAGAACGAGTTAAATTAAAAAAATATAGCTTTCCAAAAAAACATCTTTTTAAAGATCTGTGAAAACGACAAATCAATTAAAAAATAATTTTTAAGAGAGGCCTGACATTTGTTTTTGTTTTTGAAAATATTTAGTTTTCGATTTCTACAAACAATTCAAATGGGTTCGGTAAATATATTTTTTGTATTTTAAGTTTTATTCAGAAAGTGTTGTCTCCTGCATTTTTTCCTAATACCGAGACAAACGAGACAAAAAAAAATTAGACAAAAAAAATCTACAGGGCTGCTGTCACTTCTTTAAAATTCCTTGGAAACTTGCCTAACTAACGGTTTGTTTTTGACCCAAAGTTTATATAACAAACCACCCTTTATTTTAAACAAAGAAGTTTTCTGCATTTGTTTTAAAACGCTCTGCTTTTAAACCATTAAAAGATATTTTTAATAGTTTGAATATTGATTAATTGGAGTTGAGAATGAAAAGCTTCATTCAAAATTTGCAAAAATAAATGCGTCTGTATAGTTTACCGTCCTAAGTAAAGAATAAGCCGCCGTTCACTATAATTACTACTATATTGTTTTAAATGTTTAGTTTAGCAGATAATATGAATTTTTGATTTTTTTTTAAATGAATGTTTTCGAGATTGATAGAGGTGTAAAATAAAAATAAACACAATTTTTATCTACCGGTTTACACATAAATAAGTGTAGTTGTACAGGGTGGTCATAACTAGATGCCACTTTTTTCAGTCAAATGTTGATAAAATTAAAACAGTCTAATCTAATTATTGTGTGAAATTATTCTCTTATTTTACTACTACGATTTATTATTAAGATAACATTGTATTTATCGTGTTTGTGAACACTTCCCAAAATATATACAGCATACAGCAATCTAAAATGATAATATTACATGTGAATAATATTAAATAGTAAAACTGTTCCAGAAGCTCCCAATCCGAGATGTATTTAATTGACCTAGCGCGGTCTACTTATACATTTTTTTTCCTAGTAAATGAAGAGAAAAATGGAAAAAGTGTTTGTTGTAGGACGTTGAAAATATTTTTTAAATTTGACACTTCAAAAAAATGAAATATAAAAAAATCAAGGGAAAAGGTAATTAAACTAAAACAGGAATGTAAAAGTTATTTTGCTCGACGACGAATTGTTCAGTTTACAACACACACATTTTTGGAATAACTTTTTGTTACACCTTGTATAATAGGTGACATCAATGTTGGATGGCAGGCGAGAAGTTTCGTGTTCAACGTTTTTTTTTAACCTGTAGTTATCGCAGGTGGGTGGTGAAATATAAATTGATAACTTATACGCAAGAAATTATTAAAAAAATGTTGAGTTTTGGCATATATTGGGTGTCAAAGAAATGGAAAATAGTTGACATAAAATATTTTTAAAATTTGTTTTAATGGAAATTTTTGAAAACATAATCATCGATAAGTTCCATAATTAATAATAGTTCTCGTTAACTCACCAGTTGCGTACGTATCTTCAGTTTCTTGCCGTCTGAATATGAGAACGTCGACGAGTTATATTTCGCACCACACGACAGTAACACTACGGACCGGCCAATTTCAGACTAAAACTCCGACCGATTTCCAGACTTGTTTCCCTATATATGGAAAGTTTCTAATCCTACGCTTCCGTTGCCATTGAACGCGAGTTGAAAATCGATTGAATCACGCTCTCGATTTATATATGCGTACCGAAAGAAAAGCTTTGAAATTTTTGTGCCGTCGTATTGTAACAGAACAAATAAAACGTATGTTGGGGACAAGCTTTAAATGGAGGCAAGGTTAAAAGATGAAATTTTGCAAATTAAAAAACGCAGCGTGTTAATGTTTGCTAAAATTGAAAATCTTGTGTTTCTAGATATTTTAGAACACTTTTTTAATTTCTAAATAAATTAAAACACTTAGAATTTTGTGTAGCCTCGTATTACGGCATGATGCATGGTGTTATAGATACCTATTTCAATATATTGTTTGGTCTGACGTTCGCAATAATCAATACATTACTTATACTACTTTTACACTGACAATAAATCCAAGAAATCATTAACAAAACATACCGGCTATACACTGGAAATGATACACATTTTTTGACATCTTAATATGTCACTTAATTGTTGTTTTTCTGACTCAACCTCACTTACTGGCCCATGTGCATGTCTCTACATTTCACCTGCTGCACCATTTTCTTTATAAACTGCGATCTCAACACACTTTTAAAATAAATGGGGATCTGTCAGCGGCCATGTTGGTTGTTGAATGTCGCCAGGTCATTGGTTAAAAACGAGATTTTAAATCTCACGCATGCGCATGTTGAATCGACCTTCTCAAAAAAAATCATAGTTGCATAAGTTCCTGTATTATCAGCATAGACAGTGCCATCTATATCTAGTAACTATATAACTATGGAACAATATTTATTCATATTAGTTGAAATATTTAAGCCTCGATTTGTATTAGAACTATACAATAATTACAAAAAGAAATTGATAATTGTGCAGTTTACCTATTTAGTAGATAGCAAAACCATAGATCTTTATCGCATTGATAGATATTCATTAATTATTTTCATTTATTAGATCGTATTCCTTCTTTCCATTGGTTCTGCTTTCAATTCTTTCAGTTTAAGTTTATTTTGGGTTTTCAGAATGAAAATTTTTTTTCTATTATTTTAAAAATTGACAAATTTAATTTTTTTGGTTGAGCATTTACCATTTTTATTTTTCATTCATTTGCAATTTTAATCGGTAAATTGCAATATTTTTTCTATTAACTTTAAGAATTTGATTTTGTTTTATCTGTCACAGTAAAATCGCGTGAACCTGTTTTCATGATAATTTTGATGTGCCAACAATTGATGCACCTAAAATAAACACATTGCTTTGGTATATAATATTTCTATTGTTCTTACGTTGTTACAATAATTATATAAAACATTACCACTAAAAAACTCCTTTGAATTTTTGCTGAGTCAAAAGTATCTCACAAACAACATTTTTGAAAATTTGATTTCATTTATAAAATCATTAAGTTCGGTCCATGCGTTAAGTTCAAAAGTAAAATAGAAAAACTAACAAGATGTAAATTTTATTACTGCATCTTTTCAAATTATTTCGAAATTTTTTGGATTGAAGATATTGAAGTTTTTAATGAAACATGAAATGGAAATTTTTATATAATCACCGCTACTATGTATCATTTCCTTGTTAAATCGAATAAAAGTAGTAGTTTTATCAACATTGTGCAGTTGGAGGTCAATGAAAATTTTCCCATCTACTGAATACGTAAATACGTAAAATTAGTAAAAAATTATTAAGAGCATGATTGCTCGGTCAGGCCATGGCCACAATATAGAAATCAAGAGGAGTTTAAACAGTTTTTATGAATGTCAAATAGAAGTTTTGAGCCGTGTGAAATCCCTGAGAGACAAAATGAACACAAATTTTCGACATGCGAAGCGCAGAAGAAAAACTTCCGGTACCTTGAAGATTTTTAGTCGCAGATGAGTTTTATCAACAAAACTTCAGAGTCCACTATTTCCTTAATGCTCCCAAAAGTTTGTAGAGAGAGAGAAATGACAGAGAAAACAATATATACGATTTATTTTAGATTTTCCAAACGTCTATAGATGTATAAATAGTAAACAGAATTAACACAACTTTGTATATTAGTTTTTCTTTTTCGAATTTGGATTTCCGGAATTTCTTTTCTTTCCTTTGGATTTAAATTTGCTCTTAAAGGCTTTCGGTTGTTCGATTCCCCTGGCGCCCCCTTGGAATTGCCTGAAATCGACCATAGAATAATCGTAAGGACTAAACTGCTGTTGGTTCGCGCTATCTTGACGTTTGACGTTTCTTCTTGCACCCTTTTTACGGTTTTGCCAATACTGTTTTCTTTTCTGTGCCTTTCTAGAATTTTTACCGCTTGTAACTTGATCTGTGGCGGATGAATTATCATCTCCAACTGATTTTTCTTCATTCTGTGTCTCATTCTCCGCCTGCTTTTGTGTCTTTCTTATTCTTTTCTTTTTATTCCCCTTTGAATTATCTCCTGCATCACCTTGTGACTTTCGTTTACGACCCTTCGACTCGAATGGTTTCTGTGTGTTTGCGTCAGATCCCGCATTTTCCTGAAGCCTTTTTTTCAAAGCACTTGAATCTTCTTGGGTTCGTTTCCTTTTTTTTTTATTTTCACTTGCTGGAACTTTTTCAAGAGTCTTATTTGAAAGTTCTAAAAAGTGATTTCTTATACTTTCAATTCTCTCATTATCTGTTCTATTGTCGTTTTCGCTTAATTTCTGCCGCTCGTGAGCAGATGCTGTCACATTTTTAGCATTTTCCTCAATAACTTTCTGTTCCTTCGCCTGTATAAAAGGCTTAATCATTTTGTACCTCTTGTAAGGACTTAAAAAGTTTAGCACTCCTTTGAATCTATTCCTGGCAGTGCTATTTGAATCTTCTGAAGTATTAAACAGAGAGTAAATGGATAATTCTTGCTCGATTTGGGGCCCAATTATACTAACTAGATCGAGTTTGTCTCCTCCTAGAAGAGTAGGCAAATTATCGCAAACTTCTCCTTTATTTGTCAAGTCGTGAGGACAATGTAGTGGATTATTTATATTAAATTTGGACAAGTTTGTTGTCATCCCTCTAGAGCGAGTATCTTCCTTTAAAATGGGTAACTCGACGGGTTGCTCCAGAGCTTTCAACATGATTTTATGCAACCGCAGTAGATTGGCTTTTACCAGTGGCGGAGTAGGGTTACAACAGGCAAGAATCCCTTGCATTTCTCTAGGCAATCGTTCAGAGATTTCCAGTAACATATTGTTTGGTAAAACATAACCGACACTTTCGTCTTCTTCACGTGACACTTCATCTCGCCACCTGTACAACTCTTGCAGAGCAAACAACTGTCTGTTGTGGAACATCCTGCTGCAAAGCCGATAAAGGTTTAAATAACTCTCCTCATTAAAAATGGGCTTGAGGTACCGGGTTTTGCACAGATCGGTACTCATCTGTATCACAGATTTCAATAGGTTATCTTGGCCATTGGCCCTATCTAACAGCTCATTTTTCAGTTTTTGGTAGATGTAAATTAGATAATGAGTATCTTCTCTGGCATATGATTTCAACTCATCAGGTAAAGGACGTAACCTCCAATCGGCCAATTGAAATTGCTTGTTGGGTGCAAAGTTGCAAAATTTCTGCATTAAATAAGCTAAAGACAAGCCAGGATACTCGAGCTGTTTGGCAGCGAAATAAGTATCAAACATGTTAACGACATAAAGGGACAAATCTCTTTGCAACCATTGAATATCATGTTGAGCTCCATGAAATATTTTTGTAATTTTTGGATTGGTGAAAACTTCATTTAAAACAAATAACTTATCTCTCAGTACCAAGGTGTCTATTAAATAATCTTTTTCCAAAGTAGATATTTGAAGAAGACATGTTATACCCATAAAAGTCCTGTATGAGTGGTGTTCTAGATCAACACCGATTTCCTTGGAATTCTGAAGATCTTCAATTAAATCTTTTAACTGTTCCTCCTGTGTAATTTCGACTAATGGTGTATCTCTTAATAATTTAGGTTTAATCACATGACTTTTTCCTAATTGATCATCTGAGGGTGAAAACTTGTCTAGTTCACATTCATAAGGATGTGAATACTCCTGTCCATTTGCAGTTTCTTCTAAAAATATCGCTAGTGGTTTAATTGAATTTGGTTTTTCCTTAATTCTTGGTTCCCAGGGCTTTTCTCTGCTATTATCAATTTTATCTTTGAAAAATTTTTGTGGTTTCACTATACTCTCTGCCGTAACCAATCGGATAGTCTGAGTAGGGCCTGGCAGTATCGTGTGAGGTGAGGAAAGAGTAGAACTTGATGAAACCACAGGCCTAGTGAATTGATTCCATGATCCATTAATTGGCACCTGCACGCTGACAGTTTGAAATACTGTGGGCTCTACATTATTCTTCTTTATTCCATTTTGTTCATCAATGTTTTCTGTGACTCTCTCAAGAATAACATCGCATGCCTCAATTAACAATTCAGATTTCTTGTCTATTATATTATTTCGCATGCTCCCTTTGATATCGTTTTTCCTTAATACTAAATTCATAGAACTTAAGAGGTTATCGCTGACTGTTTGTAAAATGGCTTTATTGGAGTCTACCATATAAATATTAAACTTTTTACCACTTGGTAATGCATTTGACAGTTTTAAAGTTTTTTGAACAATTTGATATCCCTCCCTTAGAAAGTCATCTACGGACTTATTTTCAACGATTTCCTCTTGGTTTTCACTGGCTAACGAATTATCGTTGGCCAACATTTTATAGTTTTGTTTTCCACTTAACCTTTAACAAAAAATGTGATAAAATCACTGAATAGAAAACTAGTGTGACACGGATCATCGATCATAGACTAAGGGTTAATGTTTTCCAATAGTATAACCTTCCAAATTTGACCGAATGATATTGGTAAATTTGGCCAGAGGAAGAACAACTTTAAAATTGGGTGTACACACTATTGGGGTACACGATTTTCCCATAGTCACAAAATAAGAAGTAGATAACCTTCAAAATACTATTTCATAAAGTATTGGAAAATGTGTAATAGTAACAGTGCTACAAGTTAATATCTTTCCTACAATCATTGAAGACAGTAAGTGTACAGGCATCTGCTGTCCAATATGCCTCAGGAATCAAGAGGGATTCGGAAGAGGAAAAAAGTAGATAAGGAAACTTTGCAGAAAACTGAAGAAATTGAAGTGACGCCTCGGATTCTAAGAAAGAAAATTGTAAAACAGATGAAAGAAAGGAACATAAAACTATTGGTTAGTCAGCAGAAAAGGAAACTAGATATTGATACGGAAGAAAACAATTACTACTCAGAAGATGATGTGCCCCTGTCAATGAGGTTACAGTACCAAGAGAGAAAAAAAAGATGTTTGCTTCCAAGAATGTCGCCGAGTTCTTTAGAAAAATTGAAATCCACTTTAGACTTCAAGGAATCAAATCCAAATATCTTGAAATTAAAGGAATGTGTTTCACACATGCATGGTAATAACTATAGGGAGTCACACTTGCTGTCCTTATATTTTTTAAGAAAGGCCATAGTTAACAGCTTGTTTGAAAGAAGATGGGATAACCTAAAACAGCTGTTAATAATGCTGATTGAAAATTATCCCAAACCTGTATTTAACCCTTTCATCAGACAGGTAAAGTTGAAAATCAGATATTTTAGAATAAAACTGTTTTTATTTATTTATTGTAATTAGTGTGTTCATTAAAAAACTTTGTTTTTTATTTTTCTCTATAATTAATTTGTTCTTCAGACAGGTAGTGTTGAGAAGCAGATATTTTTTAATAAAAATTTGTCTATTCCATTATTTTCTATAATTGTATAACATTTTTTTTATTCTATTGATTTCTATAATTGATTTCTTGATCAATTCTATGATTTTCTATATTTATGTTATATAATAAATTATAATATAGTATAATATAATAATTTTCTGTAATTGATTTGTTCATCAGAAAGTTTTTTTCTATCCTTTTATTGTTTTCTATAATTCATTTTTTCATTAGAAATGTATTGTTGAGAACCAATTACTTTTTAATGAAACTTTTCTTTGTTTTTTTTTTATTTTCTACAGATTGGCTCATTGGAAACTTTTTTCCTTTATTCTATGATTTTCTAGAATTTCTAGATCAGACAGGTTTAGTTGAGTAGCAGATACTTTTAAATAAAACTTTTTTTTCTATAATAGACAAGTATTATTGAAAAGCAGACATTTTCTATTAAAACTTTTTTCCTATTCTATTATGTTGTATAATTGATTTGTTTTAGATGTGCCAGATTATAAAAACTCTTGATCCCACAGTGGCCGGAAGTGACTTTGAAGAACAGTTAAATATAGTCGAAGAACTTTACAATAAAAAAACTAGCAACATTGTAACTTAGTTTAGTCAGCATATTCACGCAAGGAATGTAAGTTTTGATTATATTTATTTGTTTCAGACAATTATATTAAGTTTACTTATTAATAATTTATTTACCAATAAAAGGAAAAATATACAATAAAGATAGATTACAACAAAAAGCGCCATCTCACGGGCATTGCTTATGACAACTCACTACCGCACTAACCTTAAATTATTTATAGACCTAAATGAAATATTGCTGAAGGTAATGCAGGTTTTGTCAATTAGATTTATTTTTCTTCTTGGCTGCTAGTCCACACACATAGATGTAGAAGTAAGGAAAATTTTCTATTGCTAAATAGACTAGTCCGAGGTACAGAGCTATCACTATGCTCAGGACGAGATCAAATATTGCTGGTTTAACACTGGAAGCAGTAGCAATGCAATCTATTTGAAGTTAAATTAAAAAAACTAACCTGTATATATTCATGACTCCCTGAGTTGATCCGTAAAATTGGTAGTCCGGATCTCTTTTATCTGGAATCGAGTATGTCACTTTTACGTCGCTTAAATGCGCGTTGAAGCTTTGCTGCAATGAAGTCAGCAACGCGTTGGATTTCGAGGATAATAGTTGAGTCGATCGAGGTCGACTAGATAAATATTCGAGCCATGCTTCCATAAAGTCTTTACTCACATCCTAAAATTACAAAGACAGTTTTTCTAAAAAGATTAAATAAATAAAAAATTAAGGTCATAGTTTTTTAATTAATTTAAAGCTATCCTAGTATCCATTACTCACATTTAAATTGGTCAAAATACACAGTAGTATGTGCGACCAATATACTTTATCTCTTTGTATAAAAAAACTTATAATTTGGTAGCTTATTGTACCTAGATTTCTCCAATCAGAAATTCAGGGTTTATATTTTCATTCGCACGGGTGTTAAACTTAAATGTTCTTTTACATCCACTAAGCAACCCAGAGTTAGTAACAAGTACCAGAACACTTAAATATCTCCAAAATTTTAAAAACCTGCAGAAGTCAAAAATTATAACACTAGTAACCTTTCACTGATACCATTCTAAAGTTTTCTATGTCTAAAAACGTCAACAATATTTTTATTAACTGTTATTATTTTTGAATTGTGTATGTTCAAAAAACCACCAAGTATTGGATTTTATCATTCTAGATTTGGCAGTTTTGGAGACATTTAAGCATTCTGATACTTTTTAGTAACCTGGTATATCTACAAGGTATTGTTAAAATTGTAAAATTTGTTGCAAAACATTAGAGCTAGATAAAGAGGTATCCTCATCATGAAATATTAAATGAAAATTCGTTGTCATTTTGACATAACAGAGAAGCAGCAAACATTAGATTGCTAAAATAGAACTATTTGTTCAAGTTCCACAGCGAAGACACAAATCATCTCTACATTTACAGCTCAGTCTAGAAAAATCAGGTATTTGAAATACTGTATTACCTGCTATTCTGCTCATGGTGCAGTATGTAACCTTATTGCAAAATTAATTTGGTGGTAAGTTTTTCCCTACATAGGCAAAATTAGAAAACTAAGCAGAAGCATACAAACTACTAAAGCTAGGAAATAACGGAATTTAAATGAAAACAATTGTTCCTAGCTGTAAAAACCAAAAGCATAGCATATACATATGTCCAAAAAATACATAAAATAAAAATTAGTGACGATGTTTAGGAATGTTCCACAACCCTGTAAAAACGAGAATAAGGAAAAAATGTGATAGAATCATTCTCCTGTTTCTTAAACTTAAACCCAAAGGGGAACCTTAGGATTTAGGATAACCACAAGCTGAAAGTTCCGATAAACGGAAGAAATGAGATTTGAAAACTAGATATCAGTAATAGCCAAAAGCTCAGCAACCTAAATAATAAGTCTGACAATACATAGAATAATAGTTGGTAGTTCCAAAAACAATGTTTAGTAACGATCGACGAACCTTCCAGATTCTCCCCCATGAATCAAATATTGACAAAGAAAACTCACAAAATTGCCTCCGAATACACTCCCCTCGGTGAAATTATATACATAATTCCCTATCGCGTCTGCAATAACTTTGGTATTCTTCACTAATTGGTCCATGTCTAGTACTTCTTTGGTATCTAATATTGTGGACTTCCACGAATCCTTGTGATTCTTCAGGGAAGATAGCGTAAAAGCGGGCAACCTCCTTATACTAAACCTTTCGTGTTCCCACGCCAAAATATCATCGGCCAAATTGATTTTTTTATGTACCCCCTCCACGCTGACCTCCTCGCCTCTCTCCGCAGCAGACTTTAAGTTTTTAAAGAACAAAGACGAGGGAGTACCCTCCTTGGGAGGTTTCGAGACGTGCATGTAAATTGTATCTGCCGTTGCTAAAGTGTCGAGACATAATACATACGCGGTATCCTAAAACGTAAAAATGCCGCAAAATCGTTATACATTCTACAAAGATCTACACGCACCTGGATTACTGAAATCTCTGTAGAATCCAGCTGATCTTCTAACCACTTTTTCGTCCCTTGGAAATTAATTTTGCCTCCTCCCGTTAATACGAACAGGATGTTGAACTTTCCTCTAGTCTTTTGGTCGGCATATAGAGCGGAAAACAATCTCATCAGCTCTAGCATAATGATCACTCCAGAACTATTGGAATCGGCTCCAAAGGAGAGGTCCTACAAAAATGTAATAATTATGATTATATAATCAAAAAATAAAAAAGATATGTTCAACTTTAATCTACAAATTATAAAAACATCTGGGAGTTTTAACAATACTCGTCAAATACATATTAGATTGCTTAGTTTATATAAAAGAACATTTAGGTTATTATGCAACACACCAAACATTTTAAGTAGTACCCATATAAGCCTTAACTATTTTGCATCAAAAAGAGCCATTCAAAATTATTAGTGGTCATTACAAATACAATGTTAACATATCCAATTTTTTTGAGAATATTCCCCTGAGAGGCGATAACAAAAAGGCTTCTAAAGAAAAATGTGGCAAACTACTAAGAACCTCTATTAATCAGTTTAAAAATAGACTTGACCAGCTAATTAGTGTTTGGGACAACTAATTTATCCACTCTTCTAAAAAAACAAGAGAACCCCTGAAAAGAATTTTGAATGTCCCTTTGGTTTACCGCGTCTATTGCTTTCAATAATAATAAAATAGCATTCAAGACTTTCAAATTATTAATAAAAACGTTCTTAATTAAAAAATCTTTCTATATTGTGAAACATTTCATAAACTGCGAGACAAAGTATTATTGATTTAAGATTAAGATGGATATTAAAGCTCTACTTTAAAAGATGGTTCGACGAAATTTGGTCAAGAGTTTTTTGAAGGTTTCAAAGAGTTAGAAAAACTTCATGGTTAATTAATGAAATTGTGGAACATTATAAAGAATAATAAAATAATTAACAATGAAATTAAACATATCCTAAACGTGTTCAACATGAATTTTACAATCCAATAACTAACCTCACCACTGTATCTGATAGGTTTAATGACTACTTTATAGAGTCTATTCTATTCAATTCAGATTATATATATTTAATCATTTTAAAAAAATTTGGAATGAGGGGTCCGTCTTATAGTTGGAATTCCATGCATTCCATTCCGAAACGGGTGTGTTGAAAGGGTGTACTATAGGTAGCGGTCATAAAAACAGTTCATTAGAGAGCAAGTAGTGTAAAATTTTTCTTGCGCTAAGTTTTTAACCTATGTTGTGAAGGTCATATCAAATCAGTTACTAACAAAATGAATAAGTACAAATGTTGTGGAAATTAAGAAATTCTGTAAATAGATAGTTTATTTTTGGTTAGTTTCATTATGCGCATGTTAACTCCACACTAGCATAAGATATAGTCGCTGGGGAAGGTAATGATTGCCCAAAAAATAATGACACTTAAAAATAAATACTTACAGGAGCTACTCCGAAACTATCGTAATGTGTTACTATTGCGATGGTCGGCACTTTGCCCTCCGGTCTATAGCCAGGCAAGTGTCCATGGAAGCTAGCGATCTTCACGTCACTTTTGGGGTTCGAGTTACCAGCAGTTATAACAACTTGGTATCCGTTTGCAGCTACAGTGGTGATTAATGCTTCAGCTGCTGTTTTTTTCGTGTCGCTTGTATCGATAGACGCTAACTCGTCAACTACTTCTTCAATTTTTTGATTCCACGGAACGAAATATACGGGTATAGGCGTCTCTTGTTCGTGAAGCATTTTATACTCCAAATGCAGGAGTTGCTGAAGGAAGGGTTATTAAAAATGTGTCTACAGAAATAGTCACTCAAGTTTGTTTATTATTCTTGACATCTACTTTTTACTATCTATTGAAAAAATGTTGGAGCTAAAACACAAGGCTTTCGATAAATAAAGCCATTAAAGACTTGTAGTAACCATCTTCAATTAAAAAGTTATGTTGTCTTTGTATCCAAATCTGAAAATAAGGTGTATTTCTCCAATGAGATAAAACATGCTTTGTTAGAAATGAAAGTAAGCAATTATGGAACGGCATCTCTAAATGGGACGTTCATCCTAAAGAGTCTAGTAACTTTAATAATTAATAGCAATTAACAATTTATATATTTTTTGATAATAAACCTCCCATAAATATTTACTCTGAGGTTATGGACTGCTTCCTTGGGTCAAATGAAGAATGGATAATTAATAGTCATTAGTAACTAATAACTATTTATAAATTTTTTGATAATATATCATGCATAAACGTTCACCCTGAGGTAATTGACTGTTTACTTGGCTCAAATGATGAATGGAAGCCATTTTACTTTAGCTTAGTATCTAAGGAAGATATTTTGGCATCTGTCAATAGTATCAAAAGTAACGCTGTTGGAGTGCTGTAAATTATTTAAAGCCACAAGTTAGTATTATAAATATATCTTTAAAATTTGCACCCATTTAAAATGCCCTGAAGCTTGAATGAACTGAGACCAGTAAGCATTCTTCCTGCTGCCTCAAAAACACTTGTGGGTACAAGATTGAAAATCTTCAAATTGGTTCATATTGGTGTCCTGTTCTAATAGGTAAAGCAAAAAACACTAGACCGCTGATTAGACTACCATGAGAACACTTTTTGAAAGTTGGTTAAAAAAATTCTCTTCCAAATATTCCACCAGGCAGCGTAATAGTTTATGATAATGCTTTAGCTATAAAAGTACCAATGATAAGCAGCAAAAATGGGGTAGTTTGAGGATACTAGTTGAAATTTTAAAACAAGATTGTATGATAACATCGATGACATAGACACTGTTATGAGAAAATCAGGTAATATACTCCTTAGAATACCACCTTATTACTGTCATTAAAATCCTATATATATGATATAAGCCGAAATAAAAAGCAGAGTTAGAGGCAATCATATAAACTCAAAATTGTCCACCCATGTAAGTAATGTAATTAGACCTCAGTTGAATTAATACCAGGGAGCAATAATTATAAAAAAGGACAAGGTAAAAACAAGTGATATGTGTAATTTATGAACCTTTTTTGTACCTGTTTAGGTGAAATATTATTTTGTGGTTGTGATCATACAGATTTTTTAAGTTAAATTTTGTTGAGCTGTGCTTATTAAAATAAACGTGGGGTACTTCCAACCCTTGCTTGTCACAGTTTTGTTTTTCATGCAATAAAGATTATTTAATTTTATTTTTATCTATTCACCAAAATATGAGAAGTCACAAAATGTAAACACAAATAGGTAATTATTGTTATCTAAAGTAAATAGAAGAAACTAATTCTGACCCACTCTGCGCGATCGTGTATTAACTCACCTGTTTTTCATCCTGAGATAATTTCGTAATATTTTGAGGCAGCACTAAAACTAGGGCACCTGCTTTAGATCTTATATTTCTAAACATCTCAACTGAAATGTCCAATAGTTTTGCGACCACACAATGCCTCGACGAGGTCCAAGTTGTTGCGGCCCGCGCCTCAAAATTAACAGCCGCTGCTCTGCTTCCTGGAAATAAATTACTCTATTAAAACTATCCCGATTATTACCACTAACTGCGAACTCTATATTTGATAGTAAAATGACAAAACTTACCATACGGCACCCCGTGCAGATCGTAATGTTGCATTCTATGGACAGGGAACTCGTGTGTTGCAGAAACGGGGCTTGCGGGCGAAATTATTATAAATATGGGCAGAAATATCAAAATATAATAGGGTAGGTAACCCTTCAATAACTCTTCGACTTCTTGGAATAACATGTTAACGGAAATTTGGCAAACGATGCGACTAAACTTAATTGAATTTAAAAACGAATTTTAAGGTTGGACATCTCACGAATAGGTTAAGTGGATCATAGAAAAAAAAAATGTCAATCATGTGCTCGATAACAGAACACTAATGAAACTTTGAAAGGGGTTTTTTTAAGTTTTCACCAATAAATTGAAAAGCTAATTACCCAACAGTTACTTTATTTACGAAGTTTTTTGAACTGCTGTTTTTCGACGACGATTGAATGTATCGGTGAATCCATCAACGATTTGATAATTTCGGATCTCACGTGTTGTTCAATTTTTTGCGTGCTGCTTTTTTATTTGGATGGCATTTGGATGAATTTGTAATGCACAAATCGAAAGTACATACCGTTGCGATAGAATTTCTTTGGGTTTTCCCATGCGCTTTGTGGAAAATCCACGCACGGATCATAAATATGCTTTGTATGTATACAGAGTGTATTGATTTCGAGTCTTATTGGATCGCTTGCTAGCCACTTAAGGAGAACTCTGTATCGAAAAAATTGTGTTTCTAGGTACGACGTTCAAAGCAGCAGCTCATAGTTAAATCGACTTTAATTTGATACTTTTGGACATAGTGGATTTAAGTTTGGCATCTTAATGACATATTGTTTGTCATTTCACTTCTTGATAATTCTAGCTTTCTTGAGATTTAAAAATTTATCGGCAATTTTGTAAAATCGTTGTTTGTTGTTGTTGTTGTTTCCATTTGACACACTTCGGAAATGCAAATTTCATTATGATTGTTAGACACCCCGTATAGCAGAGTTTAGATAGGGAATAATATGGGACGCTAATACAAGACAGCATTCATGGCGTTCAAAAAGAATTAACATTAGTAAGTTTAAAAAGATTAAAATTAATGTCTCTTCAATTTTTCTCGAAAAAATTAATACATCTTGAAAACTGTGGTTGAATGACCCGTCTACGTTGCAGGTCTCGAAAGTAATCGCAAAAACTCGACAACCGGTGTAATACGGATAATCTAACGCTCCCCTTATTTAGATTCAAAAGAAACCAATGAAATAACACAAAGAGTGGTCCCTATATTTAAACACACATCTTCGTATATCGTTCCCTTTCTTAATAATGTCTCTTTGGATGTCATTCGGCGCGTAGCTCGGGCGATTTCAACTCGGTGCACGTCCACGGTCTTCTATTATTAATATCGACTGAAAAAAAAAAAAGGCGGGATATGAGCATTCTCCCATTGCGATGAACACAACCCAAGAACAGGGTAATTTTTCAAACGATAGCAATTACGTGACACAAAAATATGGACACGCTTGTGTTTCGGTTTTCCAACAGTGGATAATTTACGTATATTTGGCGTTCTTTTCGGTCGGTTGTTTCACGAATTTCGTACAAAGTTTGTTGTTGATAGCGCGCGGAAGAAATGGTAAGTTAAGTTACTTTCAATTTATATTTTGAAAAAAACCACACAGGCTGAGCTTCCTTTTTCCAAGAAATAAATGTACACTTATGAGATTTTACGTTAATATAGCATAATGCCTAATCTGTAACTATACCTACCTACCTGTGAGATTTTTATTTTGGTTTGGAAAGTGAAGTGAAAACTAAAATAAAAACGTATTTTATTTACGCGATATTAATCAGAACTTGATTTAGGGATAATTTAAAATTAACAGTTTAATATTTTCCGTTTTAGGCCTTATGTCGATTATCCTCCAAATTTCCATCGCTGACATCCTGCTATACTTCGTGGGTGCGATAGAAATACTGTCATCGTATCATTGTACTTGGAGATATTCGACGCACGGATGCGTCGCGTTCAAAGGAGCCGAAATACTCGGAAACACGTTGGTGCCGTATTTAATCGTGTGCCTCAACTTCCATGTAATATCGCTCTGGAATTTGCACAAATTCGAAGCGCGGAAAAATTGCAAAAATCCCTTAACCTCCGGTAAAGAAGACGACGAATGTCTAGTTGCCAAAGATGAAAACAATAGGACACTGACCATAGATTATCGCAAAAGGAAGAACGACGTTTCGGTGATATTTCCCCTTATTTTCGTTTGGTTTATATGTTTATCGATAAGCGTTCCTTATTTTTTATTCTCGACGACCGTAAACGACGGTGACAAGATTTCGTGCGTCGTTGTAGAAAACTCGTATGGGACAATTTTGCACTCTCTGATTCTGTTGTTTAGTTTTGTTCTGCCCTACGCACTCGTATTTTCATCTTTAGTGTTACTGTTGTTTAAACTGTCGAAAACGTCTCAGAAAGACATCGACAACGTCGTAACTAAACAATTCGAAGAAATCAGGAAATTGCTGATATTCTGCGCCCTGTTTAGTATCGTCTACATGTTTATATCGTTGCAAAGGTACGTCTTGAATACGACCGTAACCATTCGACAATTTTTTATTCTAAATAATTACTATTTCGATATCGTAAATACGTACCAAAGCATGTTACATTACAGCGGAAGTGCTTTTCGATGGGTCATTTGTTTCTATATGATTCCTCACTTTAGAGAAACGATCCTGTCCAAGCTTTACATTTGTCGAAATAAAGATGGTAACGCGTAACGCATTTAAATTAAATTGAACGAGAGGGAGTTAACGGCGAAAACAGATGTGAAATTTAATCCGAAGTGGTTAACACTTGCGAGCCGTTTTCTCGCACGCATGTGCGCTTTAATATGCAAGTTCAGTTACCTTTGTAATTTTTTATTGCTATTCTTGAGAACAGAAACGGTTCGATACTTGAAGCGATTATTGTTAGAACGCGACGTTTATTAATTTCCGTTTGTATTATTGTTATGTATAAATTAAAGTTTACAAAAACACGTTTTGTGCATTATTTGTCCGCTAGCAGTAGACTAGTTTCCCAAAGCAGATAGCACACAATATCTCCAGTATATATATAGTATATAGTCTCGGGACATGTGGAGGATATCCTTAGGATATACGTCAGCGTATATATGCTAACGTAAAATACATCCCAGGGATATCTGAATGGATAGCCTGCGGATTTACTGTACACGATATACCACAGATATCCTCTAAATAGATGATGGGAACATTAGAATAGAAACCTAAAAAATTAAATTTTGAACAACTGAGAAGGAAAATACTTAGTTTTTTTAGGTTTGTGGTGTTTTGGGAGACATTGGCAACGTTTTTGTGCACATCTACATCGACGTCAGTGTTGCCTAGTCCTAAAAAAACGGAATCAAACCGTTAAAATCAAAATGTTTTCATTATTTTTGGCACGAACGAGACAGGAAACGCTATTTTAATAAAAATACCACAGAAAATGCGGATTCATCTAAGCGAAACAATTACAAAAACGTAAAAATAATATAAGATTCCATTTGACAACACTGTTCGGTTACAACCAACTGGCTGCAACTACTCGCCGTCGTGCCGTGCCGGACTCGCTCGAGTCTCGTCGTCCGCCATCGTTTCAGCGTTGTTTTTGTTCGCGGTATACGGTATAAGGCGACTTGGCGTCTATTTTGAGTATTTTGTGTGTTGTGCTTACTGCTTTCAGTGCTTCCATTTCAGTTATTCTTTTGTGGTATTATTATTACTGAAGAACTAATCATTTACTTACATAGCTTTACGGTAATATAAAACATAAGACTTGATAAATTCTAAATTCTCTTCTTGTTTTTTATTATTTTGCCAGGTCAATGAGATAGCAAGAACAGGCGACAGCAGCAAGCTCTGACGCCGCTGATTTCAAATGAGCTTACAATAAAATTTAGTTGGTTGTTAATGTTTTTTAAGCAGTTAAATTTAGGCATACAAAACTAAACTATTTTTTTATTTAAGTAAGCAATGTTAGAGAAAATCCCCCAGAAGAAAATTATATTTCTATTTATATAGTATAGTTAGTATATTTTTTTCTTAAAATGGATGCAAGAATCACCCCGCAAAACAAAGTATGAATTTTAGGAATCACCCTTCATAAAGTACAATTTTCACATTAAAATGGTTGTTGGGTTAATTTATGAAAACGTGTTTTCTATTTTTTTAAGACTTTTCATGGTGATAGTAGGTACCATCACAAGCAAAAAAACTAGGAAAATTTTTAGGTTGACAAAAAATATTGCATGAAAATAGGCCTTTACTGTCAAACTGAAAAGTCATATTTGTTCTAGTTTTTTTTTGCGAGTGATAGTACCTACTCTTACGAAAGAGATCTTACTGATGACAGTTTAATGAGGTTTGTATTTAATGAAATGAAATACATGAATGTCTACCTACATCAACGTCGAGATTAGCATCTAAGATCACTTTCATGAGAGTACTATCAGCGTCAAATCAAGCCTTTACTTAAAAGGCGGATGTAGGGATTTCTTAAATATGTTTCTTAAACATATAAGATACCAGTCTCGTTCTTTTTTTTATAAAGTAATATATATATAAAACCTGTCTTTCTCAATACTAAAATATTTTCAGATGCGGATAAGAAGGCAAACACATTACAAACATCAAAAGAATGTGAGAATTCAATAGCTGCTTGGGTGAAAAAAGCTGCTTTCATCAAAAAATGACAGAAAACCTGTCAAATATTGGTTATTTTTTTAGAGTTTCGTTCAAGATATAGTATCTTACTCTATTTTTAAGATACTTTAAGTTAGGTGGTTTTATATTTTAGCTATATTATATACCTACAATTTTTTCATATCCACAATAGAAAAAAAATCAGGTGTGTATAAAATGTGTTTTATTAATGGTATCAATCACTTTTACCATCAAAAGCAAAATTACAGATTAAATATTAATTGGAAAAAACTTGTGCATTTCAAATATCGCCTGCTACTCCAGTGATGACTTTACCAACCATACCAAGTAGTTAATTCCATCACACGCGAATACCAAATACTGGGATAAAATTTTTGTAGTCGTACAACCAATTCCACTATTTTAAAGTATTTCTCATAGGCAGTTGGAAATAACCTAATAATTAAGTAAGGTCCACTGGTATATCTATATAAAATGCTATATCCTCACAGTCCGATATATTAACGACGTCTCAAAGAGTATAACTGGATATCCTTAGTATGACGAAATATCAGGTTTCCTAAGTAGACATTACATCGCATGGAATCTCTAGCTAATAAACTTATTAAGCTTAATTAGGTTTGTCAATATCCTAATCTTTTTGTCATATCACGTCTCATCGACGCTCATTAATATAAAAAATGGTCTCAGAAATCTCTTAAAACTGAAAAGAAAAAGCAAAAACTAAAATGGATCGTCACGGCTCAAAAACTGAAACTGGAATAATGCGGATCTATTTTGTCGCGCACATTTAAAGACGTTAAGAGACTTGTAAGGAAAAGGAAGAAGATATGACAAACATGTATATATCGATATTGCGTATCGAACCGTATGTCGCAGAGAGAATATGTTTGTCGATATCGGTATGTCGGAAGCAGTATATCCATAAATCGTATATAGTGATCGTGCTGAAAAACAGTTTTTAGTTTTAGGATCAAACCTATTACTATAGTATAAAATCGACTATGATCAAGGAGATAATAATAACTGCTACTTTGGATAGCCTATTAGCTGGCAACAGTTGTTTGTAGGTAGCTCAAAGGGTTATCTTATAGATTTATGACTGGTGTGGTAAAATTTGCGAGTTTGCTCATATCTGATATGTGAAGAGCCTATAAATCAAAATCAAGCTTTATAAATGCATAATCAGACTCTTCAGGTTCTCCAACTGTCGAAATTTGATTTCTCAAATGTCTGATTCTATTTGACAATGCACAAATCTTCAAATGTATATTTTGGAACCACAAGAGTGGATGATGCTTTCTGCCCAGTTCTTTGGAATGTTACTCGACATAGTTTCTGACTATGGACCCATAATGGTTAAGATTTAAGCACAGTTTTTGGATTATTTGAAATAAGAGTACTCTTGTAGATTCAGTCACAAAAGGAGACAAAACATCCATTTCCTAAAAAGATGCTCTTTGGTTAAGATATTATCCCCCATGCGCACATGGGGGATAATATCAACAACAATCTTACCTCATATGCCCAAGAAAAATAATTTTTCTACTCCCGTGTGTAAAATACCCAATTAACCACCGATCTAGCGTGCGGGAAGCGTCACTTCGGACATTTCCAGGATTTGGGAGCAATCTGATGTTTCGGAGATATTTCCCACGCTTTGAATTTTGACGTTTGTCAATTCTGACGGTCATATCAGTGAATATATTCGTGTTGTTTTGCGCAAATATAACCAAAAACTAACGGTCGTAGAAAAAGTATAGTATGCAACACTTTCGGTAACTTTTTAATTCGCTCCGCTGCACTCCGCTCGTGTCAAATAAACTCGTGAGTCAAATGACGTTTACGGCACTTGTCGCATAATATAGTGTTAATGGAAGACAGAACGAAAATGGCCACTGCGCATAACTTCCACCTGACAGCATTGTTGCCAATAGTTGCGAATGTAACAAATATAAAAAGTTCGATGTCAGAATGGCAAACAAAAAAATAAATCAACTGAAAAGCTTCCAGCTTTATACATAGAAAAGATAATCCTGTATTGCTTTAATATCTTATGTATTTAAAACTTGGCTAAATGGGATTTTTCCGGGTTAGTATAAACAAGAGTATTGGGACGTTTAAATATGTCTAAAATTGTCAAAGCTGGAACGATGAAACTCAATACTTGGGGGTTTTTGAACATGCAGGATTCAAAAATGCCTACAGCAGATTTACTACTATTAATAAAAAAATAATTTCTCAGAATTGTAGCGGTTTTTGAACGTAGGAAACTTTAGAAGTATATCAGTGAAAGATGACATAAAACTTTGCCGTTTGCGTTTTTGAATTGTGCATGTTGAAAAACCCCAAAGCATTCCAGCTTTGTCAGTTTTAGAGACATTTCTCTCTTTTTTTTCATGATGGGTTTCTCTACCAGCGCTCTAGAATTATTAATTCTATGAAGGAGACAATTAGTTTTCTCTATGACTGAGACCTGGCATTACAGCTAATCCATTTTTTTTTAATGGTCATCAAGCCAACTAAAAAAATTCTTTTATTTTGAGAAAAATGTCGAAATACGTCGTCAGTTATATATCCATATATTTCAGAAATACATCGACATCTGTCTTTCAATAAATATTGGCTACACAACGCATTAAAATGTTAGTTCTTTAAGTATTCACAGCGTTCTTGGTTATTTGTGAAGCTGGTGGACGGGAAATAATTTAAAGAAAAACTACAGTCACATTCTCAAAAATATAAATATATTGTTGCTTAAATCCGGAAAGAACAAAGTTGGCAGCTGGAAAATCAGACTCGGTTTCCCTCTCCAACTTGCAACACGGGGTCGGTTGGAGTGTAGCTTAGTTAAAACGCAGACTCTACGACATCGTTCCAGAATCACTTGACGAACAATAGTTTTGCCTCGTTCTGTCAAGTGAGTGCCGCGCGTTTTATTATAAGATCGATTATTTGAAGATTACGTCGAATTGTAATTGGTCTGCAAGGGCAGTATCACAAACTTCATGTCGCGGTTTTGCGTCTTCCTCAAAACGTCGGCAGCGTGTTGAAGCTGCAACGCGCAGTCGGGATGCGCAGAACCCGGTAACTGCATACACTCCTGCTCGAATATGTAAGCCAAACCGTTCAACAAGTCCAGGAATCCGAGCGAAATCGCCGCTTTCCTCAGCCGATTGAGTTCCTAAAAAAAAATACTTTTACTACAGTTACTCACCCACTAAAGAAAAATATTCTTGCATCTCAGTATTTCGATATCCAATACGCAAGCGAATGGTGATATGGCGTAAAAAGTTTAGAAACTGTATACAGGGTGTTATCCAAATAACGTTGTATAATCTATTCAATGAATATGGACGCCGGACTGATACCGAATCCCCATATTTTCTTTGCTCCAAATTTGGTAAAAATGGCTATTTTTTTGTAACCTTGTCGGGCCAAACTAATATTAATGCGCATTAGGCTCTTTAACTGGTATATGATGGTTATGATAACCAGAAATATTAGTAACACATAGCAACCACCATAGATTAAACAAAATATTAAAACGTACAGAAAAAAAAGAAGATATTATCGCGGAATGAGAGAAGAAAAAGAGAATAATCAGAAAAAGGAAGGGATTAAGAATATGGTCAGATGAAATAGAAAAATTAGTGAGAGAAAAACAAAAAACACTATCTTAACAATCCCATCTCCATGCAACTGACAAACGAAACTGAAGTATCGTGAAAGAAACGACTAGAAAAACAAATGAAGAGTCTTGGGGTAGATTTATAAGTAACATAAAACATGCTAAGCAAAAAGGAAAATAAATATGTAATCAATAGTTTTTCCATTTTTATATTAATTGATATAGTATATCATGCAACAAATGCGGTAAACGGAATTAGACTTAAAAAGTTTAGCAAACGTGTTGCATACTATACTTTTTCTCCGACCGTTGGTTTTTGGGTACATTTTTGCAAAACAACATGAATCCATTCACGGACATGACAAACGTCAAAATTCAAGCCGCACTTATTACATAATATACTATAACGTTCATGTTTAGTGATCAATTAAAAGTTCTGCACAACTAGATATGAATTTTAATATAGTTTATAAACATATAAATTGCATTTCGGTTGCTTTTTGTTGAGGGACAAAGAACTGAATTAAAAAAACAACAACACTAAAACTGATTCTGTGGTGCAAAATGCCAGAAAAGGAAAAAGCAACAGTAACTTTTTTTTTCTGTTTGGTTCAAATAGTCATTTCAACAGAGCAATCCAACTAGTCTATTTGGTGTAAGCCAGCCATAACATTGTATGTATGCCTGCAGACTATTTTTTATTTATTGTAAGCAAAATCTTTGTATACTTTTCAAATGATTTAATGCTTAATTTTTGTTACGAAACAATCAATGAGCGATAAATACGTTATTATAGAAAATGATCGGGAAAAATCTTCGTGGTATCTCGGTCGAGTCGGGATTTCAAGTTTGGAAACTATATACAGGGTGTTATTGAATTGACATCATAGAATTTAATACTTTAATACGCATCCCGCACTGATGCCGAATCAATATTTTGTTAGGTCCTAAGCCCACTCTTCATAACTACCTTGATGATCATCGTGATGCCTAACCCAACGTTGCCAAATGATCTATAAACAATCTAAATAAATGAACAGCGATAGTTTATTTAATAGCAACAAAAAGATGAGATACATTCAATTACTAGTATAGTAAATATAGTACCCAAATAGAATGTCCTTTATTGGACATTGATCCACACGTGACATAGCTGTCGGAACAGTTAGTTTTGGTTAGTTTAAATCTGTTTAACGAATAAAACTAGCCGATCTTTGGTGACACATTTAAACACATATAATTTAATTAAATCTAAGTTGATAATAAGAAAGTATTTATATGCGTAATTAGGTTTACACCTACTGTTAAGCTGCCAGGGAAGGCGTACATTTTAATTTTATTATTTTGCGAAGTGATAATTGCGTGCCATCTCTATTTTAAATCATTGAATTGCAGTAAGCTTAAGCTCAATATACTCAAGAACTACAGAATACATGTTTTTTTTTAGTTGTCAGTGTTAAATCCAATCTAGAATGAACTGGAAATTTTAGTAACTAAAGAAAAAAGACAAATGAAACTGTTACCTTGTAGATTAACGGATGTAGAAGTTTCTCATGTATACTTTTTTGAGAATAGTCAATTCTGGAGTGGGTTAGTTTCAAAAACCTTTTGCGGTACTAAAATTTTATATTTTGTTTGTACCACGGATTGCGCGAAAAATTTAACGGGAACCATTTGTCGGGTTATCAGGCAAAGTAATTAATGAAACTTCATTTTTGTAAATCCATTTTCGAATTCTGTGCCGAATTTCACGTACTTTTTATGAGTAAAAGAATTAAAAACAGGAACTGAATTTTGGAATGAATGTGTAAGTAGCTAGAATCAGAAAGTGAATATGGCGCGTCTAACTGAAACAAGTATTGAAATTTTAATTTGATGTTTGATGTTAGCCAACGAAGAGTTTTGTATGTATTGTATGTAAAATATAATCCATACAAGAAATATGCAACTTTACTCGTTTTGTTTTAATCGTTCAATGAAGTCGGACTGTCTTTAAATGGTGCGGTAAATAAACAAAATTATAGGTATTGAAGTACAAATAATCCCCGATGGATGAGAGAAAATTATGCACATAAATATCCACTAATAATAAAGGTTTTTGCATGGGTTTAATATGACCTGGGCCCGGGTTTTCGGAAGAAAACTGCAAAGTTAATTGCTACCACTTTATAACACTAATTACAAAAGATCTTTATTGTACGAGGACCGTGCATGTTATCAAACTTGCCGGTTAGCGGAAAACAATGCGGAGAATACTCCAGCATAGACTATTTTACAAAGCTCCACGTTGCTGCTGTGGTGTGGCGTTGCCAATACATTCCAAAAATCTTATTGAATCCCGATATTTACAATTTCTTCAAAAATACTTAATTTCTACTGACGCAGTTTCTCTCCCAAAAGCAAATCAACCTGATGTGCTAGATAGACAGATTTGGCTTGAACAGGATGGATGGTGTTCCGCCCTATTTTACTCGACAAGTGCATGAATATTTAAATACAATTTTAATATTTATATAATATTTATTTATTTTTATTTTTTTTATTATATTTATTTATATAATTAAATAATATTTAAATACAATTAAAATCGGATAGTGGATTGCTAGAAGAGGCTCGATAGATCAAGGAAGATTTCCAGACATTACTCCACTGGATTTTTCTTCGTGGGGATATTTAAAATCAAGAGTGTATAAGGAAAAACAACATCATAAGGTAAATAAATAAAAATATCTTGAGTAATGATTTGGAAGCGTTTTTAAATCGATTCGCATATACTTTCTAATATTTTTGCTCAATTTTACTGACAATGGATATTTTGCGTTAAACAAGTTACAAAGTTCTTCTTGCGTTCCCAATTTTCTTCTTCTTTCTTTTGCTCATTAAAGGTAAGAGACAGGCGTAGGGTGGGAAAAATTTTACTCTAATGGGGGGTTCCATTAAAAAAAAGAAACGAACGCGGTGTTTTCTGTTTTTTTAGAAATCCAATACCTGGTACAAGCTGTTCCAAGATGGTCGAGAAGACGCCGATGACGAACCTCGCTCTGGACGCCCCAACATGTCAATAACCGATGAAAGCGTTAAAAAGTGAAATAAATGGTGTTGAAAAATCCAAGACATTTCCAAACATTACTCCACTGGATTTTTCTTAGTGGAGATATTTAAAATCAAGAGCGTATAAGGAAAAACCACAAAATTTATATAATTTAAAATTTACAATTGTTTACGAAATAAGGTAAATAGATGAAAATATCTTGAGTAATGTTTTGGAAGCGTTTTTAAATCGATTCGCATATACTTCATTCCTATTATTTTCACTCAATTTTACTCACAATGGCTCTTTCTGGATATGTTGCGTTAAAAAATTTACAAAGTTCTTCTTGCGTTCCCATTTTGGCTCCATATCCATTAAAAATTAAAATTTCAATTCTCTAAGTTTCATTTAGATACGCCATATTAACTCCATATGAAAATTAAATATTTGTTTTTCATTCTTTTGCTCATTAAAGGTAAGAGACAGTCGTAAGGTGGGAGAAATTTTACTCTAATGGGGGGTTCCATTAAAAAAAGAAACGAACGCGGTGTTTTCTGTTTTTGGAAATCCAATACCTGGTTCTTATTTTAGCCATTTAGTGAATAAAAAAATAACATACCTTGTAAAACTGTTGAGTTTTCTCGGGCAATTTCCGCGCGTGCCTCAATATCTTCTGTATGTCGGACTGCAGCCCCGCTTGCCTGATCCAGACCACCCCGTTCTGAGAATAGCTTCTCTTCTCGTTCGGCCTTATCGGAAAACTACCGACCTGATCGTGGGGGAACAGTTCTCCGGTGCCCAATTCATTCAGGTCGCCCAACCAAGGCACCACGTCGGACCCGGGAGTCAGCACCGTCAGCATCAGATTCGATTTCTTCTTGGAATCGGCCCAAGAGTAGACGAACCCGAACCAATTTTCCCCCAACGAGACGAGCGCGGTCATGTTTTCCACCTTCAAGGCTCCGTGCAGTAGCACGCAAAACGAGGGCAAGCTTCCCTCTTCTGTGACACCGTCGTCTGTCAAATCGATTTCGGCAGCTGCGCCATCTTGTTTCTGGACCGGATTGGCCGGAAGTATGAGGTGTCTGCTGACGGCCATCGGAGATCCGACGTCAGCGACGGATATGAAGCCGCACACTTCGATTAAATCGGAAATATCGTATGTTCGACTGCTGAAGTCTGTTATTTTAGTGTACGCCTGAAATAACGGGCTTAGCAATCAGGGTATAGGGTATAGTCCCAATTGTGCCAACTTCGTTCCCGAGTGTACAGAGTGTCCCAAATTCGAGGACTATTCCGTTAGAGACAGGATGTCGGTTAAACAGAGCCAAAGTCCCGCATTTTGATAATTCATTCAAACCCGTTTCAATATCGAGCAAAGTCAGAACAGATTTTGTTCCTGACTTTAAATAAGAAATAAGTACAAATTGACATTATTAAGTTTTGGTTAGTATGACGCCTCGGTTTTGTGTGCTCATCATCAACTTATTTCTTTAAAATACAGATCTTAGTGGTTTTCTAAAAAATACCGCAATGAAATTGACAATAAAGCCAAATTTACATAAAAAAAGTTATCAAACAGTCTTGACATAGTTGTTAATTATTAAAATGTCAGTTACTTTTTACTGTTGTATGGTAAAAAAAGATGTTTTGAATTGGATAGGAATTTGTTGGTTCTAGTTAACCGACGATGGTCCTTAAATAGATCCTAATGGGGAAGATTAAGATAATATTAAGATTTGAAACCTCTAATTGCTTTTTTAAGTTTGTTAATAACGTCAGGTTAATTATACACTTCCAGGATCAATCGGACAGTTTGAAAATGAACTTCGAATTCTGAGAATGTGGAGGACATTACATTAAAACCACCATCATCCCTACAAAATCCACTTAAGTGAAAAACTTAGACCAAGTGTTGAAATTACTTGAGGAGTACTTTGAAGGGGACAACATTAATTTTGCTAAATAAATAAATATTTTGTGATAAAACTTAAAAGTCACCTTACTTCTTGAACACACGTCGTTTATTATTTGCAAAAAAGTGGATAGAAAATTGTGGAACTATAAGATGGCCTGTCGGAAGTCTGGATATAAATCCATTGGTTTACTGCTTATGGGGTATATCGTAAGGTCTCAAATGACGTAAATGAACTACGGCAGTGTGTTCTCAGGTTTAAAACCGCCTTTTCTTGGTACTGTAATAATTAGTTACTAAAAAAAATGTAATTAAAACTCTAATAATTAGTAATAATGCTTTTGTTTCATGGCCACCTTATTTTTTGTGTAAATTTTGCTTTATTGTCAATGTTGGGGTGTCATTGTTTAGTAAATCATTAATTGTGATACATACAATTTTGCAGGCCTGAAGTTGATGATACGTACAGAAAACCGACACGTCATATTTGAGACTTAATAAAGCCAGTTTGTACGGGAGAAAAGTTCCAATGGGAAGGTGTCATGTGTTGTTAATATCTTAAAAATAAAGCCATAAAAAATTTTATAGGAAATTTCTGATTTTAGGTTTTCCCAGATATCTCCGGAACTAATCTCTATCTAACTGACTTCGTATCTTTTATGGTTTCCGAGATCCCAATAGTCCCCCTCGAATTTGGGACAACCTGTATTATTAAACACCCTGTATCGAAATAGACGATGAAAACGGAATCTTATAAGATCTTTGTACGTAGAATCTAATGGCGGCCTCAAGATAAAATTTTCAATATATAAGCTAAATTTATGTTTCAGTAAATTAAAAAAAATATATTGCGCCATCTGTACGCTTTTCAAAAGTTTAAATAATTCTACCTATCTATCTATCCTAGTATTATAATTATTATTTTTATTATCAGAAAACAATACAAACATTTTTCCATGGTCACTGTATAAATTGTTCAGGCAAGCTACGCACTTGTTCAGTATTATTTTATTAACTAACCAATGGTATACCATGGTTATCAAAACAAATGCGATAGGTAGATTTTTTCCTACTCTGTTGGGCACCTTTCTGGGAATTATGATCTGTAGGGAAATTTGTTTTAATCAAGATTTTGTAAAAATGTTGGTTTTCTTAAAAGAATATTTTGTTCCCTTTCCATTGTCATTTTTTTTATTCATCAGCCTATATCAATTATTGAAGTTACAAAACCAAAGCCGACTTTTCTTTATCTAAAGAGCGAAATTTCGTGTGGGAATCATTTGGAATTTTCAAAATCAGACCAAATATACGAGATAACAATTATTTCTAAGTTCAATTTAATACCAATTAATTTGAAAAAAAAAATCAATTTAAATGTGGATATTGAAACACAAAAGACAAGAAAAGACCTTCACAAATTGTTATAAATTCTACGTTGAAAATTACTTCATAATTTTTACCAGAGAATTGTTAACTTTCTTAATATTAAGCTACACAACTAGAATCCACGTATCAAAAAGTTTCAAATCGAAATCGTTAAAGTCTTAATAGACTTACTAGTGGAGCTGGGGAGAGGATGATTTTTGACTCGAGATTTCCACATTTCAGGATACCTTTGAAAGACGTGTACATATCTTCGGCCAATTTTTGAAACAGCCCAGTGACGTTACTCTCGGTCTGAAGGTTTTCGGGTATCGATATCGAACCGTCATAACCACTCAAGTCAATTAGTCTTTGATAGAGCGGCTTAGCTGCAACATTCGTTTCAATCAACATCTCTTATGTATGAGTATGAGTCATCACATAAAGGAAGATATATATATATATATATATATATATATATATATATATATATATATATATATATATATATATATATATATATATATATATATATATATCTGGTTGCATATCTCGCCCATAACAATAAAAAGAGGTACCTAAAAATGGTATGGTGCATAAATATTTTAAGAACTTCTTTAAATATTTTTTTAACGAATCATGTGAAGAATATATTTTTGTACCTATTTTTGATATCAAGATTATTTTATTAGTATTAAGTAATATAAAAAAAAGAAGCATTAATGGACATTACAATTCCCCTTACAGTTCAGGAAACAGCATATGTTTACCATAACACATGAAACACAGGGCTTTATAATTATTAAATACACAGTCTCTAGTTTAAATAGCTAGAGCTTATTTCGCAAAATATAGACGATTATGTAAATATTATCCTATAAAAAAAAACAAATATGTCACACGGTTTAGCGAATACTGTTTCTTTTAATCCGTTAATTTTTCCGGATCAAATATCTCAACTAAAACCCTCTAGCGACCGGCTCCTTTTCGGGATGACTCACCGATTGTTGAAAAAACTAGTGACATACGTACATTTTATAACACTGGGTTCGTTGGCTGCTGCGATACAAACGACGTGCAACTTGGTAGGAAAGGCGAATGGTATAGGAAACGGCATACTGGAACTCCTTTGATTTACACCGGCCAACAAGTCTTTGAGGGACATCGATCCAATGCCGGTACTGCCGTCAGTAACAAGGACGATCTATAAAATATTTCGTATATATTTCGTTTTCCGTTACGGTTATAATGGTTTGCCATATAGCTACTAGATATACAGAGACCTTATCATAGACTTAATACCCCACAATGAGAGTTGGAAGGACAACATGCGTACATGTGCATATGTACTACCAAACATACTGAACGGGATAATACGATGATTTTTGGAATAGAATTTATGATAACACAAGACAATACAATGAGTCTAATGGAAGGTATTTTCACAAATACCACTCAAATTTGAAAGCGGTCACAGATGTAAACCTATAGAAGATAAAACAAAAATAGCCACGGCGCATTAATTCCAGCTGACAGCGGTGTCGCGAAGGTAATGTAATTAAAATGTCAATTTTTGACATAAAAACAGTATTTCCAAATGTCAAAATGACAGCAGGGCATCATTTTAAATATGTTAAAATGGTAGCAGGGGTTATGGCCTTTTCATGTTCTATTCGCATGCCAATTTTGAAAATATTTGATTCGTCAGTTTTTGCAAGACAGTTAAATGAAATATTGCAAATGTTTTATTATTTTTCCATTACATAACCGTAGTATAAATTAAAAAATAAGTAGTTTCATCATTTTATCAACTATTTTATTAACCGTTCGAAATTAGCATCTTGCGCATTTTGACACTAAACTCGTTGCTAATATTATGCAAAGTTTCTGGAGGAATTACACTGCAAACATTTCCAACTCTGTCTTTCAGATCTTAAACTGAATTTGGTTTTATAACAAATTTTATTTTGTAGATATCATTAAAAAACAAAGTTCAGGGGTTTGTGGCCATTCAATGAGGCCTTCCAATCAACCTGTTAGGAAAAATAGAATTTAACCATTCCCTAACAGATCTTGAATAATGCAGTGACGCACTGTCCTGCTAAAAAACAGTATATTTCAAATTCATTCCGGTTGTTGCCGAATCTGTGTATTAATTTCATTTCGTAACATATCAGTAAGATTATAATCCATAATTATTTGACCAACAATTATATTTAATTTTTTATCTTGCAAAAATTGACGAATCAAATATTGGCATAAAGCGACAGAACGTGAAAAGACCTTTAAAAAGGGGAATCACATGACCCCTTTTACACTTTAAAAAAATACTTAAAATGGCGCCCTGTTGTCATTTTGACATTTGGAAATATTGTCTTTATGTAAAAAATTAAACATTGTCTATGTTCAGAGAATTCTGTTAGTTCCTAACATTAACTATTAGACAATATAGTAGCCCTACTCCGGCAAAATTGATTCGCCATAGGCGGCAGTGATATTGTCATGATTTTCTGCGCATCTCCGCATTTCATCCACTAAACCGCACTTTGCGCTATTTTGATCCTGAACAACGATTTCCACACACTTAACTCGTTTTTCCAGAAAATATAATAATAATATTTTAAGAAAACACTGCCGTAAAATGCCGCACTTAGAATTATTGATGATCTGTCAGCGTCCATGTTGGTTTTTGAAGGCCGGAAGGTGATTGGTTAAAAACGAAATTATTTAATCTCGCGCTAGTAGCTATACGGTTCCTTAGTTGATGGCACTGGTTAAATATTAGTATTGGCTTGATAGTACAAGCACATTTGCAATTTCGATTTCAACCAATAAGATTTCTCGGCATACATGAGTTCCTCAAAATATGCCCGCAACCCATTAAATCTTGATGGAAACAACGAGAGAAGTGCGTGTATATTACTGTGTAGAAATGACGAAAATGAGCGTATGAGAATAAACGTGAGTTAATTACAAACCTGACACGCGATATTATTTCCCCATTCTCCCAAAACCATTTGGCTTACACCGTGAAGCGCCGTCTCTAAACACGTCTTGTCATAGTCGTCGATATTTTTCAATTCTGCTTTAATTATACCGTAATCTCGGGTAAACGGGCATCTTTCTTCGTACAAAGAGGAAAATGCCATCTATAACATTATTAACAACTGCATAACCAAAATTTGATTCAATTAATTGAAAAAACTATAAATGTCTTTACAATAGACTATTTTATTATTATCTAGAATGGCGAAAAAAAATATCGTGAAACTAACAACTCAATATAAAAAAGAACAGATTTTTTTAAAAGGGAATTTAATGAATGCTCTACAAAAAAAGGCCTCTTAATATATTTTTTATAAAGTTAAGAACAGAAAACATGAAATCCATGCTTTTTTCGTTTTTCACGCAATTTTTCCACCCACTGGATCGAATTTGTATTCTACATCGTTAAAAGTGATTACATTATCAATACAATTACTAGAAATTTAATAAATAACAATAAAAGCAAAACAAATTACATTGTTTTAACATTATATATGTTAATATAGATGAATTCGCATTTATTTTTAACTTTCCTTCCTATTTTTAGAACAATGAAAAATAACTAAATAAACGCAAGGCTTTGTTCCCAGCTCAGAGATACTCTGAAACCTCAAGGCCCTTTTTTTTAAGAGGCAAAAGATGAAAGGTATAGATTCGAATTCGTCGATAATAAAAAATGTGTAAAATGTTATAATTTTCAATGGCAACAAAATCTAATTGAAATTTTTGAAATAATCTATAGTGATTGTATGGATGATATAATAATTTTCGGTATGGAATATGAATTTGATCTACTGAGTGGAAAAAATGGGGGAAAAAAAAGTAATTAAATTTTTCTTCAAGTGCGGTGAATAACTTTTTTAAAAATAACTTTATAAAATATTAATAGACCAATTACATTACAATACATTCGCTTTAAAAATCAGTAATGTTCATCTTTGCATATTGAGTTCTTTGTTAGTTACAAAATTCTTGAACACGAGAGCAACAATAAGAGCTCTTTTTATAGAGACTTCAATTTCCTACAAAAATCTATTTGGATGAATATTTTTACCTCAATCGTTTGGCCACCTATAATACGGAGCAACATTGATTCGACAAATTGCACAAACTTTCTCACTCAAAAAAAATAAAAAAATATTTTCGAAATAAAATTTTCATTTTCAAGAGATGTTTTTTACTTCTCCAAAATGGTTTATTAAATTAAATGATTGACACTCATTAACAGTGATTTAAATATATCACCAAAAATACCCAAATTACCATCTTTTTGAACATAAAAAAAAACTACAGTGCGTTTAAATAAATATTTGTTTACTTCACTTACTTACCTGTAATGTTGTAAGGCTTTATTTTAAGTCTTATACTTACCTGTACTTATTTAAAATAACAATTCTTATTAGAAAAAGGGGAGTTTAAAATAATTTAGGAAAAACTTTACTCTCAGAGTTCTTTTTTTTTTTTATAAAAAAGGCAATATAGTCCGACTTTTAGGCAATCGTTTAAAACAGGCTCTCAAAAATGTTAACTTATTTATTTCAAAATATAAAAAAAGGATTTAAATATTGCCAAGTTGAAGCGAAAATTCAAGGAAACAATATAGGAAACATACTTTGCGCTCTATTAAAGAAATTGTCAAAAGATAAATAATTTACATGAGAAAATCACAAAAAAGTACTTGATAAACGGCTTATTTTGCACCCACTGCTGCTTGGGCTGCTTTTTTCGCTTTGACCGTCTCAGCCAATTCCTTGTAACGCTTGATACAGTCCTTTTTGCTTCTTTGGGGCAGACATTCAGCGATTCTGTCCCATCTTTCTGGCGTAGACGATGGGTAAGTTTTTAAGGCTTGTTCTAGTAGTTGCTGTTCAGCAGCGGTCCAAGGTTGATCATTTTTAGTCTGATTTTTTGCTTCGTCATTTGAGCTAATACCATTAGCGGTACCATTAATGGTTAATTCATCTAATTTTTTGGAAATACTAGATTCGTCAATGTTTAAAACCATTTTGTCCTTTTTGAAGTTGTTGAACACTTGTTTATTCGCGACTTCCTTCAAATTATTCTTGGAGAAATCTGTGTTCTGCAAGTCCTTGGCCTTGGCCAGTACCAACTTTGCGGTAAATTTACCGCTGATCTTATTAAACGCGCCATGTTGGTTAATAAAATTAGCGATTACTTCCCATCTTTGATTGGTACCAGCGGGAAATAAATTCACAGCTTTAACCAACAGTTGCAGATTGACCTCATTCCATTCGGGAGCGATTTTGGCCACAGCCCCGTTTTTGTTCTCCTCGCTGGTTTTCTGTCGGGCCGCCTCCACCACAGCCTGCCGTTCTTTCGCCAATCTCACCTCGTGCTCATTGATAACCTTTAGGAATGCAGATTTTCCATTATTTTTTATATTCCTATTTACTTCTTCCAACTCTTCTAGCGACAAAGTTTCACAAATGGTTTCTATAGCAGTAACATACGCGAGATTTTGTTGGTCTTTGTCGGAAAAGTAATTGTTCGCTTTACAAGTATCTCTTAAGAGTTTCCTTTCCTTTTTAAGAATTTTTTTCTGGGCTTCCCTTTCTTGCCTTTTCGCTTCAATTCTGGCTTTCTCAGCGGCATCTGCTTTTTCTTTCGCTAACTGAACTTCCCTCAGGATTCTTTCCTCTTCCTCTTTTTTCGCTTGGGCGGCACTTTGTTTAGCCCTTTTCGCGGCCAGCTTGCGATCTTTATCTTCCTGCTTGAATTTTGCTATTCTCGGGTCGTTACTGTAAGCCGAATCCACTAACATTCTAATTCGGGCCATTTCTTCCTTTTTTTTCCTAAGTCTCTCAGCTTTGTTTAATTTATCTACATATCTTCTTTCGTCGCGATCTTGGCATTTATCTTTGTCTTCTTCATCTTCATAAGAATACTCGCGCCAAGATTTAAAGTCATACCAAAAGGAATAAAAATTTTCTACTTCCTCCCTCGTGGATTTGGCATTGCCAAGGTTGGGAATGTTGCGCCTTTCCGACCATCTCTTGTTTAAGTCGAAGTAATAGGAAAATACTTCAAAAAAATCTTTTTTCAGCTCGGATCCCATGGGAATATTATTGTCAAATTCAGGATCCACTGAATCATAAGCTCGTCTTCTATTCACATTGCCTAGAGTTTCGTAAGCCATTGTAATATTGGTGAAATAATCGTCGTCCGGTTTAATTTCTTCTCCTAGAGCCCTTCTTTTGTCCGGATGATGTTTCAACACTTTTTTACGGTAAGCTGTTTTAATAATTTCTTCTGTTGCTGTATGCCTTAATGTGGGAATGCCCAGAACTTTGTAATGGTCCTGACTTTTCCATTCTTTGGGATCTAAACTCCTTAAATACTCTACGTCATCTTCATATTCTACCTCTTCGGGCTTAAGTTCGGAAGTTTGAGTATCTGATTTAGGTTGTTCCACTTCTAGTTCGATAACTGGATGGCTGACAAATTTCAACTCGGATTCGCCGCCCCCGACATTTTCAAAAAGGAATCGGTAACGCAAGGCAACTGTTTGGCATTCATTCTTCAAACCTGCTTTGGCTTCACCCATTGTCGTCTTAGACCATAACCTTGATCAGCTTTACACGATTATTTTACAACTTTACCATATAAAATACTTGTAATTTTCCGACGCTTGATATCGGAAACGATTGAGCCACCCTCAACACAAAATAATTAAAATCTACAGCAACAGAATTTCCCGCATGGTACTTGTCAAAATGGGATAGTTAAAAAAGGACTTTTAAACACTTTTTGTTGGCGATACTGAAGCGCGACGTTGCCACGGCGCGTTTTAACTGATCGACAACGAGGAATTTTCTAACTTTAATAATAGCTAATTGAGCATTTAGTTATTTATATATTATTTACATTCTGAAATAACGTATCAAATTTAACAAAATTCCTTCCGTTTGCGAATCAGCTGCGATAAAAGTCACAAAAATGTGGCAACATTGAAAATTATAAATGCAAAACGAGCGCGCGCACAGATAAATAAAAAATTAAAAAAAGTTAACCAATCTTACCAATGCAATAAATTCGAGCTTTGAATGTACGCTTAAATTGTCCAGAAAAGCGGAAATACCGGCAATAGCCAAATTTTTCCGAGTCGTCTCTGTGCCGTCTGCAAGTTGGACGGGCCTTGTCATGGACAACGAAACATCAAGCAAAATTACCGTAGGCATTTTCGTTCTTTCTTATCTTGCTGGTTTGTAAGACTTATTTCGATAACTATTATTCGACTGTGTGTATATTTGCAAGGTGAACATTAAACTTTATCTTTGTTTTGATGGAATAAGTTGACAGTACACGTCTTGCAGTTGACAGTCCCGAAAACTGGAACTACTGATGGGATAATTCAAATGAAAAATTTGTCAGTCTTGATTCAATTATTCTATGATCGGTATAACCGGGAAATTTTTGGCTGTGCGGTAAAATAAGATTATGACAATAAATTTGATCGGATTTTAATTTAAACAAAACGTGCAGTAAAAACACAAAACTAACAAACAATTGATTCCGAGTGAACGACATAATCCTTTGTTTTCTTTCTAATCATAACATACATGTGGTTGGATGGGATGTTCAGTTCTTTGCTGTCGTTACGTAACGAATAAAAATGTGGAGTAAATATAAAATCTGTGGGTTTATAATATTCAACGAAGAAGATGGTCCATTGGCCATAGATAGATAAACATGTCCGTTTGAAACGTCAAACAATCTCTGATTCAAACATGGCCGATGAGGTTGTGCGTGTTTTTCAAACACAAACAAAGCCAATAAAACTTTTAAAATGGAAAGTCCGGCTAGGATACACGGTTTCCGTCGGCAGAGTTATACTAACCTATCAATTCTGCGACTCCGAAAAGTCAGACCACCGAAAATTAAAAGCGTCCCAAGCCGGTACCATATCCAAATTCCTAGCCCAAGAAGGGGATGTAGTGAATTCCGGGTGAACAAGGCGAATGTTTGGAATTTTCGTTGACCTAAACTGTGAATTTCTTTTTAGTGAAGCGCTTTTTGAAATCAGATCGTGTACACATCCTACCATTATGAACGATATGTGCGCAGAATGTGGGGCAGATCTAAGAAAAGATGATAAAAGTGTGACCACGGCTTCGGTTCCCATGATTCATTCAATTCCCAACTTAAAAGTTAGCGAAGAAGTAAGTAGATAAATGTTTTACATATGAATTGACTAGAGTGCCATATGTCTCATGTAAATATTTGACTGTTCATATTTTTAAAAATTAAGAATTTTTTTTTGTTTTCTGTATGCAGCAAGCGCAAAAATTAGGAAAAGCGGACAATGAGCGTTTAATAAGGGACCGCAAACTGGTTCTATTGGTAGATTTAGATCAGACCTTAATTCACACGACAAACGATAATATTCCCCCGAATATTAAAGACGTATATCATTTTCAACTATACGGTCCCCGTTCTCCCTGGTACCATACAAGGCTCAGACCGGGAACGCATAAATTTTTAAATTCCATATGTAATTATTACGAACTACACATTTGTACTTTCGGAGCTAGGAATTACGCCCACACCATCGCCATGTTTCTTGATTCGGACCAAAAGTTTTTTTCCAATAGGATCCTATCAAGAGATGAATGTTTCGATCCTACTAGCAAAAAGGCCAATCTTAGGTAAAAGCTATATTATGGTATCCTGTGTTAGATAATAGAGCGGGCGTTTTTTAGAGCACTATTTCCCTGTGGTGACGATATGGTCTGTATTATAGATGACAGGGAAGATGTATGGTCCCACGCGTTAAATTTAATACACGTAAAACCATACCATTTTTTCCAACATACCGGGGACATCAATGCTCCTCCAGGGTTGGATAAACATGAAGATGATAATAAAGTCGGATTTGATTTAAGCAAAGTATGCTTGAAAGAAAAAAAGCCAGATATTCCAAATACAGTTGAAAATGGACTAGTAGATAAGGAAGTGAATGAAAAAGAAGGTAAGGAATGTCAGAAGGTTAATGGTGACAAAGAAAGTTTGGAAGATCAAACCGAAAAGTTAAACCACATTAAAGAAAAAGATAAAGAAACAGAAGATAGCGTCCTTGAGCTGGTAGATACAAAACGAGAGATGTTGGAAGTTGCAAAAGATAATCTAGAAGACATAAAAGATGAAAAAATGGAAGATAGCGAACTCAAGGATGCTAAGCAGGTAGATACGCAGCAAGAGGTGTTAAAAGTTGCAGAAGATAATATAGAAGAAATAAAAGATAAAGAAATGGAAGATGATAGCGTAAGGGATCCAAAGCAGCGGAAAGCCGCAGCAGATAATATAAAAAAGAATGAAGTTGCACCATCTGCGGAGTTAAAGTCCGATTCCGAAATTGCAGCTAAAGTTGATGAAAAAAGTGAGGTTAAACCCGATCAAAAAGATAACCTCATAGTAATCGAAGATCCGGATGATTATCTGGTTTACTTGGAGGATATATTGTCGCGGATCCACAGAGCCTTTTACCTAGAATTTGACCGAATGCAGTCGGGAAGGATACCGGATTTAAAGAACATTATACCAGAAGTGCGTAGCAATGTTTTAAAAGGCACCAAGTTGGTGTTTAGCGGTTTGGTACCAACTCGTTTTAAGTTGAACGAATCGAAGGCTTACCAGGTGGCTCGAAGTTTAGGCGCAGAAGTCACTCAAGACCTGGAGGAAGATACCACTCATTTGGTAGCCGTCCGGCCTGGCACCGCGAAGGTTATTTTGTTGAGCAATTTAGTACTCCAAAATATAGTTCACGGTTTACATCTGTAGGTCAATGCTGGTAGGAGAAGGAAAAACATAAAAATTGTTTCTCCAGAATGGTTGTGGTGTTGTGCCGAGAGATGGGAGCACGTGGACGAGAGGGTGTTTCCATTAACGAATAAGGGTTCGAAAAACAGGCATCCTCCGCCCCATTGCAGCAGTCCGGAGCATGTTACGGACTATCCGGAACACGACACTCCGGCACTTAGGAAAAGGACACCCAGCGGAAGATTTATGGACACCATTAATCCTCTGATGTCTTTTTCCAGTGATGATATAGCGGATATGGATAAGGAGGTAGTGTGGCAGTGTTCGAAAGAACAGTTGAACTGCAGTAATTGATTCTCAGAGTAATTCCATTAATTATGTCATACTTCTCAACATTGATTTTTTTTAAATTTTGGCTTTGCGTTTTAAGGTTGAAGATATATTAGACGACGACGAAAGCGATAACACCGAAGAAGAGACAGTACTGCCGAATCCGGTCGATGACGTCGAAGACACAGACGACAGCGAAAGCAGCGTCAAAATGAAGCAGATGATACAAACTGATATTTTAGATAATTACGACAAATACGATGAGGGCGTGGCCAGCAGCAGCAGCAGTAGCGAGGGGGGCTTGATGGACGAACTAAGCTCCAAAACACTTGGTAATTTTGTATTATATATATATGCTATTTTTTATTTGTGCTTAAAACACAAACATTTCACCTTAGTACTTTTGATAGACTTACAATGGGCGCCATGGTATCAAAATATCAGCAATGACCCTTTTCTATTCTCAAATTATCGTTGAAGTTTTTTAAATTCTGATTGTAGGACTCCCACTAAATCTGTGGCTGCAAAAATTCCAAGTTTCTGTCCCAATGCGTTTTGGTTAGCTGAATTAATTAAAAGTAGATGCATAAGTAACTAGCATACATAGTATATTAAAATTGTAAAAATTCATTGTTCAATAGCTAATACCAGCAATTCCTAAATCTAGTGAAGAAAATATCAAATAAACGGATATTGTGATAAATAATTAAAGATCTAATAAGGATAATATTAAAAATATTGCTATATTATAATTAATAGAAAATACTAGCTCAACACTGTTCCTAAATCTGCTTAATGAAATATCACTTAAATTAATATTGTGATATCATTATTTGATTGTGATTAATAATGAATATCAAAGATTTTGCTATGTCGTAATTGCAAACATTCAGTCATCAATAGATAATACCAGTTATTCCTAAATATATTAAAGCAAATATGAAATAAATTAATATTGTGATATCAATACTTTAGGATGGGTAGTTAAGAGCATGATTATAAAGACAAAAGATATATCATAATTTCAAAAATTCAGTTATCACTAGAGAATACCATCTAAATGGTGTTTGTAAATTTCCTGAAGGAAATGTCAAATAAATTAATATTGTGATGAATGTCTTTAAATAGTTGTAATATATATTAAAGATTTTGCCATATAATTGCATTAATCAGTAGATAATACCAACTAATAAATTGATATGGTGATAAATATCTATAATAATGTAAGAGCTAGTAAGGATATTATTAAAGTTATTAAAGATATTGCTATACCATAAGTAGTGGATAACAACAGCTAAACACAGTTTCTAAATCTGTTTAAGTAAATGTGAAATAAATTAATATTGGGATGAATATATTCAATTAATTGTGAGTAGGTTATCAGTAGCTATTGCCAGCTAAACACTATTCCTAAATTGCTTAAGGAAATATATAATAAAATATATCATTAATTAATCATGAATGGTGAATGGATTAATGAATATTAAAAGTTTTCCTATATAACTGCAACCATTCAGTCATTACTAGATAATACCAACTTAGGAAATATCAAATTACTATTGTGATGAGTATCATTAATTAAGTGTGAGTAGTTAATAAGATGGTAGTGAATATTAAAGATTTTGCTATATCATAATGGCCAAAAATCAGTTATCAATAGATAATACGAGCTAAGATAATATTGAATATTAAAGTTATTGCTATATAATTGCAAAAATTCCGTTATCACTAGATAATACAAGCTAAACACTGTACCAAAATCTACTTAAGGAAATATCAAATAAGTTGATAGTGTGATAAATATCATCAATCAATTGTGAACAGATTATCAGTAGATAATTTCAGCTCTTTCTAAATCTATGAAAGGAAATATCAGATTGCGATAAATATCAGTAATTTAAGATGGGTTCTCAATAATAATGATAATGCATATTAAAGATGTTAAAGACAGGTACAATTAACGAGACCTTTATTTGCTTTAAATAGAAAACCATCTGCCAATTCTAGAGACAAATATCCATTAATTTAATGAGATAATAAGATGGTAATGAATATTAAAGATTTTCCTAAATCCCTAGCTATAAAGTTAGTATTAAAAGAGAAGTCCTTCGCAATTGTACAGCTGAGAATATCATTAATTTATTATGAGATTTTGCTATATCAGTAGTTATTAAGTTAGTATTAAGAGTTAATAAATTAAAAATACTTCAGGTACTTTCAGAAAATTCATTTGCAATTCTGAAAATGACTCATTGCCTTAAAAACTTTCCACTTACCATTGTCACTAGTTTAAGTTAAACCATTAAACCCAATGAAAATATTTTGGCTCAGCACAAAAGAGAAGGCGGAGCAAAAGTTTCTTGGAGGGTGAGGAAATTTCAAGTTCAAAGAAACTACGACACCTACGAGAGGAGAGGGACGACATGCCGAGCGTAAGATTTAGGAGGGGCGAGGAGGTGGATGACGAACTAGATGTAGATCCTCCTCCGGGTCCAGAAGATCAAGACAGTGACAGTTTTGGGGCCCCCGATGAGTCAGACGATGGAGAATGGAACATGATGGGGGCGGCATTGGAGAGAGAGTTTTTATCAGACTAAAAATTGTATATAGTTGTATTATTGGCTGATGCGAGAGAAACTACAGGGTCGCCACTAAAGTTTGCTTCCTATTGGAATATTTTTTATTAATAAATTTTGGCAAATTTTTATTTTGAGGATGGATTTATGTTAGTTTTCGAACATATTTGCCTGTCGACATTGACAAGAACTATTTAAAAAATAGGTTATTTTTGAAGATATCAAAAAGAATGATTGGAAACCTTGTTTTCAGTTTTCTACCTTAAAAAAAAATGGATTTTTACACGTTTTCTAACTTATTTATATTTTAGTAATTCCTAATTTAAATAAATAGGAATCAAACTACCTAAATACTGTAAAAAAGTGTTTGTATGTGTTGTATAAATTTTTTTAACATGTTTTAACCTAATAGAGTCTAGTTAATATTGCAATTCAACTTCTTTTTTTTTTATTGTATTTTTTGAGTCAGTTGCCTTTTTGAATTGTAACAAAATCAAGTAAACTTCATTTGGTTTTAGAATGTTAAAAATTATTTTAACATTTAGACAACATCAAAAAATAATAAAAAAACTTTTACGGTTTCTATAGGTACTTTTGAAGATTTTCTTTGAAATCTAGTTTTAAATATAAATTTAAAGCAAAAAAACTTCATTCATTCAAAATAGTTTCATTTCCATTTCTCTGAATTAGGATGTACCAAAAAGAAAGGTTGAAAAAACTTGAGAAAAATCCGATTTTTTTAAAATCATTAAAAAAAACTGCAAAGAAACAACTTTTTTCAATAAAATTAAAAATTATGAAGATTATTCAATTTTTTAATATATTTTTTATGTACAATAGCAATTTTGTCAAAGGTTACGTTTTTTGATGTATAAACTATCCTCAGGTTCAAAATTTGCCAAAACTAATGAATAAAAAAATGCCGACTTTAGTGATTACCCTGTATATATCGTTTCATATCGATTTAGCCATCGTTATGGGAGAGAGAATTGTTTGAAATCTAGGCTGCGAATACTGGGTGTTTCAAGCGTTAGTTTGGTTAATAAACATTTGCATCCAAAATACACCCTTCAAAAAGTAGAGTTCTGTAAAAAGGGCCTCAAAAAAATAGTTTTTTTAATAGTTTATTTCTTGTTAACGTTACTGCTGGAAAAAATTAAGTTCAAAATAATTTAAAATATTTCTACAGCTTCAACCCTTTTTAAAATAAAGTATTAATTAGACCGGCATTATATGCTAAAATCGCAACAACCTCCTGCACCTGGGATTCTTTTACTTTAAAAGAAAGTACCTTCTTTATGGAAAATTGTTTAAAAGATATAGTTTTCAGCCGAAAAATTAAAAATATAGTCATAAAAAGCAAGTTTGGGGGCAACAAAAGTTGCGTCGCGTCCCTTTAACGACGCCGCTGTACAAAACATTAAAATTTGGTCGTTAATAATAAAAAAAATGATAGAAAAATAAATTACTGATGTCAAAAACATAAATAATTTTTAAAAACACGTTTTTTGAGACCGTTTTACTGCGGAAGTTATTTTCAGACACTCATTTATTAAAACAAACTAACGTTATTTTTTAATGTTCTATTTACCCTAGAAATTAATGTACCGTCTTTTGAAACGCCCGGTATACTGTTCTATTTATCACTATAACTAAAACCAAGGAAGTAGCCTGTCGTGTAATATATTGTGATTTTAAACCCTGAAATTGATAATTTTAAGTAATAGTGTTTCGATTTTTTTTGTACAACGAAAATATTGTAAATATTGAGTGTTATAACTGGACTCAAAATCTTTTAAATTGAATATATGGAGTACGCTTTTTTGGGGGTACTTTGTACCAACAAGCAGTTTTTCCACATTCCAGTTTAAAGTAAACTAAAAAAAAATTGTTTCAGCAATGAATTGCTTCTCGACTAGTTTGTAATTTTTATGGTCTGTGTCTTCTTAATCGATTATGATTAAATTTCCATTCCGTGTAATCGTGAGTGGTTTTGAGTCAAGTGTAACTGATCTCAGGTATCGTATAATTAAAACAAATTAAATGTACATAGTCTGGTCACTACCGATTTAAAGCTACATGTGCGAAGCCAGCCACGAATTCGGGACATTTTCGTTTGCACCAACATTTTTATAAAAACTGAAAATAGCAAGAAAGAAATGCTATTAAATAAAAAAAAAAGGGATACTATAAAAAAATACGTTTCACCAATGGAATCCTTTTAACACGTGTTTTTAATTAAGAGAAAGAGAAGACGCATTTTTCAAAAATCAAAAATATATGTAACAATTGGTGTTACAGGATAAAATTTAGATGAGACATTTCGAAGGCCCTTAGAAAGCTCCCTTAACAGTGGCACCCTCTATAGCTGCCAGCAAAGGTACCAAAAACCCGTTTTTAGAATTAATAGAACGAAAATATGAATTTTAAAAAAATCAAAAAACATCTCTAAAAATTGAATTACACGATAAAATTTGGTGGGGATATTTCGAGGCGTCATCTTTCAAACATGGAACCCCTTGTATCACAAAAGCATTTTTAGAATTAATAGAGTGAAAAGATGAATTTAAAAAAAATGTAAAAAAATAAGTGTCGAAAGCGCATTGATCCAAAAGCGCCTTTTTATTCGTATTCAGCCAGAAAGACATTTTCTATATATGCAAAACATTTTTCTTTGTGACGAATTGATCCAAATTATATTTTTACTAAAAAAAAAAAGAAAAATAACTAAATGATTCCCAGGAAAAGGGCAAGATAGCAAAGTGTGACTTTACTTATTACATATTTTTTATAAAAAAAAAATCGAAAATTTCATCTTTATTATAAAAATGCAAGCATCTTTTTAAGACTGAATTACTTGCCTTTCTTACAGATCGCCATAAATATTATTGAAAGCCCCATTTGCAGCAACTTGAAGTTTATTTCTTGTACACGTTATTTTTTTTACAACTTCCAGGAAAATAAGAGTATAAAATATAAAGATACGGGGAACGTGGTGGCTATTGATTTCAATTTCAAATCAATATTTCATTTCGTCACTGTTAATTTAAATTCGAAATCATTTTGAAGAAAGTGAAGATAACGGACGCATGTTAAACTACTGTCAAAAATAATTGGTGCCAGAATTGTTTAGCCCACAATACCACACCCAAATGTTGAACCCAAACTTTATTTGTGGTCTTCTTCATCGTCATATGGGTTTTCTTCCATCCATAAAGGTTGAATTTTGTCCATAAAATCTTAAAACCAGCTACAAAACTTCACGCTTCCCTCAGCATCCCGCGGGATGTAGATACTGTCTTGTATGGGTAGAAGTTGTTTTCTTTTCAAAAACGCTCATAGAAATTTTATTTTTCAAAATAAACTTGTCATGTGCCGTATCATTAAAATCTAATAATATAACAGATAAAATTAAAAAAAAGTTTTCCAAAAACAAAACATTTTTCGTATGTCAAAAATGAAAAGTGTGAGGAAAATATTTTTGTGTTATGTCCAATAAGAATTTCCTTAAACTTTTCTATTTATCATTCTCTACTACAATTAATATTTACGTAGCTAGGAGCATTTTTAAAAATTTCCAAAAATCAGTTTTTTTGGAAGATCTATTGACGCACTTTAAATTTTGAAAAACCAAAAATGATTTCGAATAGAGTTTACAAAACTGCAATTCTTTGAACATTTAATCTTTTTCCGATTTATGAGAGATCCCTGTACTCAAAAATAAACATTCGGGGTGATAAATTTCACTATGATTCAACTTTGTATCCTTTAATATGAGTAAAAAAAAATCTGTAGGCAATAAAAAACAGTTAATTTATCATTTATTACAACACTTACCATTGCCATTTTCTATCACACTGCTATGTTCACTTGTTCACTTCACAGTAACTGCATAAATGAATCTTCCACTTTTGGGAGTTCCCTTTCAATTGGAGCTTAGTCTCTAGTAAATGTCCCCTCCAAATTTTATTTATCTCGTACTCTAAATGCTATAAACGTTTGTTATGTAATAATAGCATTCCTTTTGCGCAATTTTTAGTTTTTATTAAAATATTGGTGGAAACGCCAATGTCTCTAATTCATCCCTAACTTCACACAAGTTGTGTTTATTGTACATAATGTAAGCAACATTTTATTGATTTTTTTTTAAAACAGCCAATATTGCCCTAGAAAGGATGCAGATTAAAGTAAATACAAAGTAAACCTGTAGTTTTTTTTTCGTCTTTGATATATTTCAAGGAAATGCTTATCAATTTATTCTTCTAGGCTTACTGACAAACTAATACATTTTTAGACCGCATATGGCTGATCCTTTCCATCTTCGTGATACTTAATATATGTCTCAACATGGGTATAGTCTTTCTTCTCCTCTTGCCAACCACGAGCAGGGGCTTTATCATAATCGAATGCATTTTTATTAGCACCATATACTTTACTAACAGCTGCTAAGTGATCTCTGTATTTCCCGGCTACGACTTTCTTGTTTGTTATCGGGTCCGTAACGTCTCCGAAAGCGTATAGAATTTCCTTAACTTTGTGGGTTATCGTGAGAGAAGTTGTGTCGGGTAAAATTTCGAGCAAAGCGATATCTCCCGATTTGCACATATTGTCGGGATCCAAAGCGAACACCGGCTCTATTTTCGGGAAATACTGTAACAAATACGTCACTGCGCACCGACGAAAAATTCTAGCAAGACTTACCATGTTTAAATTTTTATCTAGTTCCAACCTCCTCACTTTAAACCTGGAAACCCCTTGTTTCATGCTTGGAACGCATTGTCCCAGTATCATAAACGTTTTAGCAATCGGAGGAAGTGACATCTGCGATTGGGGTTTACAATTTCAAGACTGGATAACACTTTTAAATTTACAATAACAATTGCCCTTATTTTTTAGGTTAGGAAATTCTAGGTTACGTTGACCTTAGAATAACTTCTTCTTATACAATTTCCGACGTGCATATCTTAGAATAATATTTTCCATTTTCATAGAACCAATAGAAAATTCTGACCAGCTGGTGAACTTACGTCTGAATTTTTACGAAGGATGCATTCTTAGGCACGTAAATCATTCAAAATTTAAATTTTTAATTTTTTTTGGTTAGTGTTGGTTAGTTTTGGTTAGTTTATTCTTTTGATGGGCCTGCTAAAGGCAGATGTGGGTGATTGCTGATTAATAATTTCAGTTCGGGAACTAAGTTCACTAGCTGGCTAGAAGTTAGTGGAACGTATATGTTAACAAACTTTCAATGACCGATTGCGTTGACAAACATATAACAGAACATAACATAACAGAACAATAAAAATTCGAATTACGCGAATGCCAAAGTTTGCAAAGAACACAGAAAAGTAGCATAGAAATGATTTAAGAAATTCGTATCATACCGAGGTGCCGAGTTGTCTCACTCTTTTAAATGTTGCCGAATCTGATATGCCATAGTCCTCCGTCCGTAATTACACAATGCATTTTCTTCGCTCGTTATATCAAACTCTAAATTACTATGAAAAATGTTATGGAAAAATTCTAATTTTATTGTATTGTACAACATTCGAACAACCGATAAAAAGTGGTATAATGATATAGAATAACAAATTTTCTAATCGTATTTAATGGATAAACGTTAACAAAAATACACAGCCTCTGAAAAATATTATTATCACCATTGTTTCAGAGTTTGAGAAAAACACTGAGAATTTGTTTTTGAACGTTGTGCCTGATTCCCCAAACATAATTTTTCAAGTACCAACATAACGCATACAATTTTGATTATGATTATTCTGTTGTATTGTTTCGAGTAGTACGATATTAAACTTTATTGGAATATACATTATGTGAAATTTCTTGATAATTATGGATTTTGGAACAACAAGACAACACCGCGGAGCAGGCGCCGTACGCACCGTCGATATGCACTGGGCACTATGTGTTTAATAATTTACCAACTAAATAATGTTTTTGTGTGAGGAAATAACTTCGTGGTCGTCGCGTTTGTCTGCGTAACGCCTTATTTCCTTACGTTTTCGCGTTGTATTATCGACGAATCCACCGTTAATCGAAGAAGTGCTCTAATCGTGGTTTGTTTACATCTGAATTTGTGTTGAAGCTTTGCATTCCTGTAATGTAAAGTCGTTGGGATAAGGGATATACTACTAATCCGTGGATTTTCACACCCCTCGAATAGAAACGTTGATCGCAAAGGTAAGACGCGTTGGATTATTCCGCTAATTACATTCCCAAAGTGGGGTTTTTAATATTTTTAGAATTGAGGTTATGGATAAGGGAGATGTTTATTTCCATGAAATACCACAGATTTCGGGTAGTACGCTATAATGCCGTAAATTTTTCGATATAAGGCAATCGATGGAACATATCTAAGGTGCGGAGGTACCTATTTAAGTATCTACCCGGTTTTCCGTAAAAAAAAACCTCACTTTAAATTTAAATTCATAATGTTTGTGGTCCTTTTTTCCCCGGATATAGTAAATGGGTCAAATTTGTTTTTTAATACTATAAAAGCTATTTTTCTAAAGCGATAATCAGCTTAAAACCCAATAATAATAATTTACTGTCGCAGTTGGCTAAAGTTGTATTGGAAACCGAGTTAGAATCCCCCCCGTAAAAGCCCTGCCGAATGGAAGCAGGAAAGTCCACCGTCCATTTGACGAACGCTACTTTGTATTCATTGCATCCGCGGCCCCAACTTTGCATTCCCTGTTCTCGTCCCCGCCATTGCGCGCAATTGAAAAGTGTTTTTTTATCGCGTTTTACCCCCCGTTTCAGTTTTTGATCGATATCTTTTAAAAGTTGCATGAGCGGAATGAATATTAACCGTTTAATATTTAACAAAATATCGAGTGCAACGCGCGTTTTGAAAATAGACGATAGTAGCGGCCCGAATAACGGCATCTCATTAACGATCTCATTACACCCGTAATAACCTGTGTAAACAGTGATGGTTAATGTGCCCATTTTGCATGTGAAGCATCAATACTCGGAAGCAAACTATCAAAGGATGTTGTCGACGATAAGGGTCAAAGCGTATTGCGCAATAGAATTTATGACATCGAACTCTCCCTGAAAATGTCAAATTGCCATACGCTCTCTAAATTGGAGGTAAAGTCTGTTCATATATATAAGAAAGTGACTAACTGATACGAATTAAGGAAAGGCCCGGGCAAGCTGTAAGAATGAAATATGGCCGAACAGGTCCGTACTTTGCATAGAATTTAATTATTTGGGGTTTTGTTAGGAAAGATACTAAACAATATTTATTTATGTATATACTTCTGTTTAACTCAAAAATAAAATTACAAATTATTAAATATGCAGTAGTAAGGTAAGGGGGCCTTAAAACTGTATGCCCTAGATTTTTTGCATAATTATCAATTATTCATTTTGTAGGTTCAAGCTTCGTAGAACCTCAATTAATTGCTTTTTGGTATAATCTTCGTGAAAATATTATACATGTAGTTTTGGATTGTTGCTTTTGTGTCACATGAGGAAGGGGTTTTAGTCAACTGTCTGTTGATAACTTGCATTGTCCATTACAATGACGCTATTAGAAGGAATGTTTGGAACTAGTTTGTTTTTCAACCAACTTTCAAATAAATCAGCGGTGGTGTCTTTATGGTAATCCAGAGAAGAATCTTTAATATTTTTCGCAGACAGAGAAAGTCCATTTGGAATCCAACCATCTTTAGAGCCAGCATGAAAAATAGTCATTCTTTGTTTTACACTTATCAGTTGAGTCAACCCAACCCTTTTCCTGGGTATCATAAGTGTCGAACCAGGTTTCATCCAGTTTGTTGTTCTCTGTAAATCCTAATTTTCTCTAGATATTCCAGTCGCCATTTCCGGTTTCTAAAAGATTCCATTGAAATTTGCCTTGTGTCAGTTTTTTTTAATATAAATCCCATGTGTTGAATACACTTCCATAAGGTAGTTCTACCACATTTAACACCGGTTTCATCTTTTTCAAGCCCCCTAATTAAGATATCTAATGTAGGCACGCTTTGTTCCTCGTGTAACTGGTAAATTTTACGCCGTACTATATCTTGATCACTTTCATCTACACTCGAGAAAATGTCAGCATCGCTTCTTTTTTTCCTCGCTGAAATGGGATTATTCATAATTTTTCATACAGTTGATGTTGGTATTTTCGTCAATGTGGCCGTTTCTTCTAAAGGTGCCTGCTTGCTGGCACCACGTTCAATGAGAGTCAAATAAACATTGTTTATAACTGCCTTAGTCCCAATAGAACAGTGTTTTCAACATTTGGGCGGGAGGATCTCCTGAGATACACTAGACTCGCACATATTTTGCATAATTCGCATATGATTCAACACACGCTGTATTACACACGAAATAAGAATGATTACTAATAAACTTAGACCAAAGAATATTTAACACAGGTAGGTATAAAATTATTTTCTATTACGGACCACAATTTTACCTGAATTTAAATTCCGAAACTTGTTACATTGTATGTTAATGACCACCCTTAGATAATCCATACTACTACTACGAGACCAAAATATTATGATTGAGGTTAACATGCCTCAAAGTTTAAATTTTATTCTGAATTTTCTTATTAATGGATATATTTTTTATTGATTTTTGTTGTATAATAATAGAAATTGTAGTTAAAAACTTTTTTTCCTGTTTTTTTTTGCATCAAAAGTAAAATATTTCACAATAACAATGGCGGTAATTTTGCTAAAGAAGTATAGAAAAGTTAACTAGTGCGACCATTGATAAACGTTTCCTTTATAAGTGTTAACCGTTTTCAGCTTTAATTGCCATAAAGTATGTTCCTTTTTCTGGGAGAGTAGAATTGTGTCTATAGTCCAATTCATTTCAAATGGGAGAGCGGTGCTGAGAATCGGAAAGTCGGGGAGTCGGTTCTCATACAACATGTTGATTTGTTTGTAAAATAGACAATAAAGCTGAAAAGTATCAGTGTGTAAGGGAGTATATATTCGATTAGTTTAATGAGGTATTAATGACTGAAATGAGACGGTCCGTCAGATATAATTTTTTTTTATTTATTTTATTTTCAGTTTCTTACCATTAACATTTGCTCTAGAGGGAATTACGAAAAATTGGGTTTAAGTGTAGCTGTGAGTGGCGTTCAAAACAGAGTGGTGTTAATGAAAAGACGGTTTTTAACATCTAGAAGAAGCGGAACAGAACAATGGCGAATTAAAAAATCCGACACATAGAAAAGCTCTCTCAGACAATGATTTACGAGATCTGTTTAAATGTATTAAAGAAATCACAAGAGAATTTAAGCCAAAAATATGGTCGATAGGGGATGAGAACGGAGCAGCGGTCACTGAAATTGAAAAAGTCAAGCGTGCTTGGCGAAAACATTGCATTAACTTATACAAATAAGTAAAACCTATACAACAGGTTCCGCTATCGATTGAGGATGTAGAGCAGGAGACCGATACAGAACATGCGATTCGACATCCAAAAAGCAGGAGAGGATGACATAAATACAGAAATGCTCAAGCATCTTTCTGCGAAAGGTATCGCTCTCTTGTTGAAAATTTGTAACGCACTTTATCAGTTAAAGTACTAGTACAAAATGTAATAACTATAGAACTATAGCATGAATTTCTTATCCAAGCATGGTAATGCTCCGTACCATGCTATCGTATCCAATTTTGGCAAATGCAATTGTTAAATGAAAGGAACTGTATTGGTGGGATCTCAACCCAGTCATTAAAAAATTATTTTCTGCTTTCATTGCAAATTTTTCGTCAAACGTATATTAATAATTATCAAAATTTAGTAAACGTCTTCACCATGTCCTTTTCTCTAAAGAAAATTACGTAATTAAAGTTATGGTTTTATTTCAAATAAGTAAGTTGGCGTTTACTTCAGGAATATCCGGATATCCTAAAAATTTCATCTATTACGATATAACCTCAAATTTTTAAATTTATGTTTGTTTTAGTCAGATCTACATTCCTGGGGAGACACCCTGCATGTGAAGCGATAATATTTGTGCGATGTATATGGGAAACATACACAATGCACTCATATCAGTTTTCTTTTACTTATTTAACTTTTAAAGTAAATAAGTTTTCTAAATCTGAAGAGAAAGAAAGAAAATTAACAGAGAGAATTTTGAAAAAGATAAAATAAATTTTTTATGATAATTTATCGATTTCTTTATTAGTCTATTCATCTATTAAATAATTAATTTAATTATTTTTTACTTTAATACTGACATTTAAACAGGTCATGGTATTGTTTGCAAGGTGGTTTTAAAATAGCCTGTTTTATATATTTTTTAATTTAATAATTCTTAATTTATTAAATATTTCTCTGAATCAGTCAAATTCGTTCATTTATTTGAAAATTCACAAAATGTTTGTGAAATCTGAAATCTATTAAATTTTTGTGAAATCCGTGAAATCTATGACGCTTTAACAATGTCAGATTTTTCCCAATTTTTGTAGTCACAAAAGGCAAATGTCTCTATTATGTTCTAATACCCTTACTAATACCTACTAATTCCGTTGGTATTTCTGCTAATTGATAAGAATAAATTTGACTATAATCGTATTTTTTTTTATCTACAGAAAATCAACCAAAATTGCTAACTAAATGGAAGAAAAAGAAAAAAAATTAACAAATTTAAATTTTGAAAAAAAAATCATTGTTTATTAATTTTACACTCTTACTGACTTGGACAACGCACTTTTTGGACAAAAAACATTTTTTTATGGATCATTTTTTCTTAATATTTTTTTAACCATGACTGAATACAAAAATTTTCCGCATAAACTTAAATTTATTTTGTCAAAATCGTTGAATTCTGGAAATTTTTCAGAAATATGTGAAATCCTCGGGCAATCTGTAAAATGATAGGGTTTTGTGAGATCTGGTATACCAATTTTGGATGGTGCTTTGCCCCTCGGAGGTAGCCTAAATAACTTGTTTATTTTATGAACAAATACAATCAGATCTTTGGTGTATTATTTTATTGTATACCAAAAAAAACTTAATATTTTAACATTTTTATTACGCCTATAAAGTCAGCTAAATTAAGAAATAAAACGAAAAAAAAAAAACATTCGCACCGTGTTTCAACTTCTTGTTAACTTTTGATCGAGGATATATTATATTAGGTTGTATAGTCTGTCTCAATCTTCATCATGCTGGCTTTTGCCCGCAACTATGGAACT